TGGTGGCTGTATGTTTGGTCATCTCCTTGTTAGTTTTCGTAGAAAGTGCTTATATGAACATTGTAGTAATTTACGTCAAGTTGTTTAAACGCAAACCCGAAAAGATCTACAAATGGGAGGCAATGCAAGAGGACATAGAGCTCGGAGATCAAAACTATCCCATGGTTCTTGTCCAAATCCCAATGTACAACGAACGGGAGGTACATATTTTATAGTTTCATGATCATTGATCAATGATTCGATTATGATATGAATGCAGCTTTTCAACTTTTGTTTATTTTGAGTCCACAGGTTTTTCAATTATCCATAGGTGCTGCTTGCAGACTCATATGGCCAGTGGATCGACTAATCGTTCAAGTTTTAGATGACTCCACTGATCCCACCATCATGGTACATATACATGATGTTTTCTAACGCATGCCACCCATTAATTACTTAATTAAAATATTTTGTTCACATTTAAAAACTAACCAATCATTTTATTCTATTTTATTATTATCAATTAAAATACAAAATGCGAAACACAACAAAAAGTCTCTTTATTTTGTTTCCGTTTCGCTTTTTGCCTTCACGGTTATCAAATAATGGAGTATAGTTCTAAAAACACTTAAATGCGTTCTTGTAACCACACAATGAATTTAACAATTAATATCAAACTGCGATTATTAAACTGCAGGAGATGGTGAGCATGGAGTGTGGAAAGTGGGCAAGCAAAGGGGTAAACATAAAATGTGAGAGGAGAGACAACAGAAATGGCTACAAAGCTGGAGCTCTTAAGCAAGGCATGAGGCATAGCTACGTCAAACAATGCAACTACATTGCCATCTTCGATGCAGACTTTCAGCCAGAGCCCGATTACCTCCAACGAGCTGTCCCATTTCTCATCCACAATCCCGAGCTCGCTCTTGTTCAAGCTCGATGGAAATTCGGTATGACATAAACAAAGACTTTTGATTTCTTAATTGTTATCTAGTAGTTTGAGATATAATATAGTATGTCTACTTGTTGTGTGGTTGATGAAATGATTCACTGGCGCAGTGAACGCAAACAAGTGCTTGATGACTAGGATGCAGGAAATGTCTCTCAATTACCATTTCATGGCAGAGCAAGAATCCGGATCCACTAGACATGCCTTCTTTGGCTTCAATGGTACATCCTTATCATCATATATATTTAAATATTTTATCCTGTACGTGGTCGGAACATTTCATATTTTATTTCTTAGATCCTCTAGTTTTATATTCTATGTAGTTGCATTGTGTTCTCGCTAAATCAAGTTACACATATATATATAAATTTAAACAACTTGCCTTTTTAAAAATATAATGATTCACATTTCCAATCTATAACTAGTTGATAAACCTACATACAAATCGGTTTCGTAATTTCCGAAGTCTTTTATTATGTTACTCTATAGACTATAGACCAAACTTGAGCCCAAGTGAACCAAACATGAGTTTGCTACATTTTAAAACTCAAGACTGGTCCTGTTTAGAAACGTGCAAAAGTGATAAATTCATTTTTTTTTAACTTCGTAATTTTCAAAAACTCAAAGCCAACTCTGGATTTTCTAATATAATTAACGTTTTTTTAGGGACTGCGGGTGTATGGAGATTGGCGGCGATGGAAGAGGCCGGAGGATGGAAAGACCGGACCACCGTAGAGGACATGGACTTGGCCGTTCGTGTTGGTTTACACGGCTGGAAATTTGTCTTCGTCAACGACATTTCGGTACTTTCAATCTCTTTCGACTATAATTAATTAATTAATGGATGTGTCCAAATCTTTGCTAATTATTCGTCACATGTGTTGTTTGCTTTGCACACACTTTATGCAAAGTTGAACATGATATTAAAACTAATAAAATTACATATTCCATATGCGATAATATAATATGTATTTACGTGTGGATATAATACAATAAGCTTTTTAAATAGTAGTATAAGATAATTGTTGTTGTTAGGTGAAAAGTGAGCTTCCAAGCCAGTTTAAGGCATTCAGATTCCAGCAACATCGATGGTCTTGCGGTCCAGCTAATCTCTTCAGGAAAATGACTATGGAAATTATTCGCAATAAGGTACTTTTTATTTTTTCTTCATCTTTCATTTTCAGATAAGCACGTGCCCAAAACTTTTGGTCGCACGTGGCAACCACTTTATTTGTTTTACACATTCTGAGACAAACATCGAATGTGAGTCATCATGATGCCAATTTAAGTTTTGGTCGTTATGGTTTGTTCTTTAATTTCAAAAAGAAAAAAAAAACGTTTAGGTAATGAATTTGATTTGCTAATATGAACAGAGAGTGACGATTTGGAAGAAATTGTATGTGATCTACAGCTTCTTTTTCGTAAGGAAGATCATAGTCCATTTCTTCACATTCTTCTTCTATTGCGTGATTCTTCCTACGAGCGTTTTCTTTTACGAAGTCAACATACCGACTTGGGCAACTATGTACGTTCCTTTTATGATCACCCTCTTCAATGCTATTGCCACACCAAGGTTAGTAGTACTGTAATAGTTTCATTTTTATGTTATTTAAGTTACACTATTATATATTTATTATATCATAAATTATTATGCACGTACGTAGATCATTTTATCTGGTGGTTTGCTGGGTCCTGTTCGAGAATGTAATGGCTATGCATCGGACCAAAGGAACTTTCATCGGTTTACTTGAAGGAGGAAGAGTAAACGAATGGGTCGTCACCGAAAAATTAGGAGATGCTCTTGAGACCAAGTTACTTCCCCAAGTGAAAAAACCTCGCAATGGGATTCTCGACAGGTAAAAAACAATCAACTTTTGAGGATTGTCTTTTTTCATATGATTCATCTTCATAATTAGTGAGCTAGGTGGTACAATATATATATATATATATATATATTCAAATACCCTAAATAATGCAAATAAATAAAAAATTAAGGATATATTAACTGGTAAAAGAATTTGTTTTGTTGCAGAGTGAACTCAAAGGAGATGATTGTGGGGATATACATATTGTGTTGTGCCTCCTATGACCTTGCCTTTGGGAATACATTGTTATATATTTATCTTTTCATGCAGGCTCTTGCATTTATTATTTCCGGAGTTGGTTTTGTCGGAACTTAAAATGTCCACATTTAGACATTTTATTCTCATCAAGAAAATATACATAATTACTAATCGATCTATTCGTTACGAACTTACGATTATACGTAGTATAAAAATTAAAAGTGATAACAAAATCCCTTTTTCTATAGTTTAGAATTAGTTTAGGTTTTGGTATAGAATCATCAGGTTACTGAGTGTAATAATTATATGATGTTAATTCAATAATGCCTTGATTCTATTCTTGAACAATGTTAAGTTCTTCGGGTTTTAAATAGTGCGCTTAAGATTATGTAAAGTGTAATTTGTTGAATATTAGATTCATTTGTTTCCTCCCTCTCCACTTCTTTCATGTACAATAACATTTTCATTGATTCTGAAAACTGTGAAAAATAGTAAAAAATGGAACCTGGTTCCGAATCTTTTAGTCTCCACCAATCATCTTTTTGTGAAGTATGGTTTACATCATCTCCTTAAATTATTTTGACAACTCGTAAAGGTTTTTCAGACTCTGTAAAGAAGCAACACTAATTTGTTTTTATATATAGAAAAAAGAATATACCGCACAAGACAAATACCCATATTTTAAAGAGCAAAAGTTATGGTGCACTTTTCAGTAACTTTCGAAAAGTATGGAAAATTTTGGATCATCCCCTGAAAGTAAATAACTAGAAGACTAGCTAGACACCTTATCCTCCTCACTCGCAGACACACATCTTTATCCTCCTCTCCGGCAGCATCCTCACCATCCCACCTCTTAAGATCAAACTGCTTCCTCTCACTCTCGAGAAGACAATTGACCAAATCTGCCATTTCAATTTTCACTTTGGGTTCGGGCTCATCATACACAAAATCCCGATGTTTATGTTACCACAAAAGTTTACGTTTCCAAACTAGATCTTCTTCATACTCAAGGTCAAATATTGACCGCATCAGGTTCACTTCCGCACCATACTGTTGGGGAATGAAGTCTGGCATTGCCCTCTTGACCACTTTAACATCGTTGATCTTTTGCACAAGAAAATCAACGACCAACATAACTAGCTTGTCGAGTTTCAACCCTAGAGCAGCCTGAGAAGAGACATGTGTCAATAAAAACACAAAATTCAGAGTTTGGAAAGCAACAAACCTTGGCGAGAGGTTACAGGAAATTATGTTGACCATCCATTTTCTTGAGGAATTCAAGATCCCAACATAATATTCAGAGTCTGGAAAACAATATACTTGCCATCGATTTTGTATTTGAAAAAGGTTTTTTTTGTTAATTGAGATATGTGTAAAAAATGTGCAAAATCATAAGTAAAATTATGGAAATCGATCATAAAAGAGTTTGTTTGCTGAAAATTCTATTGAAGATTCGAAGACAAATCTTTTTTTAATTAATTAGAAATTATGCATTATCATCTAACGTTATATCCACACCAAAGATAAGCAATTTCAACAAATTTAACTGATAAAGAATGTTTTTAACGGTAGCAACAGATCTCTTTGTTTAAAGTACTATTTTTTACTTTTTACACATTTCAACATTTAATGCAAAATATTCATAGTTTAGAGTGATTAAGTCTTTATTTAGGTCAGATTGGAAATTTACAGTTTCTCCACCCTAATCGGTAAAAAGTGGTAGCATCAAAATGGTAGTTTTGACTAAACAAAAAACCTTGTTGCTAAAGAAATTGAAAGTACAATTTTGAAAACTTGCACATCTGAATATGATCCACCAAATGATTTTTCGGGTTTAAATAGTGTGCTTAAGATTATCTAAAGTGTAATTTGTTGAATATTAGATTGATTAGTTTCCTTCCTCCACTTCTTTCATGGTCATTAACATTTTCATTGATACTAACATTCTTTTAGTCTCCACCAACCATCTTTCTGTGAAGTATGGTTTATAAAAATGTCTCCATCATCTCCTAAATTATTTTGACAACTCGTAAAGGTTTTCTAGACTTCAGTTGAAAGTCCTTCTGTAAAGGCAACACTAATTTGTTTTTATATATGTAGAAAAAAGAATATACCGCACAAGACAAATATTTTAGAGAACAAAAGTAGGGTACGCTATTCAGTAACTTTTGAAAAGTATGGAAAATTTTGGATCATCCCATGAAAGTACATAACTAGAAGACTGTTGCTGTTCAACATTATTGCCAAATCTATCAACTTTAGTAAATTTTCTTTCACAGAAGCTGCATTGACGAGGGCTTATATACATTTATCCAAAAAATGTGGCATTACATGAAATATACATGATAAATAGGCACTCGATTACTCAATACAAATATTTGAGTGATTCACACATATACCGCAGTAAATGAAATTTTTTCTTCCAGCTCCTCCATGCAAATCATTTTGCATGAACCTAGCTCAGAAGCAGAGTCTTACAGATTTACCAATCTCACCTTCAGATCTTCAATGGCCCTTTCTCTCTGGTAAGCAAAGAACTTCAGTGACTGCCACAAATGCAACAACAATAACAAAAACAGAGAAAATGTTCATTCAAATGGGTTTTTAATAGATCCTCTCAATAAAAGTAAATGAAAGGAAAGACTTTTTCAATCATTTCACTTACGCCGAGTCGCTGCATGGAAACTGATCTTCGTAACGCTTTACTTTTCGTCAAAAGATTCTGTGCCATAAGTTTTGGAGGACGTTTGTAGTTCTTGCCACGGTATATGAGTATCGCGTGTCCTTCTTTTAGTTTTTCAATTGAGATTAGTACTCCATTGCTCTCTGCTTCAAGTGACTTTGCTGTGTAAACAACTCTCGAGAAAATCTTCTGCATGGTGATCACTTTCGCAACTTCCCTGTGCTTCCAATGCTGATGCAGACCTTCCATCACACCATCAAAGACTCCTCTTCTACCTAAGAAAATGAAACAGATACCACATTGAGATTTGTGTAAATCAACCTCATAGCCGTCGAATAAGGAACAAGAAGAAGCCAAGAATGGATCCGGTGGCTCCTACCAAGAACCAAGCTGCTGTTCATCTTCAGCCCTATTTTTCTCAAGCATTCTCTTTCTTCACTAGTCAATATTTCGATGTCATCGTCTCGCTCAGATGTTTTACATAAAGAATTCAATTTGAACAACTCTATTCTTGATTTCTCTATCTTTGAATTTAGCTGCAAAAGAGCAAAAGGTAGAGCAACCCATGAGAATTACATTACAATTAGGCTAAACTAGAAAGATGCAATTTTTGAAGTTAACAGGCTTACAATGGAAAGCTTGCGTTCTTGGCTTTTGAGTTCCTTTTCTAGTTTTGCTTTCTCAGCTTCAGTCTCCAGGTTTCTCATCTTCATTTCACCGAATTTTCTCTGAAGTTCTTGAAACTCTAATAAAGTTCCGGTTTTGCTTGTTTCCTCCAACTGTTTACCATTTGTTACCACCTCCGAGATCTCTATATCGCTCTCGCGTGTACTTTCTTCAAAATGTTGGTATCTTCTGAGTAATTTCTCTCTGTCATCAACCAAATCCGCAACTTCATCAGTAAGGAAGTCCTTGCCTCTGTACAGTATTATCAAGTATCTGTTGCGTAGTATCAGAACTCCTCCGGTGAGATGCTGAAAATTTGACAGAGCCCAAAAAATTCGCATCAGCCACATTGATTTCGGATATACTTAGCAAAAAAACAAATAAATAACCTTCAATTCATCTGCCATTTCCTCATTGTTTGTATTGATAGCTCCCCACTTGATTGCAATCTTTGCTATAACACATTTCTCCCATAGTTTCACAATAGCAGAAGCTAAACCTTGAAGCCCATGGTTCCTCCCTTTACAAATTAGAAGAAATAAAAAAGACTGCTGAGAGCTCGACGAAGAAAAAGCCGCAGAGTAATGCAAATAGAGCACCACATTAGTTTTATGAATATCTCTCCCTGAAGCTTAACTCTATAGAACACACACAAAGTGAGGAAGACAGCTAAAAAGTAGTTGAATGTAAATTACCGAGGACGAAATGAAATGGTAAAGCTTGAGCAATGTTCCTCAGGTAGGTAAGCTCTTCGTCGCTCAGCTTTGCTCTAGTGTTTGGTGGACAACGTCTAGATGGAGTTCTATATCCATCAACCACTTCAGGAAGCAAGTCAGCGTCAACCGGAAACGGTCTTCTCTGCCACCAATCCATATATCGAGGTCCCAAGCCATTCAATAACCTATCAGCTTCTCTCTCGTACAGTGACGAGCTAATGGCATCTTGTCCCTTGACCCATACCGAGTTGGTTTGCTCTGATGATTTTCTCGGTGGTCCTCGATAAACAACGATAAACTCCTTCTTGCTTAACACAACCAAGCCTCCAGTCTTCACCTATTCTTGAAAACATGAAATAAGAGATCAATTATTTCAGAGGAAGATCCAAGATTTTTTTGAACTTCCACAGTGAATAGCAAAGTTTATAAAGTGAGGTTAAGACTAACCAGACCTCTATGATCTCTTGAGCTCGCTCCATGTTTCGACAAAGAGGAACATCAAATCTCACCATAGCAAGCTCGTTCCGATTCCAGATCGATCTAATATCGTCCACAACTGTCTCTGTAACTCCTGCTTTTCTCACGTTCACCCATTTTCTCATCTTCGAAGCTTCACGCCTCAGTCTATTCAGCAATGCTTCGTCGAGGATAAGATCAGCCGTCGTCGGGACTCTCTCCTTCTTCGTCCTCCGCAATATGAAGCTCTCTTCATCTCTATCCCAAGGCATTTTCCCGCCAAACCTCTTCCCCGGCTCGGATTTCTCCGCAATTCGACCTAAGGGCTTGAATTCGCCTGGATTATCCATCTGGGTTTCTTCCGAATCGCTGTTTTCGTCGAGCTTTTCAACCTTACGGACGATTTTCTTCATCGCTTTACTTCCCCTGACACCGCTCTCTCTACGGTTCAACGCCTTGAACGTCTTCTCCTCAGCATTATGCCCTTTGTTCCTCGTCTCGTGATGATATGAAGTGTCGATAACCTCATCGGGTCGAAGCAAGAGAGAACCTTTCATCCATGGAGCAGTCGGAACCTTAATCGCAGCATCAGAGAATCCTGGTTTTTCCCTAAATTGATCAAATCGGGGGGTTTTGGCGGCATTTGAAGGGTTTTGATTGGGGTTTAAGGAAGAGTAAGTGATCAGTGACGATGGTAAAGCTCGGGCCGAGAGGAAGAGGGAAGTTAGCATGAGTAAAGTCTGCAACTTTGGTTTTTCGCAGAAGTTACTCAAGAGATGCACATAGATGCTCACAAGCAGACAAAACAACGTGGATAAGATAAACGGTTGCGAGGCGGTTCGGTTCGAACCGTTTCTTCGGTTATCGATCGATTAAATTTTGAGTATAGAGTACAGTAATTGAAATTTTGGTGGGATAGCAAAGTAGCAAACATTACAGATGACAGAAATGGATTTGCAAGATTAGCATAATATTTACTAATTAAAAAATAACCCCATAATTTTGAAATAATTACGGACCAAACCCAAGAACTAAAGGCGAGATTCTCAGCAGTCTCTTTTGTGAATTTCCTAGCAAATAAAAAACATTTCGAGGAGTGTTGATTTCAGTTTAAGTACTTGGGTTGTTTTGCTGTCACAATACTTCTTTAAAATCTGAAGCAGTCTAGGAGGATCTTCATCGGTAAAAAGGGGTGAGATCTGGTCCTTGATTCCCTCTAAGTGTTCGAGCAGTGCATTGCGTAATAGTTTAAGGCACATGTAAGTAGAAACCGCAAGAAGCTGGTAGATAGTGTGTAGATCAATATCCGCAAATAAGATATTCGAGACCCAGTCTTTCAGATCAGCTTCATTAGAACTGAGCCGTTCTCATTCTCAATGTAGGCGATGAGAAGCTTCAGAATTGTGCTCGAAGCAAACTCGATTTTGCCATCTTTTTCATCTAAAGATATTTTATCCGTCAACGTCTTCAATATGAGAGTAGGAACTTCCACAGCAACTTTATCACGGCAGAGGTTTCTTGCGTGATTGGGATCACTTTGGGCCATGTGGGAATTAGATTATAAGGTTCTTCTTTTGTTTTTCAACGATTTTTCTTTTATGAGCTACAATCGATGGTGTGGGTAAATTTGCTTATATATGCAATACTTTACTTTATTTATTGGGTAAAAATAATTTACATCTTTTCTTTTGTTAGACTTTTGCCTACATAAACTTCAACAGCCTAATCCAATAATATTTTATTACATTTTGATATTGTTTTACTCTTCGTTTGGAATTTTGCTAAGCGTGTATTGGGCGTTCGGTTTTAGTCTAACAATTTTTATTGAAATCGGAAATAAATTGGAAATGAATAGATAAGGAAGAGGAAAGTTGGTATGAATAAAGTCTGCAACTTTGGGTTTTGGCCAAAATTACTCAAGAGATGAAAAGAGGCTCCACAAGCCGACAAAACAACATGGATAAGATAAAACTTTCTTCATCGCAATTTCATCAAATTTACGATTTTGGCTTTCGATTGGAAAACGGTTGCGAGGCGGTTCAGGTCGAACTGTTTCCTCGGTTATCAATTGATTAAATTTTTAGTATACAGTAATTGAAACCGTGGGGTAGCAAACATTCATTTCAGATGACAGAAATGGATTTGCAAGATTAGCATAATATTTACTAATTAATAAATAAACCTCATAATTTGGAAGTAATTACGGACCAAACCCAAGAACTAAAGGCGAGATTCTCAGCAAAGGTTCTAAAGTCTCTTTTGTGAATTTCCTAGCAAATAAAAAACATTTCGAGATTGTGATATTCTCACCATCACGGCCATAATACGCACACTCCTCTGAATACCGGATCCGGTTCAGAAACTCATCGGTCACATCAGGCCAAATAAACCGGCCAGGATGGGGACCGGCTCTCGACCAATCGACCCACGTCAAGGTCCGGTTGGAGCTCATCTCTCCATGCAACATGTGGACGAGAGTCGGGATATAATGTTCGTCCATGTAACAAGGCGGTTTACAATATTGATCGAATACCTTGTAATAAACCGTGTCTGCAATGATACGAAGAGCAAGTTCGCGAGTTGTTTCAAACCATTGCGACCCTTTTCGCCATTGTGTGATTTTGATTTGTGGATACATTTTGGAGTTGTAACGGCCTCGACCGGATTTTCTTGGATCGTCAAATGAGCCGATAAAGCTGAGATTGGTACCGGTTAAGTAATCGTAGATGGTTGTGAAATTAAAGAGTGGGATGCAAGAATCGGACAAGAGGACGAATCTTTGGTTCGATTCGTCGAGGAGAGCGTTGGCTAATAGTCTTCTCTCTGCGTCTACCATTGTTGGTGTTCCCCAATACACCGCCTGTTACACAATTTTTCACAACCATCATCTATTGTTTTATAATAATATAATTAAAACTCTTTATGCTGAGTCTACATATGCATTTTAAAACTATATTCTGTATTTTTTTACTGACATCATGATTTAAGAACTATCTATGTTATAGATTTGTTAACATGGTTAGAAAATGTATATATATATGGTATAGAATATAAATCAAATGGTTTCATGGACCATTATGCAAGGGTCGAATTGAGATCTATACACGTGCCACGTGAAAAACCAACCTGTCAAATCCAAGAAACATATACCTTTTGGCAAAACTAGGGGTATAATTGCTGATTATTGACATAACAAAATCTATGTATCATGATTATATCAATACTATATGAATCAAAATTCGCAGTTAAAAAAAAACAGGTGTAACTAAGTAAGAATGATTAAGAAAAGAGAAAGAGGTAAGTAAGTAATGAAAGAGTGATTAAGAAAAGAGAGGTAAGTAAGTAATGAAAGCTGTAATCACCTGGCTTGGGATTCTTCTTGAGTAGAAGACAGAAGTTTCAGGGTAATGTTCTTGAAAAGATGGGTTAGTATGAACATATATGGAATAAAACCCTTCATGCCCTTCAAAGAACTTCTCCCACAGATCAGCCAATGGGAGCCCGCCACCTGTCAGGAACATGAATGCCACTTTCACAACCATCTTCTCATCATTATTATGTCTCCCCCCAAACCATGATGATGATGATGATGGTGGTGGTGATAATGACGAGACCCTCGAGAAGAGCTCTTGATCACTCATGTTGTGTTTAAGTACTTGTGGTTGTAACTCTTGTTCGATCTCCATCGTTGTTGTGTGGTTGATAAATAGTAATGTGGACCATAAGGGTTGTTGTTGTGTCTTCGTCGTAGACATGTGGAAGGTTTTCAGTTGCAGACAAAGGAAGAGACCAACTGAGAAACCGATGATAAAGAAGAATGAGCTTAAGACATGATTTCCCTTTTGTAAAAGAATTAATCTCAAAAAGGGCTTTGAGATCATCGGCTGTTCTTCTTCTTTCTTGCTCTTTTGGTCAATAATGTCCATTGTACAGAGAGAGGGAAAGAGAAAGAGAGAGAGAGGTTGTGATCATTAAGGATTTTGCAACTAAGAGTTATTATTATATATATATATGTGTGTGTGTTATTACAAGTTGTAAAAGACTAACAATGTATTTGAAGTGTATTAGACAAAGTCAAAGGATATATTTTGCAAGGTAACGTACATTAACAAGGTTAGTCACTTTAAATTGAAGACTTGGCCTGTTGACTTTTATACATTTGTTCTGAAGTCCATATATATAATAGGGTTGGGCAAATTATCCGTTATATTTGATTTGATCCGCTATTTATTTCGATTCGATCCGAAAAATCCAGATATCTATAATTTTACGGAGCAAAGCAAATACTAAATTTAATATCCGTTAAAAATGAAATAAATCACAAATATTAAAATTTTAAGAGTCGGATATCCGATCCACTCTGATATACATATATATATATATATATATATATATAAATAATTACATATATAATGTATAGTTAATATAATTATATATAAATTTTTGTGAATTTATATTTATTTTAATATAAAAATTAAATAAAATTAAAAATAACAATTTAAAATTTAATATATAAGTTAATTTTTGATTTTTAATTATTTTTATAAATATTTTTAATTATTTTATAATTAATTTAATATTTTTGAAACAGATCAGATATTCGGTCAAAAATCCGGATTTTAACGGATATCCGATTAGCAACGGATCAAATACGGATTAAAAAATTGTTAATCCAGACTAGACAGAGCGGATCACGAATATCACTAAAATTCTGGATATCCGTTCCATACCGATGCCTAATATATAATACGATCATGTTTGAGATACAAAACTTAGGTTTTAGATCTTAACATTCATAAGATTTCACGAAATTTGATCTTGCCCGTAGGACGGAGTAAAAGGTACAAAAGTCTGCAATTTTAAGTAAAAGTGATATGTTGTATATAAAAAAAAAGCTAATTGTGATTAATATATCAAGAATCTTAATTCGGTACCACCTCCATTGCACCTATAACAAGAAAGTCAAGTTTGAATAGTTGAATGGAATGGAACAAAATCTTAAATAAACTGAATCATTACTGGACACACTGGTGAATGGTGATATAACCGACCATTTCTATATATCTAACATGTACTTTGATAAAATGTGAAATTATCATCTATCCATGATGGGGTTTAATTCTTTTGTCTAATTTTTGTTTGTTGTTTGAGGTCTAATTAAAGTGAACCAAAACAACTTTCTTAGGAAGCAACCCAAAAAGCATTAATTCTAACTCGGTAACTTGCAAATAAAGATAATCAAACCAAAGTCAAAGTCAAATCCAAAACCAAGATGTTCATTCATGATCAAAACAAAAGTCTAACTAATGAACTTTCATAAGTTAAAAGAGAAATCGAAGAGCGTAGAAAATGGTTGGTGCTCACCCACGAAACCTAGGAACAAATGCCTAATTTTAGGTACACTTCAATGTCAATAATCCAGCATAATTAATTTTGGGTGTAATTTATCAAAATTCTAATTTCTCTGGGTGTAATTTCGAATTCCAGAAAATAGTAGATCTATTATGCATTAATTCAAAACATTCGGGTGACTTTGGGGGTTGATTTCAGTATTTTCAGAAAATGGGAGTAATGTAAAAGAAAAAACTGAAAAAGTGGGAAACGACCAATCCGACGTCGTTTTATTCTAAAAATCCTCGAAGAAGAACCAGCGATGGACGCCGACGGAGAAACCACGGCGACGATAGAGAAAATTGACAGAAACTCAGACGAAAATCGAAAAGAAGCGTTATTAGCGTCAACAGAGTCTCTTCAACCTAATTTCAATCGATCCAACGTCACTCAGAAACAAATTTCGAAATTACAGGTCGGATTTTCAAATCATTCGCCTCGATTTTTTTTTTTTTTAAATTCGATTCTTAATGTATCCATGAGATTATAAACACTTGATGTCGTTTAAACATCTCATATGAGGAATCGTTAAAGCTTTGTGTTAACCTCCTCGAACGTTGTCAGATTTTCGAGGAGTGTATGTATGTATCTTGATCGACTCTCTTAAACTTGTTCGATCCAGGTCCCGAGATGTTCGGTTTGATTTTTTTTTTCCGTTTCAATTCGGCTTACATATGATCGACAGCAAAAGTTTATCACCTGATTTTGGTTATGTTATGAGATCACAGGAGCTACACAAGAGACGTATGCAAATAAAAGCCTATTCAAAGATCCATAAGAAACCTAAAGGTAACTCTCTTGTTTGTAAACCATCGGTTCATATTCATTCAACGAAAGTTGCTAAACGCTCTAAACTGAAATGTAGAGAGCAAAAGTTCTCGGAGCAGAGCAATCGAAGATGGCGAAAGCTTTAAGAAATTGAAAGAATCAGATTCTTCTTCTTCTACCTTAGAACGGCATGATCATCATAAGACAGCAGTCACAGTATTAAAGATTCCACAAAAGCTGTATTGGGGGTAAGTTTTTATGCTGTTTTTGGGAAACTTTCAAGGTATTGAGAAACCACGCTAATGAAAATGTGTTTTGCGGTTTTGTATTGGAAACAGGCTAGATGCTAAGGAAAGGTGGGAAAGGAAAGCCAATATGTAGTGATGAATCGATTTCTCGTTATTGATAACAACCTCCATTGTACAAGTTATTAAAAAGCAAGAAGAGTAGAACGAACGAAAGAGAGAGAAAGACTAACAAGTTCAATGATGAAACAAAGTGGTTTTTCTTTTTTTTGTTTAGTTTCAAGCTCCAGAGGTAAGCGCAAGCTCTATTTCCTCGAGTGATCGTCCTTTAGTCTCGACCACGTTTCCTGCAATGTAGATGACGGCAAGGACGCAGACTCCAGCGAAACCCAAGTAGACACTGCTGATTCCGAATTTAGTCACAACACTTAGGAAATAGAGTCCAATCACAAAGTTTGAGATCTGTTGGGGGGCAAAAGAGAAAAGCATAAAAATATCATTAGAAATGGAGAGAAGAAACTCTGTTCTGAACTATAGAACTTATATAATATTATTATATACCCAGTGCATGCCGAGAGAAAGAGCGACGGCTTTTGCTCTGATTCGGGATGCGAATATCTCTGGAAGAAGAAGAGCCGGTACCGGACCAGCACCAAGTGAGAATGACAGCACATATCTGGTTAAACAAGAGAGCACAAGAATCGGTCAAGTCCTTTACAGAGAGAGTAAAACGAAATTCTAAGAGGAGATTGACTTACAGAACAGTTCCAACAACAGCAAGGGTGCCAGAATATGCAGCAAGAGCCTTCCATGTGAAGGACAAAGAGAGCAAAAGCATCGACAAAGCCTTTTTTTCCATACAAAATTCACAAGCACAAGTTAGCCCGAATTATGGTAATGCCGGTTAAGATGTACCAAATATGGCTAAGAATGATAATGAAGAAATGTACCATTCCACCAAAGCTTGTGAGTAGAAGACTTTTCCTTCCCATTTTGTCCATCAAGGACGAAGCAACAGCAGTGCCTGCAACGTGATTTTAATCGAGTTATTTGTTTGGTTATGTTGGAACTCAAGAGGTAACAACAAAAGAGAAAACGAACCAAAGACGTTTGATGCTCCGACGAGGGCACTGGCTGCAACATCAGATTGGATTCCGGCGCTACGGAACACCGATGTAGAGTAGTACACAACTGCGTTTATCCCGGCTAACTGTTGAAACAGGAAGAGTGCCGCACCTACGCTTACAACTACAACAACACAGACACGACACTACGTAAACATATCAAAAACGATTTCAAGGATTTATCTTGGCTTAAACCCATCTCCTTTTTTTTATTAGAAGCGGAACAATGTATCTCTAGCAAGTCTTGCAATACCTTTGAAGTAGCGGCTGCTGAATAGATCAAACCATCCTGCTTCTGGCTCAGAAGAACCTTGGCCAGAGGTTGATAGGTCACGCACTAGTTCAACCACTCTTTCTTTACCATACAGAGTTTTGATCGCCTTTTCAGCTTCAGAGATTTTTCCTTGCTGCAAATTTGATTTCACTGACTAGTCAGAAATATGATCTCAGTTAAGTGTGAGTTGCGTCCCTTGGAGAGTTACCTGAACGAGCCACCTTGGGCTTTCTGGAGAAAAAGCCATTCCTATGGCCAGTAGAACGGAAGGGATAACTGCTACACCAAACATCGTCCTCCACCTACAAAATCATGAGGATTGAAACTTGTATAAAACACAAATATGCAACCAAAGAAAAACATTTAAGTCTAAAAGGATTTACATACCATAGAGGGTTTGCTGCAAGAGGCAATCCAGCTATCAAAGCTGCAAGTATTCCTATGCATATGAACAACTGGTTCACAGATCCGAGTGCTCCACGGATTTCGGTTGGTGATATCTGACACCAATCATCATGCTCTTCAGCAACATATAACATATAAAGAAAGATCTGATATCTTAAGTGTGCAAGTTTTATGAAACTCAACCTCGGATATGTAAAGTGGTACAATCGCAGATGAGATTCCGATTCCAATTCCTGCGAGCAGACGTCCCACAATCATAGTTTGCACACTCTGAGCTGTTGCACTATGAATCAAAAAGAGAACCAATACATTAAAAAAATACATCATCACTTAACTTCCCACCATCAGTTATAACTTAGTGCTTGGAAAAATACCATAAGAAAGCTCCGACAGCAAGTGGGATAGCATCCAACTGGAACGTTCTTGTTCGTCCAAATTTGTCAGCTAATGCACCTCCGGTGAATGAACCAACCGTTGCACCAGCAAGCAGCGCACTAACAATCCATCCTGCTCAGACACATATGAACACGAATCGAAAATGCTGTCATATCTATTTTTATTAAAGGAGTATGATGATACATGCCACACATTTCAGTTGATTACTCTGGATGATTCTATGCACAGGGAGGAGTAAGAGAAGTCAATCATACACTTGCCTTGTAAAACAGCATTATCGGCGATTCCAAGATCCTTAGCAAGGTACTCGAGAGCCCCGTTAACTACCCTGATTCAATGCAACGGAACATCATCATCATTTTATATCTACCAACATCCATGATCACATCAAGACAACAACCAACAAGAAGGTGATTCAAGTGTAGTTTACTCTCTTACCCAAGGTGATAACCAAACAATATAGCACCAAGACAAGCAACACCAACGAACGGCAAAACCGTCCCGGAGCTTTGTCCTTCAGATCTTAGAGGTATAGCTTCTTCTGCATCTCCACCTACATTCAACCCTCAACTCATCAGATGATTACTCCAAAAGCCGACAAAACATAGTAACTTAGAAGAATTGGTTATTCCCAAACTATATACAAAGACTCTCAAATCTTAGTAAGAACTTGTAACCAAATATAAACACATAGAAGATTGAAGACGAACCAGAGGAGGCTTGAGCTCTGACCGATCGAGCTTTGACCGAAGATAAACTCATAACGCTCTGGATCTCGTTTTCAGCGCGAGCAAGCTTCGCTCCCATGGCTTTCGAACCAGAACAGTGGAGTGGTGTGAAGCAGGAGCCGGTGGCTAAGCGAATTCCGGTAGTAGTCGCCGATCTGTTGTGGAGGTTAGAGAAGCACCGTTTCTGAAACGCAAACGCGGCGTTTCCTTTTACCGCATACGTTGACGACTGCATTTTTGTCTTTTATAACCGTATTTGCGAGGAAAAGAGAGAGAGAGATTAGTCAAAAAAAAATGAGAAGATATCGCATTTAATCCAACAGAGCTAAAAAGAGGAGCATGAAGCGATGAACACGAAATATCACGAAATAAGAAAAATCGATGCATTGATGATGGTGAACGAGAGCGAAAGAGGGAAAACGCTCTCTCGATCGCGACTGGTTAACAAAAATCGAGTAATCAAAAGCGATACTTCAGATTTGGAAAACGAAGAACAAAGACCAGAGAGAGAGAAACGATTTCGAAAACAGGATTACCAGAGAAACTTCGGAGACTCCGCGGAGAGAGAGAGAGCTAGAGAGAAGATACTGAGAGCTTCACCAGAGATTTCGATGCAGAGAAAGAACTTACTTGTGCGCTTATGTCGTTATCAAAGAATTGTAATTTCAAGTTCTGTCGTCAAATAATTTCAAGAATTTAAAACGCCAAAAAAATAATATACCAAATTTGTTTCCTCATATTTTTTGGATTTTTGCGTAATTTTATAAATCATGTTTATCCAAACCATAAGGAAAAATGGAAAATAAAGTAGTTTATGATTTTCTGAATTGATATTCTTCATTACACTGACTCATTTAGAACATCATAAATATAATCAAAATGGCGGATTCATTGATGAAAGTTTTGGCTATTTTACATTATTTTAGCCAAATAAATATTTAATTTCTGTTATTGGACTTGTAAAATCTTAAAATATCTAGATATGCAGAATCATATAATCATTGTACAGTTCAACATATTACCAGTCAAAAATTATATTTATATTCATTATCGTCGTTATTTAATCTTTGACGAAAAACATATGGGCAGCATTTTGAATATCTTTACAAATACAATGATTAGAAAATACAAATTTGGAAAAACAGTTGGACGAGATATGTGATTGGTGCAGAAATAAAAGGGTGAAACGTTAAAAAAGAGAGTGAAGAACAAAAAAAGAAGTAAAAGAAGCAGGGAGCCGCAGGAGGCTATTTGGCAACGGTGGATTTTCTGGATTAGATTTTGGATGACGTGGGCCGCACGTGAAGGAGAAGACATACTCACGTGCCGTATAGATTTGGTCCATTTGGATAGTGGACTATGGGTGACGTATAAAAAATCCATTTAATTATCATAGTAACTTGGGTCACTATTACTTCGCCCATCATACTCTTATGGACTAACTATTACAAGGCCCATTAACGAAAATTCGGACCAATTTAAGATCTTCGTCTCGGTCTCCGACTCTGATACTCTCTCTCACTCAACTCATCGTTCTATCTCATTCCAACGGCTTCACGAAAGAAAAATCTTAAATAAACTTTTTTTGTTAGTCATCGTGATTCAAAATCTACAGAAGAAGAGGTCAGCGATTACTTCTCTAATTTATATTCTTATACTGTGAAATTATAACATAATAATCTAAACCACAAACACAAATCTTTGCAATCCTCGTAAATAATTACTAATCTGCTGTGTCCAGATTCTGTTTGATTACCATTACCTTTTTTTTTTTTGCTCTGCTTTGGCTCTCTGTTGTTGGGTTACAGTTCATCCTTGATTCTCAGTGGTTAAATGATTACGATTTTCATTATAGTGGTGAAAGTGTTTGTTAATGTGTTCAATGCTATATATTAAAAGAGGATGTATTATTCTAGAAGTTTCTCATATCTTTGAATATTTCGAAACATCGTCATGATATTTGTAGCACAGATTACCTAATAGATTACATTTCTTTGAACTCAACAGTTCGATGTTCTGCTCAGCGTTTACTCCAAGTATTTACCACTTTCATGCGGAAAAGCCTGTCTTTCGGAAACCGAGGTTTCGGGTTTGTTCATCTACTTCTAGTGGGAATGACAGATTCAAACTAGAGTATACTCCTTGGCTTATCGTTGGGTTGGGTAATCCAGGAAACAAGTATCATGGAACAAGACACAATGTAAATGAAAAAGCAATCATTTTTCTCGTTTGAATTGATTTTGATATGTTGGGTTGTGATCTCTGCAAGTTTGTGCTGTTTCCAGGTTGGTTTCGAGATGGTCGATAAGTTGGCAAGAAAAGAAGGTGTTTTGATGAACACAATACAGTCGAAAGCTCTTATCGGAATAGGTATTACTTCTCTTGCTTTCGCTTCTTTCGGTTTGGAGCATAACAAAGCTGATGACTTTTCGGGTCTATGTATGATCAGTACAGGTGCTATCGAAGAGGTACCTATCTTGTTGGCTAAACCTCAGACTTATATGAACTTCAGCGGCGAATCGGTTTGTATTGTTCTCTTTTCATAACATTTGCAAAGATACTGTATATTCACGATCAAACATTCTCATATTTTTGAAACTGTTCTGTTTTCGTTTAAAGGTTGGATCTTTAGCTGCACACTATCAAGTACCATTGCGCCACATTTTACTGGTAACGTTACTGAGTTTAACATCCCTCGAAATCAGAACAATGTTTTCGAATGAACCCTTTTTTTGTTGAATCTTGATGTGTTTTTGCCTCCTAGATTTACGATGAGATGGCTTTACCAAATGGGGTTTTGAGACTTCAACCAAAAGGAGGTCAAGGCTATCACAACGGGTATGTATGTGCCTTTTGAACATCTAACTGTGTTCTCTGGTCTAGAAACCTAATGTTACCTTTGTAATTGTTGCAGAGTAAAGAGTGTAATGGGGCATTTGGATGGTCGTAGAAACTTTCCAAGGCTAAGCATAGGTACGGTTTTTGGTTATGGATTGGTTCGGTTTAAACCCGAGACTATCATTTGTTTCTCTCTCAAGGTTTTTGTATTGTTGGTTTTTTTGTAATCAGGCATTGGTAATCCACCTGGAAACATGGACATGAAAGCTTTTCTTCTTCAGAAATTTAGTCCATCGGAACGGAAACAGATCGATGAAGGACTCGAGCAAGGAAGTGAAGCAGTGAGGACTCTTGTACTCAATGGATTCAATCAAGGAATCTCAAGATTTAATCTTGTGCAGAAGTATAAATTCCACAAAGTATAAATGAAACATAACAGACGGGGGGTTTTTGCTTTAATTTGCAGAAAGCAACTAAAAAAAGGTGTAGAGTTTCAGATTGGTTTAGCATTTTAATTTATTGTTGAACGAACAATAAACAAGACCGTCGATGAATGAATTTCTTAATTTGAACTTCCCTATCAACATCAATTTTGCTGTTATCACTTGATTTTAAGTTAAAAAGAGCAACAGTAACTTTTATGTACATGTACACTTTCGGTCGAGTATAAATGTATAATCTTTGCAGAAATTAAATTGAATTAGAGAGTTGGGTTACTCGATGTATTGTTGCGGGAAATTGAGCATGAATCTGAAATTATAAAGAGTTTCAAAATTGAAAAGCACAGAAAAGGCGTCTTTGTGAATAGAAGATTAAAGATTGTAAATAAGGAACTGAAATCAAAAGTGAGTTTCCATCATCCTAAATACCACAAAACAGAATCAAAAGCCCTCTTCTCTATCCTCATGATTCTTCAAACATATCATTAACGTCTTCATTCAAGCTTCGATCGGGTACTCAAAAGTAACATCGTTTCCGGTAAGTTTCCGGTACACACCAATCATACTCTCGAGCTTGTACTCTGTGTTGTTCTTTTCCTTGGCATCCAAGAAGACCTGTGACAGTCAAAACAGAATCAAAACCTTCGCTCAAAAGTACTCAGACAAAGATCTGATATAAGCAATGAACAGCTTGGATCAAAAGTATTGAGAGAAATATCTGATATAGTACCTTCATGATCTTGGATCCATCGAGACGGTAGCGAGTACGTTTTCCAACAATCTCAGCAGGGTAAGCAACATCCTCGAGCAAAGCTTCATGAACAGAGGTTAGAGTTCTGTTGCGTGGTCTCTGAACAGCAGCACCCTTCTTGGGAGGACGCATGATCCTTCTTGATGTAACAAAGATAACATCCTGCAAAAGAGAAATTGGCATGATTATTAAGAACACACTTCACTACTCTTTAAGCCCATCATTAAAGAGGAAGTGTTTTAACTAATATTACCTTTCCACTAAACTTCTTCTCAAGCTCTCTAACAAGACGGGGATGAATCTTGCGGAAAGATTTCCTCAATCTGAACGGGACGGAAATCACAACGGCTTTGCGGTTTCCAGAGATGTCCATGTTACTGCAAATGAAGTAATCAAATTATATTCCATCTATAAAGGCCAACACAACTCGGAATGCGAAAGGGGGAAGAAACAAAATGCAGCAACATACACAGCCTGGTTGATGTAGAGATCTTTCAACTCGCTTTTCAAATCATTGTTGGTGTTCTCCAAATCAAACAAAGCCTGAGAGATAAACCAGTAACTTGTTATAGATGGAAGAAATCACAACAAGACTGTTCTACTGACAAATGCATAAAAGGAGTTTTTATTACCTGAGCAACTTGCTCGTCGCATTCTGTTGGCTCGGCATTCTTGTCCTTCTTGATCTTGTTCTGAGCGGAGAACATCTTCACAGATCTTCAACTGCAAAGAAACAAAACAAGAGAGGGCATGAGTTTCAAGCTTCCAGATACTGATCAACTCACTAAAATCAAGATCAACATTACAGAAAATCCATTTTTTGTGATTTTATGTGATACATTAACAAAATGATAGTTGAAGTCTTTTTGGATCAAGCAAAAGAGCTCAGTTTTCTAATTGATGAGTCAAAAAAAGGTTAAACAGGGCTCTTGTATTCAATCATACTCTTTTATTGTATTCTGAAATCGAAAATGCTTGATAGTCTACAGAGGATTAAACTAAACCATAGTACCCTTCTCATAAAAACCAAAACCTCTATGACTTCATACCAATTACAGAAGCTAAGATATTCCACCATTTTACACTGAAGTGAACTATTAGATTTTAGAAGAATCGTAAAAAAAAAAAACAGAGCAAAACCCATCCGAAAATATTCGTAGAAAACGACGGAATATAGAAGAAGCGTAAGAGAAACCATTTGCGACGTACCGGATTAGCGAAGACGGAGCAAGATCTGCAGCAACGAAGAAGAGCCCTAGATTGATAAAAAAAAAAAGGTTGCGGCTTCTCCTTAGAAGATACAGCAGTTTTGTGTAAAATCAGGTTTTAATGTTTGATGATTAGGGTTTCAAGGTTGCCCTATTCTGAATGGGGTCTGATATGGGCCGTAAAATGGTTCTTAAAGCCTGTGAGGCTTATTTTTTAATAGATGACCCAAACAACGAAGTTATATCTTTCTGTGTCAAATTTTCAATTTGGGATGAAATAATATTTGTTTCGAGAAATACTTAAATGCAAATGTAGTTGTAATATAAACGATTGCAAGTTTGCAACCACTCTCAAAAAACCATTTTATGGAAGATTTTATATATACACGTTTTTGTCACAATACTTATAAAACCAGGAGATGGTAGAATAAAGATGCTAATTTTAGTTATTAGTTTTTTACTTTTATAAGATAGGCAACTTTAGTGAAATACGAGATTACATAAACAGCTTGATCATGTATGTTAAATTTGATTATAAGACAGCTCTGGGCCTCTTAAGAAATAAAGACCCTTTATTGCTTATTCATTGATAAAAAAAAAAAATACTCTCCAAATGTAAACAAATGAATTTTACCGAAAACAAATGATGATAATCTATGTAGTAACAAATGGTCCCTGAGCTTGTAAACTATGGTCGTCGAGCCAGGAGATAATATCGGACAAGACACGGAGGATCATTTCGTCTGGTTCGCCTTCGAGCAGAGAATGATAAGCATCTTTATACATAACTATCTTCTTGTCTGAACTTTTCGCTTTCTCGTAAAGCTCTCTGCTCACTGATGGATCTGTCACTCTATCAGCCTCTCCGTGCAGAATCAGTATCGGCAAAGACACCTGCAAAGACAAATTCAGGAAACATTCATTACTCTGATCCTGCATTGTTCAGGTTCGAGTTTTCTCGTACTTGATTTTACCTTTTGCAATTGTTGCTCAATCTCCTGAGTTGTTCTAAGCATTTCTACTGCGGTACGAAGCCGCGGTTTGCCGCTGTAACAAATGATGTTGTATGGTGTCGGCAGATTTTAAGAAACAAGAAGACAGGTTTAGTAAAGCAATCGATTAAACCAAAAAAAGGCGATTAAGTTTCTCAATCTGTAAAAATTGTGGTTTTACCATATTTCTCTTCCTGAGATCTCTAAAAGCTGCCTCTGCTAAATCCTTTTGTGGAACCAACTTGTGTTTCGGTAGAACACTAGCAAGACCGATCAAAATCTGTTTTAAAACTGGTGGTGGAACCATATCATCTGCAATCTAGAATGAATATACATATTTCATGTTAATTGTTATGGTTTAGTAGTAATCCGCCAGATTTCATCAACAATGCAGATAAATGAAAAGAGAAACAAGACTTTACTTTGCACATTGGTGCTACCAAGACTGCTCCGGTCCACGCATCTGGTTGTTTCAAATGTATTTTGAGCGACACGGCTCCTCCCATTGACTGACCAAAGAGAAAGCTCGGTAGAGAGCTATACTCAGGATTCTCTACAATCAACAATAATCAAAAATCTATCGGTACCTAAACCATGAACCTGAAGTATCTATTATATACCCTTTCGAGACATACGATGTGATTCAAAGTTTTTACCTTTTATGTTGGAGTAATGCTCGATGACATCTTCAACAAGAAGATCAAAGCTAGGGATATAACCGTGCAAGCCTTCCGATAAGCCAAATCCCGGATAGTCCATAGCGAAAACACCGTATCCCGACAATGCCAATCTCCTTGCAATCCCTGCCAACAACCGAGCTAGTAAGCAACCAAACATGTCCCTACTTTCACAAGCAAACCACATGGCTATTAAGAACAAAAAACCAAACATGCCTTCGAAGAAAAACGTGCAGGTATCTCCATAACCATGGCAGAAACAAACCAAAGCTCTGGGCCTAGCAGCTTCAGGAAGCCAGCTTTTGGAGAATATCTCAACTCCTCGTGAATTCACCTCATAAGACTGCAAAAATCACAGATCATCGATCATCACAAACAGTTGCTTCAAGCTATAATAAACTAAACTAAATCATCAGATAAAACACATGCTTCTCTTCTTTTACCTCTTTTGTCTTAATTCCATCTCCTGGTGTCTGTAACATCACGAAAAAAACAACACGTTCAGTATAAAATAAAAACCCACACAATTCAGACAGAGCCTGAAGCAAAATGTTCTAAAGTCTCAACCTTTCTTAAACCCACTTCGATTGGAAGGAACGAAAAAAGAAAAACATAAAAATTCCAGCAATTCAGGCGAATAGATTCAATTTCGGATATTAAGTTACCTTAAAGAGGATATGATCGAGATTATGCTGAATATCTTTTAAGGCATCGCGAACATGACGACGCGCCGGAGCTTGGTCAATGTCAACCTCCTTGAGCCGCCGGAGCTCCTCGTTGTCTACCTTCGCCGTCGGAGCCATCGATCGCTTCCTTTGCCACACTGATCTTCTTCCTTTATCTACAAACCCTATAATTTAAGAAAACCAAAAAAAACCCTTTTTGCAAATCGGTCAAATTAATCCACGCAACAGTAAAAAAAACGAGTTACTGTAATTCCAAAATAAATCTCAGGTTTGTTAAAAAAAAATTAAAAACGAAATTGAATGGATAGTTACGAATAATGTTAGTGATGACAAATGCTACCGTGTAAAGGACTGAAAAGCGAGAGCTTTGCTGATCTCAGAGCCATAAAATCTAATTCTATAAAGGAATCGTTCAAAAAAATTGTATTTAAATGAAAAAAAGAAATCAAAACTGTTATTTTCCACCTTGTTTTTATTTTTGCGAAGGATAAGAATAAAGATGACACGAAAGTGAGGAAGGAGATGTTTAAGAAAATCATCAGAATTACGCAATTATTATTATATCAATGAGTTCTCTGGTTCTTGTCTTCTCTTTGTCTTTAGTAATGCTTTCATCGTGTGAACAATACTGTCGGGAGTATTATTTGTGTTTGAGTTTGAGATTGGATCCTCAAAAGATTCTATGACGATATGCTAACGCGTCTGTGTCGTTAGATAGACGACAATCCATTAATGCGATGCCACGTGTGTATACTATAATGAGTCACGTCACGTGCATTTAGGTAAGGAGTTTAGCATGAATAATATTTTTTCTCAAAGAGTTGGAACTTGGAAACCTCCTGATTTTTATTTTTATAAGTTTATAACTATGGGATCTCAACAAACGAGATTTTCACATTATGTATAGTCTCATGAAATTATTAACAATAATTCAAACATCATGTTGGAATGATAAATTATCGGTAGCATTTAAGTTTTATATTTTATGAATTATGTATCGAGAAAATGGGATATAGTATTTTATGAAAAATAGAAAAAAAATAAGTTGAAGTCATACTCTATATCCTCTAGTTTTGATGTCGAAGTTTTTAAAATTTTGACAAGATATACCTCATTAAGTGTTTTTGTGAAGCTTAATTAGAGCTTGGTAATATGTATATAACTCCGGACATTTACAGGTTCCCGACAAAGACACACTATATATATAAAATATGGAAGCGATTGAATCATATGTTTCGAGCCTTGTCTTCTCATATCTCCCAAAACCTTCTTTGCTATTTGGTCTTCTCTGTTTTCTTTAGTATTTAAAAAAAAAACTAATTATGGAATATGGTTCCAAAGATATAATTTAAACAACATGACTTCAACGGTTGATATAAGAAAAGTTCAAAAAAAAAAAAAAAAAACGGTTGATATAAGAAACAATCTTCGGCTTCTATCTTTCTTCAGTTTTTCCTTTTCTTTTCAAATTGAACCGTGTTTATTGCAAACCATATGCACGTCGAATCGGTTGGTATTTAAGAAAATAGATCTGTGAGTCATACGAGAATAAGCTAAAAAGATCTACTGATTTTTTAAATTACCTCATAGACACTGACAAAATAATTTGATATTTTAACACCATTATTATAATTACAAGCTTGATATCAATAATGTATAACTGACGGTAATAGCTAATGAAATTGAAAGGAGAAAAAAACGATGGAATCTCCTCTAATATTTAGCCATGTAAAACCATATTTAGCCAGCTTACTTAATTACTTTTGTTCATATGTTTGACACTTTGACATACCCGTGGACGTTTTACTATCTAGTTTTACATGCGCGCTTTATATTGCAGTTTTTCTTGGTTAAAACCATTGAAATGATGAGTCTCTTTAGTGATTGCATTCAAATTATGAGATAACAATTATTTTTTTTATAACTTTTTATTATATTTCTCATCAACGCTAAAATATGTCAAAGATTCTCAAATATAAAGAATTTGATTTTGGTAATCTTTTATTTTTTTCATTGGATTTTCGTCACATGATCTAACAAAGTCTCCAAACTAGATACACTAATATTTTTTAGTAGTTGTTTTTTAACTGGATTTTAGTTATTCGATCTAACAAAGTCTCCAAGATAAGTATTTTACCAAACTGTTGATAGATACATTAGTATTTAGTAGGAGTAGTAGTTAACAACGTAACACCTGACTGATGTCAAACGTACTTATTGAAGATTCAACTACTGATTAAGTTTGATTTTTTTTTTAGTCGAATAACCCCACCACACGGTACCGTATATGCCCTTATCTTTATTTCTGGAAAAAGTATAATCGTATATAAAATTGGGTTTCAAATAATGCTCCCTTTTGGCTTTATTCTTCCTTTGTTCAATGCGTAAATGGCTCGCATGTCTCTCTTCCCACTGTCCTTTTCTCTCCGGCCTGGCGGTCTCCACGATTATTTTTTAATACTTTCCCTCTTGATTTGGCATTTTTATATATTTATTAATTATATACGTAATACCTTGTTTACTTAACTTTTGAAGTTATGGTTTCTTTCAGACATCTACTTGTTGTTTATACTTTATAATACGGAAAAATGTTATGCGGGATCTGTAATAAGTTCGAAACAAGGTAGCATTCACTGGACCTGTAAATCTGTAATGCAGCAGTGATGGTAATTAAAAAAACCAAAAAAAAACCTGCTTCTATGAAAAAAAATAGTCAACGCTGATAGTATTACTGTCTGCTGACGTGGACACGTTTTTTTATGGAAGCCAGCAAACAAATTAAAATAAGTTAAATGAATAAAGAAACATTGGACCCGATAACCAAACCCTTTGCGGTCAAAATGTCAAACTTCACAAATGATATTGCCACCCAGGCATGCGTTTTAATTTACTTTATTAGATAAAAGACGAAAGAAAAACAGAATCTCGAAGTTTTTTTAATTGAGATCTATAAAAATAGTTTTAAATTAAACTCTAGATACCCATGTGATTCTGTGAATGTAGGGTTTTGGTAGAGAAATCAAATTTAGGGGATGGTTAGTAAGTTAATATGTTAAAGTACAATTAATGTTTGCTTGGCTCCGATCGATATTATTAAAAAACAATTGTTACCATTTTGTACTTCAAATTTATATAACCCTCTCAGTGTGAAAGTAAACTTTAAGATATTTTTTTTGGAGGATTCTGTTTCTCTCTAATAATTACTACATTTTCATTCAATTTAATTAAAATCTGAGAATTTTAATTTTATATGAACCTAACCATATGTAGTAACATCCTTTTTTTAAAAAGATGGCAACGTTTCAATATTTCCATTTTTTTCTATTTCCTTAAATAATTTTTTGTTTATTTACTAAACTTTAAAGTTCTTTGTTTTTCTGCAAAAAAATCATTAGTTATTGATAAACTTTGATATTTTTTTTACCAATAGATAAAATATAATAATTAATTACAAACCCAATTATAAATGCATGGAAATCGGAATATTAAGCTGTCCACAAATATCACTATTACGACGGCGAGAAAAAGCAATTTTACATTTCCACCAAAACGACATCGTTTTAGGTTGTCTTCAACCTCACCCACACTTTGGTCTCATCCTTTTATAAAATCCCTATTTCCTCAGACGTTTTTCGCCTCTCTCTCTCTCTCTTTCTCATATCTTCTCCGTCATCGGGCTATCTCCTCTCTGTGGAATTTTACTCAGGTATCTCTCTCTCCTTTTCTCTTTCTTCTTTTCTCAAGCTCCGCGCCGTTTACGGCTGATTTTACAGATCGCTGTTACTTTTGTTTTGGTGTGTGTGTGTGTGTGTGTGTGTGTGTGTGTTCATTCTCAGTAATTTGTAACAGAGAATAGATCTATGGTTTTAATTCCCGTAATTATTTTGCTTTTTAGAGTCGGAAGTTCGGTTAAATTCGAGTCAAAACTTCTGGGTTCTGTTGGTTTTTTTTTTTTGGCTTTTATTCTGAATTATCAATTTTCTGGGATCTGGGTTTCCTCTTAGCCACTGGGTCAAACGTCATCGTTGGCTTTATCCGTAATCGTATTATGTTTTCCAAAAGTTCTTTTTATTGCCGATCTCTCTGAATTTCGAATGATCTATTTTCTTCCCCTAAAGCGATTCGTTGGGTTTGAGTCACATAATTCATGTAGAAAGCTCCTTTTTTCCCCTCATGATTTTTCTTGGAGTTGATCCAGATTCGTTGTTTTGTTCGTTTCCCTCTGATTCCCACGAGAAAGCTTGGAAATTTTTCTCAGATCCTACAAAGTAAACCCTAGTTTCTCATTGTCTGAATTTGAAACCGTATTCAGACAAATCAAGCTTGTCGAATTCTCGCCCTTCTGAGTGTCGTCATGCATCTGATCTAATTCGATTCGATTTCTCTTTGGTGGAAAACCAGGTTTTTAGGCGTTCTTCTGTGGATCAAGGCGAAAAAAGATGAATCATTGCAACCTTCAGCAGAACGCCTTCATGTCTCGCGAGGAGATGATGGGATTTGACCGGAAGGATCTTGTCGTTTGTCCTAAGCCCCGACGTGTTGGCTTACTCGCCAACAGCGTCATTCGCCCTCTCAGATTACATATGAGGTAAAACCAAAGCATCCTCCTTTCTATCTCTTATCAGATTTTGCAGTGATTACAACCAAACACTTACACAGCTTTGTTCCCCATGTGTAGTCAAGCTGCAGCTGATTTGTGTGATTCTAAAGCTGGTGCTGAGCTTTTGGATATAATTCGTAGAAAGGTGTGCTTCTGATATTTAACTTTTGATCTAAGGTTTAGTATCAGTGATTCATTATGTTTGAACTCATTATATCTTTCCTTTTGTTATTGTCTCGCCAGGAGGATAATGGAACAATAGGGCAATTACTATCATCATCTGTATCTTCATCACCACCATATTTTCCCGGTTCACCTCCGAGCAGAGCAGCGAACCCATTAGCCCAAGATGCTCGCTTTAGAGATGAGAAACTCAATCCAGTCTCACCAAACTCTCCTTTCCTTCAGCCCAATTCATCAACCGGTTTTCCATCTCCATCCCCGTCGTCATCATCATCATCGTCAGCTCGTGGTTGCGTTCGAATGAAGTTTGGACTCAAACCACCTGCAGTTAGAGTAGAAGGGTTCGATTGCTTGAACCGTGATCGCCAAAACTCGAGCATCCCTGCCATGGCTTAGTAGACAACAAAAACAAGTGTACATAGAGATTCCGGAATCGTTCGTTCACCAATGCCTAACAGAGGAGGATTTGATTACGACTACTACTACTACCATTTTTGAAGCAAATGAATATGTGAAAATCTCGTAGTGTTTTTCATCTTTTCCTGAGAGAGAGAGGGAGGGAGGAAGATGAAGATCAGTTACCGTCGCCGGTCACCGTCTTTTAACTTGTTATTGAGGTTAGTATTTGTATATAATAAATATGCAGTATTTAAAAGAAGAGTCGAACCCATGTATTCGTTTGGTGTTTTTCTGGGTCGGGCGGATCTTTATTATTGTTATATATATATATTATATAATTAAGGGGAAGATTAGAATAATCTGTAAAATCTTCTCTTTTGGCTTTCGTTGTAATATATGATGATCGATTTTGATTATCTTCTTTTCTGAGAATATATCACCACTGTGTATAGTGATGTCTCTTTTAAACTTCGTTTTGTATAGTAATGTCTCTTTTAACTTCTTGCATATTTTGCATTGCCGACAAACTTTGAACTTTATTAATAACACAAGTCCATACAACGTCATATCGATTATCTGGCTTCTCCTTCGATTATATGGGCAACTATACTGTTGTCCCTTTCAAAATAAACTCAGACGTATCAAAAATAACAGAGATGTTCCGGTCTCCTAATGTATTTCCGGTCACCTTCTTTTAAACTGTCACTGTTGAGGCCTCTTGTCTGTTCTTGGATATCCGAATCTGCTTTGTCAATGTCTTCGTGTGGATCAGATTGTTTGTTTTGGAAGATAAGCTCATTAATGCTGCTTGTTGTGGTCTATATAATGGGTTGAGACAATATTCATGTGGTTACCGAGATATAGGACAAAGTGATTATGGTATGTTAATGGGTTCTTTGTCTGTATTAACCGAGTGAGCTCTTGCTACAATATTAAAAAAAAAGTTTTAAGATTTGGAGGAATGTTTAATTTCTTAACGATCTGTTTTATCTCCGAGTCTTCATGTGGTCACTGGATTTCCTCTTCTAGTTCTTCATGATTGTGAGTGGATGAACCAATAGCCTGAACAACGAACGGACTTGGACTGAATAATCCTCCGAGTTTGTCTACTGTTAGATTATGAACTTGGAACTTAATTATGTATGACATTTGCTCAATTTTGAAAACAAGACGATACTTGAAATACTAATTTGAAAAGACTTCATATAAACAATATATTCCCATCAATGGTACGTTGGTTTCATCAAATTTCTGATCACATTATCATTCGGATTATTAAACACAAACATGAAAGAACAAATTGGAATTCCAATTGAAAGATACTTTGTTTACACTCTAGTTATGTAGTATATTCAAATATGAATACATGTTAATATCTCCTTACAATGTAATTGAGGCTAAAATCCATTAATACGTTGTATAAAAATTCCTTCTGTATTTTGTTTGCATTTTACAAATAATATATCTAAGGAAAAAAAAATGAAAATATCTGAGAAACAGACAGTTATTTCTCGCGCCAAGACAATTAACCGAACAAACACATCTGTTGAATCATTATAACTTACTACAACGACCATTAACCGCCAAAATTCTCTACCGTCTCTCCCATTACAAAACCTTCATCTGAACAAACTGTTACAACTCCCTTCCCTCACTTACTGTTCTTCAACTCTCAAGCATCTTACGGTGCTTGAGAGAGATTTTCTCTTTTCCATTTTGGTCTCATCCCAAAAGAAAAAAGAAAGCAATTAGGATAAGGGTGAAAAACAAATAAAATGGCGGGTAATGATGATAAACAATCATCCGCTTTGGAAGACAACAACGACGTAGGTCCGTACTATGATCCGTACTGTGAACCTTTCTCCGAAGAGGATCTCCTGAACGTTATCAATAGTCCAAATCCAAATTTGATGGACTTATCCTTCACCGTGAATCCTCTTTCCCCTCTTCCTCCTCCTCCTCCTACACCAACGACGGAGAATATTGACGAAACAGGGTTGATGCAGGAACTCTCCCTCTCATTCTCGAACTGCGACACCAACGAGTTTCTTAGTCCGCCTTTGCAAGATGATTCTACACCCTCTTGGGACATGGGCCTGTTCGATATACCAAGCGATGACCTCGACGCCATCATCAACTATAATGTCCTAGAACAGATTGGTAACGATAATGGTAACAATGTCGTTGAAACTGGTAGACTTGAACCGAGTACTCGAGTTTTTGCGGAAAACGGTACGAACTTTGAAACTGGTGGTTCATCAGCGACGCCTGTCCCGGCGATTACACCGATAACATCCGGAGGGGTCCTCGTATGCAATTGTTGCAACCTGCTTCGACGAGTATACCATTCTAATGGTATATCAATCACTAAGACGTTTGTTTACATATTGTTACACTGATCGCTTTATTGAGTGTTTGTATTTTTATGACGATAATATAGGTCAGGAGATGTTGAGATTTGATATCTTTGGAGGGATTGGGTATTTCTGCCATGCGGTTCTCGAGACTCGACGATTAGATGGTTCTAACGAATCTACACATTTAACATATCATTTGACGGATTTAACCATGGAGGAAGTGAGGTTGTTTCTAGAAGATTATTTCTCGGCGAGAGAAGCAAGCGGTTACGTCATTACGTCAGACACCGATACTGATTTCTTCCAAGCGATGAACGCTTGCTTCTGCAATAACCAGTCCTTTATGTCGACGTTGCCACCGCGCGATGATGTTCCAATGTCTTTGGCTATGCCTGATGAAACGCTTAATGTTCCACATGTGCCGCAATATGTTGGATTGAGAGATGAACCTCCTGTTCCCAAAAAAAAGCAGAGGAGACGAACCGCTCTCGCTGTGCAGGTCTTGTCTCTAATTTCTCATTTTATATTCATTTAACATCGTAGGATAAGTGTTTTGATAAAAACATGCTCCTTGTGCCACAAGTTTCCTTTTGCCACGTGGTTTGATTTTTAGGTTGAAAACTAGTCATGGATGTCTTAAAGGACGATCTTATCATAGACACAAATATAATTACTGGCATGCACACAGTGTTAAGGGTGGTGACCTTGTTAGGGTGTGCTTTTGGATTCATAACATGTCTTATTGTGAGAAATTAAATTGATTGATGTTATTCAATACAGTAACTGATTTTCGGTTTTGTGATTCATCTCTATGTGCCGAGGTCAAGAACAGAGGGAGAGGACCGGCAAGCTTACGCTGAAAGATATCAGTATGCATTTTCATCTTCCGATCGAACAAGCTGCTCGAAAAATGAGTCTTTGTCCTACAGTTGTCAAGAAGATATGCCGTAGGGGAGGGTTATATCGCTGGCCACACCGCAAAGTAATATTTTTGAAATCATATTTTATAATTTGATTTTAGCACTTTTCGTTATTTGTTAACCTTCTTTTACTTGTTTATCTGTTAAATTGATATGTAGATCAAAAGTCTTCTGAAGAAAATCGAGTTATTGAAGAGTGTACTATCCTCGGCAACGGATGATAAAGGGAGGGAGCATGCTGAACAACAGATTGAAAAACTTGAGCAGAAAATCGCAGAGATATGCAGCGAAATCCTCAAGAACTTTAAGTAATTTTTTGAAGAAAAAAACTTGTCGTAATAAGAAACTGTCTCACTCACAGCCGAGCATAAGTGGATTGTTACCCACTCATTTTGGATCCTTTTAGGAACTTTTCTTTTAGATTACTATTCTCATGTGAGTAGTATATCAATACACATTTGTTCTTAATACTTTTCAAAAACCAAATATAAATACGACTTCTAGTGTTTACTGCATACATTTTTCCTATCGAGAAAAAGTTACTGCTAACTTTTGCTGTTTTACACAGTTGGGGTGATTGATGTGTATACTAACTACCTTTTGTTACATAATTGAGTATATATACTGATATACAATAACACTTGTTATAATCATTCTCAAGAACACTTCAATCAACCTTGTACTGGCTAAGAAAAAAAAAGGTACGTTTAATTGTTAACTTTTTGGTGCCTCAGTTTAACATTTGGCTATAAAACAAAATATTGAATGTATCTTTTTTTTCATATCAAAATATATTCAGATTTTTATTCTACAGTCGCCTTTTGTGTGTGTGTAAATTTCTGAGAAAATCTCTCTCTACTATACGCTTAAGATGGGAGGACGAAAAAGAAAAGGAAATATTCTTTGATATGAAAAAATCCATTTGGTGCCTTCAAAGAGAATATAAGAAAAGCTCGAATATTACGAAGGTGATCCAGACAAACTAACTTCTTAAAAGTTTTTATTTCACATGCACAGTTCAACATACTGTTTTTTCTTTGTCAAACTCAAATTACAGTTGAGATAAATACGTAAACATCAAGGGCAATTTGTTAGTAGGAGACAATGTCATGACTTATCGTAACATTAAGCTTTACAAGTTACGATAACAATTTACAACGAGGAAATAAAACAATTACAAAAACGTATAGAATATTCGAGGGGAGGAATATATCATACGAATTTTAGAAGATTTGTGAATTGTACTTGCCCATAGAATCTTTACCGACTTTATGTTCTTTTGACTTCTCTACTTCTGTTTGGTTCTCAGCCTTTTAAAAAATAAAATAAAAAGACTTTCACACTGTTATTATGCATGCATATAGGTTATATATGATATACAAAAAGTAAAACTATCTATTTCATTTTTTTTATATATAATTGATGAGTCGGAGATATTTGGGCGTAGCTTCTGAATTTTTTTATTTAACAAACTAATGCATCTCAAAGTAGTTAAAAATTAAAACTGATAATTATCTGCCCGCGAGTATAGTTGATATTTCTACTCTAGAGTGTAAACACTTTTGATAATGGGATATTTTCTGTCTTATACCTGTTTAGTCTTTTGGTTACTGGATAATTATGTAGATAAATATAAAAAGTCCAAAAACAGTGTTGTTCGGATAGGACAAACGATAATCTGAGTTCCACTTTGTAATGATACAAATAAGAATTGATGGAACAACACGAATTGCTTGGGATCAAATCAACTGAAACGCAACTTACAATCATCTAACTATTCATAATACCACGACTAGGCAATAATTTTATTCTTTTAGGATAACTCTTCAACATTTTCATGTAGGCATAATTTCTTTAACTGTAATATTCCTTTTGATATCAAAATTTTCCACGTGAAAATTATATAGTTCCTTTTGGCAATGTGATTCTTTTCACACGTTAGTTATGATATAATATTTAATCCTGCACCAGGTTTTTCTACTCTTGGTTTTCTAAGATTGGGATGAGTAATAAGTAATAACCATCGATCAAATGCTAATTAACATGGTGTGTGTTGATTTGCTACAATTATAAACTCCTAACGCAAATTAGGTCTACATTATTAACTATGGACAAACTTCTAATTAAAGATTCGTAGTTGACAAAAAAAAACTAGAGAGCTATGATGTAATGTGACGGATTTGGAGTGGCGAAGATTCACCCACTTGATCTACATCATGGATCTATTATTCTCTCCTCTATAGAACTTACTAAAGATGCTAGAAATGACAATAAAACCCAGTATTTGACAAGTATTGTATACAGTAGATCAGTTTGGGTTCGAAATTCCATATATTATTTTTATAAGGTTGCCTTTTCGTATTTTCCTAGATGATGGCATCTTAAATATACAGACTTCTTCTCTATATAAAGAACCAAAATTAAGAAGTTTGTATATCAAAACACAACCAACAACACTACACTTCTATTGCCAATAAAAGAAAAAAAAAACAATGTCAGCCATTTCCTTCTCTCACAACCACCAATCCTCTGAAAACCGCCGCGGTGGATCTCACCACCACCGTCACGGCCCAGTTGTGGAAGAAATCGAAGGACTCATCAAAGTTTTCAACGACGGCTGCGTCGAGAGACCTCCCATAGTCCCCACCGTGCCACCCACCGTTCATTCATCTGCTAAAGTCACAGCGTTTGACATCAAACTGTCCAATGACACGTGGACACGTGTCTACATCCCCGACGCCGCAGCCTCACCGTCCGTTACTCTCCCTCTCCTCGTTTACTTCCACGGCGGTGGATTCTGCGTCGGCTCAGCCGCTTGGAGCTGCTACCACGACTTCTTGACTAGCCTCGCCGTTAAAGCTCGTTGCGTCGTCGTTTCGGTAAATTATCGTTTAGCCCCTGAACACCGTCTCCCGGCGGCGTATGACGACGGAGTTAACGTCGTATCGTGGTTACTAAAGCAACATGTATCTAGCGGAGGATATTCTTGGGTGAGTAAGTGTAATCTCTCAAACGTTTTCCTGGCCGGAGATAGCGCCGGAGCCAACATAGCTTACCAAGTCGCCGTTAGAATCACCGCCAGTGGTAAACCCGTGGATAATCTAAACGTCAAGGGCGTTATTCTAATCCACCCTTTCTTCGGCGGCGAATCAAGAACGTCCTCGGAGAAACAACAACACTCCAAGTCATCGGCTTTGACACTCTCTGCTTCGGACACGTATTGGCGTCTGGCTCTACCACGCGGCGCGAGTAGAGACCATCCTTGGTGTAACCCTCTGGGCAGCTCATCGGCGGGGTTTCTCCGGGAAGCGAGGTTACCGACGACGATGGTGTTTATGGCGGAGTTTGATATTCTAAAAGATAGGAACTTGGAGATGTGTAAAGTGATGAGAAGCCAAGGAAAGAGAGTCGAAGGTATTGTTCATGGAGGAGTTGGTCACGCTTTTCATATTCTCGACAACTCTTCGGTGTCACGTGATCGAATCCATGACATGCTGTGTCGTCTTCACAACTTCATACATCCAACATAATTCCCTCCAACATTTTGGAACCTTTAACTAATCAATTAAGACATTAAAGTAAGAACGTTGCTTTTCTAGCGTTTTCAATGGATGTGATTAGTATAAACTAATCTGATTCTCCTGGTGTATCTAGTTAAATAGGTTTTGTGATCCCTTTTTTGTTTGTCGTAGTTATTATATAATTATATGAGCTTTTAGCTTGTGTTGTACTTGTATTTTTATGATCATCTATCCAAATGTTTGCATTTTCCTTCTTCCTTTTGCTGTTACGACACTGAGAATTTTAAATATATTGCTGTATTTTTCGTGTCGTCTATTGTTGAATTTTTTTTTTTTTTTATTCATTCGTGCGAGAAAAAAGGTTTGGAATCCACCTTTTGTTTTCTTGCACTTCAATAATTTTCTTTTAGTTGACTTTGGTAAGTTTGCCTCCGTGACAGAGATCCATACACTTATATAAAAAACGAATATGGGTTAAATACTTAAATCTTCAGTAGAACCGATCCAGTTATGATGATTTGATCTTCTAAGTATAAAAGTTCACAGACTTATATTAGATTGTCAACTCAATATTTCATTCTGTCCATATAGTCCTTGCCAAGAAAAGTTTTATCTTTTTAATACTTATAAATACGTAGGTATTGTTTAACTTTAAACTTAAATTTCGGTCAGCTTGCAAATTTAATCTTGGTTATTAAGAGATGAGATATGTCTTCTACAAGGCTTAGGTTTGTGTAATTTTCACAAGAATACATTTTGGATCGAGTCAAAAAGAGGAGGAGCTGACTCTATTAATGCATGGTCCTGATTTTTATTCTTCTTCATCTTCTTTTTCACTTTTTGACGGGGCTTGTGGAAGAATTAGGATTTTGACAAAAATGAAAATAAAAAGCAAAAAGTTGGTATCAAAGATCATTAAGTTAAATTCGATACTTGGTTACTTGGTTCTATGCACGAAGCTAAAGGCTGAGAAGTTCTGCAGATTTTTCAAAGTTGATATAGATTCTATTGAAAGTGTCAAAAAAAATTGAAGCACTAGATGTAATAAATACTTTTACTTGTTTTAGGTGTATAATTTGTAGAATATTGTGGGTTAAATTCGTAATTTACGTTAAATCAAACTCTCTATAGCGGTTAGAGTCTCTCTTTCCTCACTTCTCTTCATCAAAATTTTAAATCCCAGAAGAGAGCCCTAAAACTAAAGTTCTCTCTCTCTCTCTCTCTCTCTCTCTCATCAAGCTCACTCTCTTCCCGGTCTGTATCCGTACTAACGCGAAAGTTTTCGACAATGTCTGTGCGAGTTTTGAATCCTAATGCCGAGGTTCTCAACAAATCGGCGGCGCTTCATATGACCATCAACGCCGCCAAGGGTTTGCAGGATGTACTCAAGTCGAATCTCGGTCCTAAGGGAACTATCAAGATGTATTGTCTCTTTTTGATTGTTTCTAATCTAATGTGTATTCTCTTCACTTTCTTCCCTTTCCCCATGTTTTTTTTTATTTTATTTACTCTCCGATTTGTTGCTCATTCGATGTAGGCTTGTTGGTGGGTCGGGAGATATTAAGCTTACCAAGGATGGGAACACGCTACTGAAGGAAATGGTGAGTCTAATACTAAAATTGAGCTAGATCCTGTTCATCTGTACGAATCGAGCTCTGTTTTGCTTCTTAGTGGTGAATGGTGCTTATAAGCCTGTGACTATGTCATTGCTGTATTAGATTCTGGGGTTGCGCTTGTTTGTGCTTAACCTCTGAGGATTGGTTTGAAATCGAATGTGTTATGGTTCAGAGAACTAAGCACGATTAGGTTGGGAAAGAAAAAAGAAAAATCTAGTGTTGTTTACATGATCAATGTGGGTTACTGCTATTGCTTTTCAAAAGTTCTCTTGATTCGATGATGCTTACATGCCCATTTCTTAACCTGTTGCAGCAAATTCAGAATCCAACAGCCATTATGATTGCAAGGACAGCTGTTGCACAGGATGACATAAGTGGTGATGGTACGACTTCCACTGTCATCTTCATTGGTGAGCTCATGAAACAGTCCGAACGCTGCATTGATGAAGGTGAGTCGCTATGCTAGCTGAAATAGGCACCATGTGTTCGTTTGCTTTATGTTTCACTATACTGGTTTTAGATTCTCAATCTATAACCTATAACTCTGTACCAGCAGTTTATTCTCTAGCGACTTTGATTTCCGAAGTTTTGTTTGAATTGGATCCAGATAAACTTGGCATCTAATAGCATAGTGAGAAAAGTCATAATGAAGGGTTATACGTGTATCAGGAATGCATCCACGTGTGTTAGTTGATGGTTTTGAGATTGCTAAGAGAGCTACTCTTCAATTTCTTGAGAACTTCAAGACCCCTGTGGTTATGGGTGACGAAGCTGATAAAGAGATCTTAAAAATGGTTGCGAGAACGACACTTAGAACAAAGGTATTCTTCATTTTATGGTTTTATCTATTTTTTTCCCTTTGATTGATTCCTTTCTTTCCGCTTTCTAACTTCGACTTACTCTTGTGGCTTTTCTAGCTGTACGAAGACTTGGCTGATCAACTGACCGACATTGTCGTTAATTCAGTGAGCTAATCTCGATCTCTAACAAAATCGTATTAAAGCTTTCTGTTCTTTTGTTCACCTATGGGTTTCAAGCTTGTCTGTCTTTTGATTATCTTCTTTCCATACGTAACAGGTTCTCTGCATCCGGAAGCCTGAGGAAGGTATTGATTTGTTTATGGTGGAGATAATACACATGCGCCACAAATTCGACGTTGACACGCGATTGGTATGTCTTTGACGTGTGTGGTTTACTGTAACATTGTTCTCTCGAAATGTTTTCATAGTTTTGGAATTTTAAAACACTTGCTTGTATGGAATCATATATATATTTGATGGTTCTGGTTAAATGCTTTCATAGTTTTGGACGGACGTGTTGCTATTACCGTATTAATTCATTCCTGATAATAGGTTGAGGGGCTTGTTCTAGATCATGGTTCGAGGCACCCTGATATGAAACGACGCGCAGAGAATTGCCACATCCTAACTTGCAATGTGTCACTGGAGTATGAGAAGAGGTGTGTAATATAATTCTTTGGCCAATTCGGTGAAGAGAAATGATAGCCTAAATGTTGCCGGTGACGTAGACTAATATTTCTATTTGTTTATCAGCGAAATTAATGCAGGGTTTTTCTACTCTAATGCGGAGCAGAGGGAAGCCATGGTTATTGCCGAGAGGCGATCTGTTGATGAAAGAGTTCAGAAAATTATCGATCTAAAGAATAAGGTAAGACTGAGACCATTTATCCGAGCCGTATTTTGAGATTCTGTATAAATTAGTAATTGCTTTATTTCTTGTGCAGGTGTGTGCTGATAATGATAACAACTTTGTTATCATAAACCAAAAGGGTATTGACCCACCTTCATTGGATCTTCTTGCTAGAGAAGGGGTAAGCTATAACTACTTCTGTAATTTCTTGCATACTAATTTTACAAATAGCTCAAACTGTTTTAATCCGATGTTTAGAACAAATAAGAAAGATGCTACAGAAGAAAGTTCATTCCATACATAATAATCCATCGAAATTATTGGCAGAAATGGAATTTTAGTGGCTTACTTCAGACCTAATTCCCCTTGTTTAGAGGCTGTTGAATCTAATTTTCCTTTCCTCGTATCTCCAGATTATTGCCCTTAGAAGAGCAAAGAGGAGGAACATGGAACGTTTAGTTTTGGCCTGTGGTGGAGAAGCTGTGAATTCTGTTGACGACTTGACCCCCGAGTCGCTTGGGTGGGCTGGACTTGTCTATGAGCACGTTCTTGGGGAGGAAAAGTACACATTTGTGGAGCAAGTGAAGAATCCTTATTCATGTACCATCCTCATAAAAGGTATGTGGCCAACTTATATCTCTTTATTATGTTTTGAAGGTTCATCATTTATTCTTGTATTCATGATTTGTTCGTTCTCTAGGGCCTAATGACCACACCATTGCTCAAATTAAGGACGCTGTTCGTGATGGTCTAAGATCGGTCAAAAACACCCTAGAAGACGAGTGTGTTGTGTTAGTAAGTAACTTGCCATCTCTTGAAATGTTTTGTCTTGCTTTCCGTTTCTCTGCAATGTCAAAAGAGATTGTTAACTCACGATTAAAACCTATTGTATAATTTTTCCGTTATGTTTATGCACGGTTGCATCTTTATATAGGGAGCAGGAGCTTTTGAAGTTGCAGCAAGACAACACTTACTCAATGAAGTCAAGAAAACCGTTCAAGGGGTAAGTTCATATCATCACACATACTTCTAATGTTTGCAACATTATTAAAATGCACCTGGAATATTCTAGATCACTAAATACAATCATCAACGTTGCAGCGTGCCCAACTTGGCGTTGAAGCTTTTGCTAACGCCCTCCTCGTGGTGCCTAAGACACTTGCGGAAAACGCAGGTCTTGACACCCAAGACGTGATCATCTCTCTTGCCGTATGCATTCTACTCTCTTATCATCTATCTTTTCTTAATTCGAAACTAGTTGCTTAAAGAACGAACATAAGAGATTGCTCATTGTGATGCGCATATGCAGAGCGAGCATGACAGAGGAAATGTCGTGGGACTGAACCTTCAAGACGGTGAACCAATTGACCCGCAGCTCGCCGGTATTTTCGACAATTACTCGGTGAAACGCCAACTTATCAATTCAGGGTAATGTTTGCAACCGACCAGCCAAATTGTAATAAAGTTGCAGGTTTTGGTTCAAGCCATTTTAGTAACGTCTATTTCTGTTTGTGTGTTGCAGTCCGGTGATTGCGTCGCAGTTGCTTTTGGTGGACGAAGTGATTCGTGCAGGAAGAAATATGAGGAAGCCTACTGCTTGAAGTCCTTAGCTTTTTTTTTTTTACTAGCTTTCTTCGTTATAAGCATCTCAAGTGTTTTGGTTTTTATCCTGAAAGTTGTGTGAAACCTATGTTTTTGGCTATGAGAAACATCTTTGAATCTGATCTCTCGATTTTGGTGGATTTATGCGAACTTAGAAAACAAAGGAAATACAAAATCCATTACTTTTCTTATAGTGAGAGCAACGCTTATTGAAGAAAAGGCTACTATAAAAGGATATCCATCATCAACAAAAAACAAAGCGAACAAGGTTATACTCGAATCTATTGTCCGACAAAAAATTATATTGCAGACGCAGAGACTTTACCCTCTTCTTGAAGCATGTACTCTCTCTTCATTTCCTCCAAGACTGTGTCATTGGTGCTGCAAATCAACAAAAAACTTTTCATCAACTTGTGCCCATCAAACATAGTTTTTCCAGATTTATTCAAACTTCGAATACGAATACAGTTATCGCAGTCAGTTAACATAGACTCTCACCCCCTATTTTCACAAGTTCATATTGGTACTTCATGACCAAGAATATGCATCTCCTAACCACAAGTTGCCTTATTTCATCATACATACAGGTGAAGTCTCAACAAATCTGTATAACTACCCACGAAAAAAAGAATATGCATCAGTAAAAAGGCGAACTTACAACTGATGGAGGCAGCTGTTGAGCTCTTTAGCTTGCTTACGACAACTCCACACCACAGAGAACGTTCTTCCCGTCGCGCATTCGGCATACTTTGAGACGTACTGATCACATTCGTTTAGTGCCTTTGCCTTCATCTTGCTACGCAGCGCTATTTTGTAACACATACACACAACCAATTCAAATACTCTTCAACAGATCTCTTAGCTCAATTCTAAGATCAAACATAGAAGCAATTCAACAACAGTCTACGAGAGCTGCGTGATTAAACCGATGTTTCTCTCCACTTCAATGAGATGCATTTAGTGAGCTCAATTTATATACAAGTGTTTGAGTAATTTAGGAAGAATCTGCGTCTCTGATAACAAACCAGTCTCAAAAGCGTATAATCGATTGGGTTTTGATGGTTTTATACCATTCTGGAGGCAAATCATAAAGACTAGATAAGGGGGGTTTAGGGTTTAGGAACATAGCAGGATGACATTGATAATTTACCTTCTTCAACCTTCTTCTTCACGTGATTTTCACGAGCTTTCTCCACATAGCTCCCCATCGACGGACCTTCGAGCTTTTCCGGCCTTCTCCGATCGAATCGATCAAGCGGGTAAACAAAGACTGAAATGGTTCAGGGCAAAGGGTAACTCCGTAAATTGAGCGACTTACTTGTATTGACAATTCTCCCCCCTGTATTTTGATTTATTTTATAAAATACACCTAATTTTCATATATTTGTTTTCATGGGTCGGTATCTGACCCTATAGTTTACGATTTGTTAGATTTTCACCCACTTAATTTTTTAAAAATCCGTCATTCGACGGTCCACATTTTCCACGTGTATCATTTTCATTGGGAGGTTTTGTCTCTCTTCCGATTTAATACTGACGCCCGTCTCCGCAGTTTCTTCTCACATCCCTCACATTTCGCGTCTCCTCGCTTCCAAGTGAAAACCCCTAATTCCGAATATCCCCTAGGTACTCGCTTGCTCATACTTTGACGATGTTTCTTCTCTTTTTGATTCTTTATTTTTTCTCAACTTCTTTCTTAGTTTCCTATTACTTATGGTGATTTTTGCGTTTTGGCTGTCACTTGGTGGAGATCTGTTGAATTCATAGTTACTTCTTTCTATCGATTTTTTCTCCAGTACAGTTCGTGTCTAGATAGATCCGGCTGTGTTTTACCTGTAAAATGTTTGTAGTGCGAGCATTGATTTGCTAGAGATGATTTCTTATGCAACAGTGTTGCAGTCTTTTTTAACGATTTTGTGTCTGTCTAGGGATTTGCTAGGCTTTTCGGTGCATGTTGATCTTCATTGTAATTGCTACTCGTTCTTATTTGTTTTTGACAAAGTATCGTTTTTTTTTGTTGGAACAGCTTTTTTTTTGGTAAAGAGAAGTGTTGCAAAGATGTCTTGTGATTCGTCTCGGGAAGAGAATGTGTACTTGGCCAAGCTTGCCGAGCAGACTGAGCGTTACGAGGAAATGGTTGAGTTCATGGAGAAAGTTGCAAAGACGGTGGACACTGAGGAGCTCACCGTCGAAGAGAGGAACCTCTTGTCTGTTGCTTACAAGAACGTGATTGGTGCTAGGAGGGCTTCGTGGAGGATCATCTCCTCCATTGAGCAGAAGGAAGAGAGCAGGGGCAACACCGACCACGTCTCCATTATCAAGGACTACAGAGGCAAGATTGAGACTGAGCTCAACAAGGTCTGCAATGGCATTTTGAACCTGCTCGATTCTCACCTCGTTCCTGCTGCGTCCTTGGCTGAGTCCAAAGTCTTCTACCTCAAAATGAAGGGAGACTATCACCGGTACCTCGCCGAGTTCAAGACTGGAGCTGAGAGGAAAGAAGCTGCTGAGAGCACTCTTGTGGCCTACAAGTCAGCTCAGGTTATCATCTCGCTTTATGTTTCTCAGTCAGTGCTGGCTAAGAAAACATGTTGGACTCATACTTCTTTGTGTTGTTTTTTTGTATGTAGGATATTGCTCTTGCGGATCTTCCTCCAACTCACCCAATCAGACTGGGGCTTGCTCTTAACTTCTCTGTTTTCTACTACGAGATTCTCAACTCATCTGATCGTGCTTGTAGTCTCGCAAAGCAGGTCTGTGTTGCTTTTTTCACTATAGTATATTGTTTTTCCTGTCAATCGGAACTGTGCATTTGTATTCATATTGCGGCATAAACGTCGATTTCCATACGATTTAGTAATGGTCTGCAGATTGCTTTATTATCAGATTGCTTTATTATCGCGTTTGATAGATAGATATTGTAGTTAACTATGAGGAAGTGAAGCCTGCGAATGTTCCCATGAAATTTGAACAAACTTCACATTCTGATTCTGGTTTGATTACATTACCGTAATTTTGCTCAGTTACAAATATGATTGTCATGATGGTAGGCTTTTGAGGAGGCAATCTCTGAGCTAGACACATTGGGAGAGGAATCATACAAGGACAGCACATTGATCATGCAGCTTCTCCGTGACAATCTCACCCTCTGGACTTCTGACCTCAATGTACACTCCTTACTTACAGTCTTCATCGTTAACAGTCTCTTAATGATTTACCATCAACCAACATAAGATTGTTGTTGTTGTTTGCCCTAACGCTCGACTCTTATCTTGTTTCCAGGAGGAAGCTGGTGATGATATCAAGGAACTCTCTAAAGCTGGTGACGAACAAGCCCAACCACCGCCATCTCAGTGATGAAACCAGGTCCATGGAATGAATTACAGACCAAGTGTATGGTTTGGTTCTGTGTTTTTCACATGAACAGAGGAAAAAAAAACAGATCTTGTAGGTTCCTTAAACATTGGGTATTTGGGTTTGTAGTAGCTGCCAGGATTCGATTTTTTTCTATCGATGTTAACTCTTGCTTGCTTTGTTAGATGTTGTCGGATTTCACTATTAGACTGCGTTGCATTTACATGGTCGGGTCTATTCGATTCCTCTTCTATGACCATTCAGGGAATTGGTTACGAGGGTTATTTAATTCGTTATTCGTTTCTACCTCGGTATCATTTTCGATTTTGAAAATTTTCTCTTTAGAACATTAATATACTACGGATTACCAACTAGTTCATGAGATTTGACGATGTAATCAATGGAATAAAAATGAACTAAAATATGAAACAACTGCACATTGCACTTCTCAGAGTTTTAGAATCCATAATGCTGTGTACATAAAATTGGATTTGATTACGAGTTACAAAAAGTCTCCATAACCTAAAAAGTTTAACTACAAACATGAGAGATAATAATTTAATCGGTCCAAAATAAAGAAAATGAATTTACCTAATGACACACAACACAGAGTGACATCTCTCGAATTGAAACCTCCCACCGTGTGCTGCTTTTCGTTGTCTTTCCACTCACTTTCTTTCTTTATCTCACTCATTCTCTCTCATTGACTCTCTCGTTCTCGTCTCCATGGCTTCAGCTAATTCCGTCATAGCCTGGTCCTTACTCTTTCCTCTAACCTTCTTCTCACCTCTCTGTTTACTCCATTGCTGTTTCTCACTTGTGCTTAATTGCTCTTTCTTTTGATTATTGTCCAGGGGCGCTGGAGAAGATGGGCAACTTGGACTTGGAACAGATGAAGATAAGGAATGGGCTTGCGTCGTCGAGGCTCTTGAACCTTTTACCGTTCTCTCCGTCGTCGGAGGCAGCCGCAACTCCCTCGCCATTTGCGATGATGGCAAGGTAACTAATCGATCCACTTTCTTCTTTTCGGGTTTCATCCTTGTTGTTCGTCTTTTGGTGGGTTTTGCTCAGAACTTACTAAAGTTCATTGCTTTGGGTTGATTTGCGATTTGATTCTAAGCTGGCTTTGGCGTTGATCTCTTCAAGATTTTCTTAGGTCGCTTACCACTATAAAAGAGGGTTTTTGAGGTTTAGATGACCAATCCAGAGGGTTTAAAGTTCGTATCTTCTTTGTTTTTCTTCTTCTGGTGTTCACATAGTCATTTCACCCATGAGCTCTGAGCTAATTCTGAATCTCATTATAATCCAACTACAAATAAAGCCAAGATGATTGAGCTGTTCTTGAACAGATAATTAGACCCTGGTTCTGTTCCCATGGAGTAGTTTATTATTGGTTTGAATTTTTATGTCAAGAGTAAAAAAATTGATCTAGCATTATCTCAAAGATAGCAAAGGATGCATCTTTGAAGAAGAAACTTATGTTTTTGCAATATTTTAAATGGTTTTTCAGCTGTTTACATGGGGTTGGAATCAACGGGGTACATTAGGACACCCACCAGAGACAAAAACAGAAAGCATCCCTTGTCTAGTTAAGTCTCTTGCCAATGTCAAGATTACTCAGGTAAAAAAAAATATCCAACTATAAAAAATTTCACTTCTGTTATACTATTCCCTTGTTTTGGCTTACTCTGAATGCGTTTTCTACGATTGTTCATAGGCAGCAATTGGTGGTTGGCATTGTTTAGCTGTGGATGATCAAGGCCGAGCATATGCTTGGGGTATGCACTTTTCTCTCTGGCTTCTCTCTATTGATTGTGACCTTAAAGATCTTAAAAAGTGACATTTGTGCACCTATTTTTTATATGGAACCTGCTTAGGGGGAAATGAATATGGACAGTGTGGTGAAGAGCCTTCTAAAGATGATACAGGTAGGCCTCTGCGGAGGGATATTGTAATCCCGAAGCGTTGCGCCCCGAAACTTACAGTTCGACAGGTAAATTATGAAGTTAACCTCTCTGCACTTGCCTCTCAAGTTTTAATGCTTTGTTTCCTTCTAAACCGTATTTTTCTCGGGTTACAAATTTATAGGTAGCTGCAGGGGGCACTCACTCTGTGGTTCTAACCCGTGAAGGTCATGTATGGACTTGGGGTCAACCGTGGCCTCCTGGTGACATGTATTTCAACGACTCTTCCTCTCTCATTTGTCGACACAACATTTTCTTTTTCTTGTCTGCTGTTGCTAAAATGTGAGGTTTTCTCGTTATTCGTTCAATCGCAGAAAGCAGATATCTGTTCCTGTAAGAGTTCAGGGTCTTGAAAACGTTCGCCAGATTGCTGTTGGAGCATTTCATAATTTGGCTCTGAAAGAAGATGGGACTTTGTGGGCTTGGGGCAATAATGAATATGGACAACTTGGGACCGGAGATACCCAACCAAGATCTCATCCTATTCCAGTCCAAGGCCTTGATGATCTCACTTTGGTATGTGCTCTAAAATTTCTGTCGGATGCTTAAATCTATAAAGGCCTTTTTTGTTAAATCCATGTTTCTACGATAGAAGCTTAACAGTTTCCCCCTCGCGTGTTAGGTTGATATCGCTGCAGGTGGATGGCATTCAACAACTTTAACCGATGAAGGAGAGGTATTAACCTCATGTAACTCTTATTGTTCTAAAGTCTCAAGTTTGTTTTATATTCAGCTGGATGTTAGTTCTTGGTCACGCCATTCTGGGTTGTTTTCTAAGCTTGATGTAGATCTTCATGTTGTGACTTGGTTGTGTCCAATATTAGGTGTATGGTTGGGGAAGAGGAGAACATGGAAGGCTCGGGTTTGGTGACAATGACAAGAGCAGCAAAATGCTTCCACAGAAAGTTAATCTATTATCTGGAGAAGACATCATTCAGGTAAAAAAAAATAAAGTAAACCATCGGTTTCTCTTATCTTCTCATAACTTTCAAAGTTCTTATCGTTATATTCTTCTCAGGTCTCTTGTGGTGGAACTCATTCAGTTGCTTTAACAAGAGACGGTAGGATCTTCTCGGTAAGTCCTCTTAGAGAGAACAACATATGTTGAGAGTTAGAACCAAAAAAGTCAATCTCTAAACCTCTTTCGTATCGATTCTTGTGATCAGTTTGGTCGGGGAGACCACGGTAGACTCGGGTATGGAAGAAAGGTGACGACAGGACAACCATTGGAGCTTCCTATAAACATTTTACCACCAGAAGGACGGTTTAACCACGCGGATGAAGTAGAAGATGGAAAATGGATAGCTAAGTTTGTTGCTTGTGGAGGCCGACACACTCTAGCTATTGTGGAATGGAAGATTGATCAGGAGGATACTGAATAACCATGAAGTAGCAAAAAAAACAAAAACACAGAAGGGACTCTTGTTCGAAGCATTTGTTATAGAGAAAAAGGGAGCGAAAGAATTGTTGAGCTTTTGACATTCCCATGAATGATGGATCTATATGAAGAGTAATGACTAATATATGTATTAATCTCATTACGATTATAGAAAAAGAGGTGGTGCAAGAGAAAACAAGGAATAAAAGAGAGATTCTTGCGAACACTTTTAACTCCTCTTGTTTCTTGATTCTCTTGGTTTTAAAGGTTTATCAACAACCTTTGACAAGATGAGGAACACAAATTGGGAAGATGTACTTTGATTTTCTTGCTTGCCTTTGTCTTGATCTCACCCATGAGAAGCATCCACTTCCACGCTTCTCTTTCTTCTTCTTATCCTTCTTCTCTTCTTCTTCTTCACTCATCTCTTGCTTCTCTTCTTTTTCTTCTTCTCCTCCTTCTGTACTCAACTCATGCTCCTTTTCTTCCTCCTCTTTCTCATCTAGCTTCCCATCCTTCAAAACTCAAGATACTCATCATTAACACATAATATCTTAAGAACCAGACTTAGGTTTATAATTTTGATATAAATTGGAGCTTAAATGGAGTATTTTTCTTACTGTTCAGAACCAGCAATAGATAATAATTGTATAGACGTAAAAAAACCTTTAATCAAAAGTGTGAAGCTTACAAACTTAGAGCTTCGTATAATCGATTTTGAATGATATAAGCTTATTATTAGTGTCTTATCGAGGTATGAAAACATATATACCATGTTACACTTATGATTTATTTATTAAACATCGAAGTGACTAGAAATGTTTAGAAATATATATATACATGCACGAACGCATAGATCTATGTATTTATATAGATAGATAATGTATAGCGAACATATATAGATGGTAGTCACGTGAGTTGGAGACAAAATCTTGAAATGGGGTCTCATGAAAGATTTTTCATGAAATAGTGATTGCATATGATTATACGTTTTTGTGTTTCTGTGATTGTCTGATTGATACTCATCATGTGTACTATGTTTCATATATCATGAAAGAATCTTAATCTTAAAATGAATCCTACAACATATGTATAAAAGTCACTAACGTAGAAGTGTATTTTTCATTGTCTCTTTCTATGATTAAAACAATGGTACCATTGTTACTTGTTTGATGCTTTTCTTATCTTGAAGAGTCTTCTAATTATTGATGCACGAACAATTCAAAATTTTATGCAATTATTAATCTCCGTACCTTTTCATGGACCTCATGGTAGGGAATTATTTTAATACTTTTAATTTATTTATTTTTACAAATTATACGTTCATTAATAAGTAAAATCAAGAATTATAGAGAAAAAAATACCTCTTGTTGACCTCCCAGTTTGAGATGGAAATCCACTGGCGAATCATTAGCTTCCACTTGTCGTTTTAGTGACCGTTCCATGATCGGAGGGGTCTTCGCCGGACTAGGGCTACCGGAGCTCAAATCCACCGACGTACTTTGAATGCCCACATCTCGTTTCATCCCCACAACTTTCTTTTCTGCTAAAAAAACACCCACAAGTTTTCCTTTTTATCAGAAGTAACCAATTGAGAAAGAAAAAACTTCAACAAAACTAAACTATTAACTAGCAACAGAAAATGACATATTAAAAAATAAATCACCTCGAACAAGAACAGGATCAGGAGCATAAAGATCCTCGTGAATGACTCTAACGTTAGGATTATTATTGGGTTTGTTTTGACCATTGTTCATCAATGGATTGGGATTAGGGTAGTGAAGAGGAGCAGACATGGTGGTCAAGTTTCTGAAGGATCTTGCACTTAACGTTTTTGAAGACAAACACTCCATTGGAACTTCTCCAGACAATGGATTGCATATATATTTCTCTGCTTCGTTCCACTTCGAGTTCAACGCAAACCCTTCTTGTGTCAGCCAATCTCTGTTATTGAACATCGTCTTTGCTTGTAACGCTGCAAACCCAACAAAAAAAAAACATAAACACATAATTGAACACTCCTCCTTTGTTTTGTTCTTTTGATTCAAATCAACGATTTGATTGATTGTTGGTGAAAATTTACCCTTGAGTGCATTGGTGAAGGAATATGTTGATGGGTCAATCTCTTCTGTTAAAAAGATTTGAAATTTTAACGGTATCAGAAGAAATAGTTCACAAACCCATTAAGATAAAGAGAGATTGCGAAAGTTTTTGGACCTTTGAGAGTGTAGCCAGGAGAAGAAGCAGTACTAGAGATGTTGTTAAAGTTTGTTCTAAAAGAAGACTTGTGATGATCTTCACGGAAGCTTCCAACGTATGAAGCAGAAAACCTTCTAGAAGTCGGGTTTTCTCGGATTAATCGAGCTCTTCGATCCCATTCTCTTAGGTTCATAAATTCAGGCTCATCTCCTCGCAAAGCCATTGGAAACTAAATATTTCTTCTTCTCCTTTTCTTGTTTGAAAGAGCAGAACTTATGAGCTAAGGAGGGAGAATGAAGCAATCAGGCAACACCTATAAAAAGATTTTTTTTTTTTTTCAGGTACTGAAAAAAATTAATGTCTTTAGTACCTTATCTCTTTTTTAAAAAATAATCATATTGGGTATTAATATTAAAATCTTTCGGGTCTCTTGACAGAGTGAGAATATTTTAAATTTTAAATTTTGGAGTACAGAGAGATGTAAGGTTGTTAATCCAATTGACTGCTTGCCCTGTATTAAAAAAAAAAAATATCACAATATAGCATTTTTGTTTTTTTCTTGGGTGTAATCCATTTATAGGAATCAAACTCACTTGGCATATTCTGCTATTTTGTAGTAATTTTTTGAAATATGGTCCTTCTATCTTTTCAGTGTTTTGAGTTCAGTTTCTTTTCTAAAAAGCTTTTTTTCTATTTGCTTTTAACACCTCATATGTATGTCGTCAGTATATATAGGTATACATTATACACCACAATTAAGTTTATACGGTTGATTAGTTCAAAATACGAATTGATCGAACTAATTTCTTAATAATATAATCACCAAATGCAAAAAATAAATGAATGAAATGTCAAAAAAATTTTGGTCATTATCATAGAGTGTATTATATGTAGGTCAATTAGGAATTGTTGTTGTTTATATTTATGTTTACTGTTTTCATTCATTTCTTTATTAATTTAAGCTCGTAATAATTATAAATTTCAAGTGACAGACAGTAATATTACTGGTACGCACTATTTATGAGTTGAAAAAATTGGCACAGACTTTAGAAAGGTGGACACAGGATCTTTTATGAGTGGTTAATAACCACATGGTACCATTTCATCGTATATAATAATGTTCACATCAAATGAAATGTTGAAATCATGATAGTAAATAAAACATTTTTTTAATAATCTGATAGAAAACGACTTAATACTCACTTTATTTGGTTGATAAATTAATTGGAAACGTAATCAAACTAGTTTGGGTTAGTTGGTACCTGGTAGTGTTTTTTTATAAGACCGCACACTAAAATTTTCTTTACATTTTACCTTCTTCTTTTTTATTAATTTTATCTTTTTACGTAATTTAGTATCCCATTCAGAGTAATTTCTTACGGAGCACGGTTCATTAGTTTATCACTATCTATAAAATGTTTTACATATCAAGTAGTTGCAAAGTAGTAATATTATATACGAAGTAGCAATTAATAAGTGCCGTATTCATTTAATATGTGTGTTTGTGTGTGAAAATTCTGAGAATGGACCAACGAAAAATGTTGTTGGGCAACGTCTGAAATTGAGATGGACCAAGTGAGAGAGGAAGGCACATGGTAAGGGAGTTGGCATAATGTGAAGAATGGATAGGGTGATATGGAGTTATGTAATTCTTTATTTTGAAAAAATGTAAACATGGTGTATTTGTATAATAGAGTACTGTTGTTTTCAATAACATGGTCTTCTTTTGTTTGGTTATAGTGAGGCAAATTAATTTGATGTGTGATCGAGTGGACTCTATATAAAGAGAATCTATAAATTATAATGGTTTTGTGGTCGTACGTACATATCAATATCCATGTCCATGTGAATGTCACATTCATCATCGTTGTACATGTGATAATGATCTGATGACTATCTATCACCTATTTATCTCTTCTCCTCTGAGAATAAGTGACTCTCTTGAATCACAAATATGCTTAACCTAGATTGAACTTTCACTTTTTTGTTTAATTTTCTTTTTCTCATCATGTGTTGTTGTAAACGTGATGAAATTTCTGTATCTTTTTGGGACTAAATCCTTCGAATTTCAAGATGTTCGCTGAGCTTTGAAATTAAAAGTCTTTAAACCAAGTCAAAATAAATTCAATAAACTTAACTGTAAAATGATTTAAACGAATTAAGTTTAAATCGATCTAAACTATGCATGCGATATAAATTTTACTCACTCTATTTCAAACGAATCAAAACTCATATTTTACTAGACAAATGATTTAACATTATGATAAAAAAAAAAATATATATATATATATATATATATATATATATCAAACGTTCCGAGTAGAGAGATGTATTGGCCTATTGCAGTAGTGTTTTAAATCCGTGGTTACCATATAGTTTTCAAATGTGTTGGTTTAAGGAATATAAAAACCGAATAAATTTATTTTGAATTAGACCGGTTAAGCCTTAACGAGGGGGCCCACAATAGAAACTAATGATTGTGGTGGGAGCAGAAGAGGCATGCAAATGTAGGCATCACTTGTGACAGGTGAAATAAGGAAAATGATTCATATATAATCTTTGTCTCTTCTTTTTCTTCTTGCAGATTATTTTCTTACTATTTTTTTCCCCCACAATTTACCCTTCTTTTTATTTTTCTTATTATTGATTATTGATAATGATATTCTCGCTGCTTGTCTTTTCTTTTGTCTATTTTCTTGTTCACCTCTAAAAACTTTCTACCCACGAAATTCAAATTTGAGCCGGTGCTTTCTTTTTTTGGTGTTTCGCAGTACTAATCATGACAGTTTCTCTTTTTACCTATACCATATTGATTTTACGAACCGCTTTTCCAATGTGATGAAACTAGATTTATTGCAGGAGAAAGTACATATCCATGTGAAGACCTTTTTTTTTCTTTTTTTTGACCCCATAAAATATTTTTTTATAAATTTTCAATTATTGAGGATGATAGAATATTTTTAGGCTGATTAGAAATTATATTCAAACCTTTTGACTAAAGAGTGGTTTATTTGTTTTTGTTTAAATTATTCAAATTTTGGATTTTATATAACTAGAATGGTGGAATTTAGACTAAGATACATGTAATACTGATACATCATCAGATTTAGAAATAATACGTGAAAACACACCAATGAAACTAAGTACATTATATATTTAGCACACAGGAATTTTGTATTCAAAAACTTGGTAGTGACTGTCCGGTTGTAAGAGAAGTCTGGCCACATCTATTATATACATCGAACCTACAAAGCCCATAAAGCCCAATTACTAAGACCTTAATAGCCCATTTAGAGGGAGGGTTGTGAGATAATAGTAATTTTATTGATCACATGATTAGGGAAACCAATGTGCCAACGGACTAGCTTTTTCGAGATTAGAGACTTCGGCTATTAGTAAATTGTGAATTAGTTCCTCAGGATTTGTGAAACTAAATCGAAACGTTGGAAGACTTTAATGGACAATGGTCTTCTGAAGGGCCCATCATCACTCATATGAAGAACATCTTATGTAAGTAAATGGATGAATAAATTCTAAACATAAGTTTTGTTTCTCTGTAAAATTAACATACAAAGTCTAATATTCAATACACTCTGTAACATTTATATTTAGATTTGACGATATGTATATATGAGGAGGGGTCCAAATCAAAATCACTAATTCCAAGATATTGGATGCTTTATCAAACAGAAACTAATCACACCCTACTATTAAGTCTATAATCAATGATTAGTTAACCAAACTAGCATCACAAAGTCGAAACTAGTACTTGATGCGTTGAACCGTACGGTGTTTTTAAATTACCAGCACAATCTTTGATTAATCCAAAGCCAAGATACGGCCTAATGGTACTATAAATTATGTTGAAATTCATTGTTACATTACATCTAATCAATAATTATTGTGCAACAAAATATCGATAAGAAACTAAATCACGTAAATATTAGTCACCAGGAGACAAGATAAACAAGGTTGTCTGGATTATGCCAAACAGTAAGCATGCAGTCACGCGAATGTCACGTGTAGTTGGCTCCACATCTTCGTTTGCTGTGTTTTTTTTTCTTCATATAATTTATGGAACTGATTTTCTTTTCGTTTGTTTAATAACTACAAGTATTCAGAAATTAGTAGTAATCACAAGTGGATTTGACAAAAAGAAGAAGAAGAGGATTAATTCAAGTGGATTCGGAAAACGAGGGAACATGAACTTTGGAGAAAAACACACAATTTCACGACTTGTCTCTGTTCGGTTACTTTTTTACTTAAAAAACATTGCCCCTTTTTTTTTTGGTCGGCCAAAAACATTGCACTATTGATAGTTTCTAGTAACTTATTGGGATTTTGAAAACATGTGTGCTTTTTTTTTTCTTTCTGAAAGTTCAAATGGCCTATTGTATAATGATACTCACTGATGATACTTCTTAGATTATTTGAACGTAAACCAGATTAATCCATTGAATAAAAAAAAATTTGGAATTTTCTCAACAAAAATCTCAAAAAAAAATTAAACGACCCCGCGACGTAACATCTAGCTGAGACATGCCCACATAATTGTAGTTCTGGTAATTCGTAGAGATAAAAGAATATCTAACTAAATACTATCTCATCCGTAAATCATAAACTTTGTCTTGAACATTACAAAGGGAAAATAAAGCTAGTGCGGTGACCACTGATTAAACTGTTCCCCGTACCGCATGCTTTGGTATTTGAAACGCGATTAATTAAATTATTTAACAAAGTTATGTGTCTAATAAATTAAAGAGGTTATAAGTTGTATATGATTTCGTGGCGAACTGGAAACTTTGAAGCAAGGCCAGGTTCAAGTGATGTTTGATTGCATGATGGAACACGAGAAAAGACATGTGGGATTGTGTTTTACACGCACTTAATTAGTTTGATAATTGCATTAGTTTGGGTATATTGACAAAACTTATAGTAATAGTACTAGTTATAACCAGCCCAAGTTCCAAAATTGCTGGGTTTGATGAAGTCACTGATAAATATTTTATCCATTTTATTATAATACGTAAAGGATTTATCAATTTTTACTTACAATATAAAAAATTATAAGAAAAATACACTATATACATTTATCTGTCTAATAAAATTAAAACTTTATTTTGTTTACTATCTGCATAAAAAAATCCAATTCTATATAGTCATATTTATTATGACTAATTTATAGTTCTATATGGTGAATGCAAATATACACCTTTTCTGATTAGAATTTTGTATTGTGTTTTGATTTAGGTGAAGGATATCTAATTAAAAGCAATTGAAAAATGTAATCGTGCATGCATACCACAAGCTCTCTCTATATTTACGCACCTCCACAAGTGAATTCTCCTTCAAATCAACTCTCTTCTATCTAAAGCTTCCTTCTTCTCTCTCTTTATCAGTCTAAAACCACCAAAAACATTCTGACTTTTACCTTACTCTACCGGCAAATTTTGTTCAACCAATTTTATATCAAATTGGTTATTTGGAAGCTTGAAAATGGAAATGAAGGCCATGATGAACTCAGAGAAGAAGAAGAAGAAGAAGAGATCAATAAGTAGAAGATTGGGGAAGTATATGAAAGAACAAAAGGGAAGAATTTACATCATCAGAAGATGTGTGGTCATGCTCCTTTGTTGGCATGATTAATCCAAAAAAATAGTTTTGAACAATGCCAAGTTCAAATGTATGTATACACGTGCCACACGTATGTATGCGTGCATGTGGGTAAGGAATTAAGAGAGAGAAGAGTAGTGTTAAAATAGGGTTGAAAACCGGGTTGCTTGGGTTAATTTTTTGTGATCTTCTACCGAATTGTATATACTTCAATCTGATAATTATGTAGACGACAAAGTTCTTGAAGGTTAAAATCTGAAATTGTCAAAAAGTTAGCGGGTTTTTTGTTTTTGCATTGGAATCCCTTGAGGATACACAAGACAAATTTTCAATTCCCCTACAAATATATACAATACAAGTTTCAATCCCTTAACTAGTCAAAGATAATGACCTCTTCTTCAAATATATGCTTCCGCTACTGCTTGCAATGCCGCATGATTCATCATCATCATTGGAAGAACCCTCTAAACGAGCAAGAAACTTTCCCTTTTGCTTACGGTCCAAGTCATCTTCATCATGTTCATCATCAGCAACTTCATCATCATCATCATCATCAATTTGCTGGTCCCTATAGCTCTCTTCTGAGGATGACGACTCATCGCGTGGTGTGTGAAAAATCGTGATACTCTCGTTATCCCTATTACTGAAGGAAAAGCTTCTATAACCTCCTCCGTACAAGGGAAGAACAGAATCTTTTGGCTTTGACATATCTGTGTCCCTTCCAAGACTATAGGTAGAAGAGAGTTTCCTCTTCACGTTTTCCCTCTCTTGAACCAACTCACCGATTTTGTCAGCCGCGAATCCATCTACCGTAGATTCATTTTGAAGTCTCGTTATGGTTCTGTCGATTTCTCTGCTTTTCCTGTGCAGAAAACGCTGGAAACAAAAATTAATCGTAAAAAAAACTGGAAAAAACAGAGGCTTCGTGGGACGCAAGCACCAAAATGAAAGTTAAAGTTACTTGTTACACAAGCTAGGGCGTCCTTACTCGCTTGTCCAAGAAAGCACTGAAGGGACGACCTTGAAGCTTTTTCTTCCTCCAGAATATAAAACAGAACCTCACAAGAGCCGCAAAGAGGACCATGATCACGAACTCGAACAGTAAAAACCAAATTATCGCTCTTTCGTTACCTAAGAGAAAAGGGAAAGAAAAAAAGAGTTTCTTAAGCTACGAGTATCGAAAAAAACGTATCTGAAAGACAATGGAACTTTGTGGTTTACCGATGTAGATATCAAGATGCTCTGCTTCTGAAAACGAACAGCTAGATGATAGTTTGTCGTGCTTGGAACGACATCGTAATAGATTTCCAGAATTAGAGGCTGCAACGAACGCAAGAACAATCCTCTCGTCCAACACAAAATGTTGTAGATCATCGTCTAATAACGAACTCGGAATTTGATCTGATACATAAAACATCACTTCCAAATCATAAAGATCTAAATATTATCTAATTAAGAGACTGAAAGTAGTCTTAGTTAAGATTTTAGGTTTTACCGGAATAACTCTGGGACCAGTAGATCGATCTTGTCTCTGGAACCACAAGTGAAAAAACCGCAGTTTCTGATTTCTTGGCCGACACATAACTACTATCACCAATGACTCCATCGACTCTTCCTTCTAATTTTGTCCGAGAAAAATAGACCGCATTGCCCGAACAATCGAGTATTGGCTCCACTTGGATCACAGAATCCGTTTCTGCGTTTTCAGGTAATATTTGAAGCTCCCCTGTTCGTGAAAACGAGTACAATGTCCCATCTAGTGAACCAATCGTTACCCAACCTGTGAAAAAAAAAAAGATAAAGATAGGTCTTACATGTGAAACTATCTTAGTTAGTTCGTTTAGGTAACTGACTGTTTGTGTCTATCACAGGGTCTGAACCAGAAGTTTCTGCTAATTGTCCGACGGACTTTTGCCACAAAATGTCGCCGGAAAACGAGTCCAATGCGAAAACAAGCGATTTTGTAGGGAAAACGACATAGACCAGACCGTTATTCCCCGGTGTAACGGTGAAGAATCGATCCACTAGACTAAAATCTTGAATCCATTGGTAGTAAGGGCCACGGAGAGATAACGAGTAAAGATCTCCTTCATTGTTTGATATCTGAAAAGTTTAAAAGAACAGAGCAAGAATCAAGAATAATCCCGAGCAGTGATGAAATGCTAATGAGAAGAAGAAAGAAAGTGAGAGATGTTACATAGATGCTTGCTTCGCAAGAATCAACCACAGGTCGAGAATCGAATTTACAGTTGTCGTAGTCTTTTCGACATCCCAATCGGTATCCGAATCGTTCCGTTTTAGGCTCTGCAATCCAGAGTTGCTGGCGAAGCATATTATAAGCATAGAGACCGTGATTCTTAACCGTGATGTAAACTGAAGAACTCGATATGCTGACCGCGAAACCGAGAATCGTTTCGCCGGGATCGAAGAACATTTCCGGCTCAGATTTGGTTCCGTTTCTTGGGAAATTAACTCTCAGGATTCGATTCTCTGCAAGAACAAGCACCTGAAAACTACCATCGCTCTGAGAAAAAAAACAGAGGAAATGGAAAACTCTGACAGTTCATGGTTTGAGGAGATTGGAATGTATGTATGTACCTGACTAAAACCAGAATAAACCGGAGCTAGACCGGTGTTACATTTGAAATTCATGTGTACGGACCATGCAATTGAACCGTTAGACTCGAAGGAGAATAAATCGTTGTCGGAGCAGGCGTAGACTCTGCCGTCATCGCCAATGAGTGTCTTCGAGAGAATTCGAACAGATTTATTCTCCGCGGTTTGGTCTGAAAACGTAAGAGAGAGATAGAGAGAGAACACCTTATTAACTTGCGGAAAATTGATTAATGTAAAATGTTGCGGAGAATTAAAATTTTAACCTGGTAATTGAGAAACTGTAGAGAAGACGAAGAAGAAGAACATTAAGGAGACGAAAAGGAATCTAAAATCCACCATTATTGCAGAACGATCGGTTCTGAATATTTGCCGCCCAAACTAGGAAACACGGACTCCGTGTCGGTTTACAGAAGTGGTCTTTGGAGGTTACTCACGTTAAGATATTTTGAAAATTCGAATGGTAGCCCAATTGTATTATTTGGGCTTAAAAACCATGGCCCAATACTATTCTTTCTTGGCTTTTAAAATCGTATTATTTTATTTAGTTACGAACGTATAAATTAAAATTTGACAAATAACCAGAGCAGTAATTCAGACGCTAGAAGCAACAACAACAAGAGTTAAATGTTTGTTAACAACAAATAGGAAGAAGAAAAACATTTGGTAGTAGAAATCTTTTCTAGAAGACAAAGGGAATAAGAGCCTTGATATGCTTAGGGAAGTCCTCGAACTTGGAAAGATACCATCTCCGCGTAGCGTAGCTCCGACCGATGAGGTAGAAAGTTGTTCCCATGGCGAAAGAAAGCGAGTAAATGGTTTGAGAAATCAAAAAGAAGCCCCAGAAGACAAGGATCTCGAAGAGATAGTGAGGGCATATGACTGTGCCAAAGAGACCTCCTTTTGGTATCTTGTACTCTTTCTTGCCATCTTCTTTCCTGAGGTTAGCAAGCAAACAATGGTGATACAGATTCCCAACGATTCCCACCACGAACATGGCAATCCCAGGGAATTTCAGATCCAAAGCTGGCTCCGTGAGCCCCAGCGACAAGTTTTGGCTGTATAGCATCAACGCCGTGGACGAGAAGTAGCTGCTGGTTATGACGAAAGCTGAGTCTACAGCCATCTCTCCACTGTACTTGTGAATGAACAGAACCTGTTCGATGAATTGCGTCAGAGAGAGAGAGAGAGAGAGAGTAAGCTACAACAATAAACCAATTTACCAAAATGATAACTCACAAGCTTAAACGATAACAATAAGTCAAGTATGATGGATTTTGAGAAGCTAAAGATTTAATTACCTCGAAGACCCTCTTGAAGAAATGGAGGGCAAGTGCGGATTTGAGAAGGAGAAACCTGAGATCATCAGAAGGTAAGACGAAGAAAGAAGCGGAGGCGGCTAGAAACGCAGGTGTGTATAACAAGAGCATCCCGTTTCGGCTTGAGATGCTGCCGAATCGCTGTTTTTGAGGCTGTGGCGATGATGATGGTGATGATGCGTTGTTGAATTTGGAGTATTTCAGATGGTTTCCTCTCACTTCCGACCAACCGATCTTTGCAAAAGCGGCTAAACCCACGACGCTCATGGTATTGAGCAGAATCGACGGAGGCGGTGGATATACAAAACTTGTCGCCATTTCCATATTTTGATTTCTTTTGATGATTGTTTGGTTTGCTCTTTGTAAGAAGAAGATGGATCTGTTTCTGCAACTTTGGATAATCTTCGGCCAATTCAATTCTCTTCTATTTATAACCACAAATATCGTTTCTATAAATGGAAAAATAATTATATTATTAAGGGATACACCGACACGAAACAAGATGCAATTACTGTATGCAGATATGATTCAGCTGTCGTTTTTCTTTCGTCAACTGTTTTTGATTTGGTTCGATAACGCAAATCGTATACAAATATAATTTGTGGGTGTAACTCTGACTTTCAATCTTATGTGTGTGAACAAGCCTCCATTTTTTTGGTGCAATTCTGACCTTTTAAATCTAATGTGTGAACAAATCGCAATGTGACTATGTTTCATCATAGTTTTTACAGCCCTCGCACTGTTTCTCGAACCGACATATCAACGTGTAGTTTTCAAATATCCTGGAAGTATAACAAATATGAAAATAATATCTATGCAAATCAATTTTATCCACCAAACCAAAAAGCTAACTCAACTGTATGCAAATAATATCTATGCAAAGCAAACAAAGCCAAGAATTGCAAAAGTTGAGCACAGATACAGAAAACGAATCTTTCTAAACAAGAGCTTGGATGTCAATCTCCACGAAAGAGCATGGATCAGTGATGTCAAAGTTGTTCAAAACCTGAAGCAAACAAGTAACCGGACCGGTTATATCACAAACCAAACCGCTTGATTTGGTTTATTTCACTCAATACAAGATGAAGAAGAAGAAAGTGTTACCTGAGGATGCACGATTCCAAAGTAACCAACATGTTTCCCTTTGCAAATGATGCTGGCTTGTCTACCAGGTAAAAACTCAGGTTCCTTTCGCAGATTAGAGCAAAACAAGAGTTTAGAGCGTCTGCGTTTGGTAATCAATGATAAACGTAACTCGTCAAAAAAGGAGCTTACTTGAGACTGCTTGATATAGTATCCTGTATTGTCACCGCTTGCTACAAATGGGATTCCCATTACTTCCATGATTCTATCGACGAGGCCATGTATAAGCTGAATCATACAGAGAAATTTCTCACGATAAGTTCTAAGGCATCATCCATGGCCAAGTAGATGAGTTGGGGAAAGGAACGGAAATGAAATCATGTACCTCGAATCCAGAAGTAGCACCACAGCGTAATGCAGCGAGATGGCGGCGATTGGATGCACCGACGTCCTTTGTTTCATCCAACAAGGTCACATCACCTATTTCGTAAATCTTGAAACCAAAACAAAAAAACAGAGAGAAACTGATCAAGAGACCTCTAAGCTTCGGTAAGATAATAGAAGAAAGGAAGGTAAATCAAATCACTTACCTTGATAGGTTTAGGGTGGTCTTTGTTAGAACCAACTGTCTTCAATATTCCAGGCATGAGCCTCGTTCTGACTACCTAATAAACGAAAATTCTTTCAGGGGATGCAAAAGATGGCCAATGAGTATCTTAAAAAAAAACAATCAAAAGAGTAACCTCGAAATCAGCAGACCGTGGATTCCCTATAATAACGGCTGACTTGTCATCTTCTCTATTAAGCATTGCAAAATTTTCCTTGTGGGAGCATAGTATCCATGTCAGAACCTCAGTGTACACGTTCATCGCAATCTGAAAGATGAATAGATAAAACCTTTGTGAGATACAAATGCTAACTGTATTTCCAATGAAAAACGCAAACGGATGTGACACAAAAGAAGCAACTGGAAGTGCTAGTAACCTCTGTTCTGAGAAGATCGCTGAGCTCATTCAAAGGCAGTGGCTTTATCGAATCAGGCTTTCTCGTCGAGATGTTGTTGTAACCATAGGCAATGGCAACATCCTGGTGAAAAGATAGCTCAAGCTATTAATTAACCTACACAAAATCATCCAAAAATTCATGAACGTACAAAGGTCTTGGTTAAGAAAAATTACCTCCATAACATCACAGGGGTGGAGCACGTCGCTTCTGCTTGGAGGTACATGCACTTTTACGAGACATTGGCTGTCAGTAGATTTTGAACGCTCAGCACGCAACTGCATTCGGTTCAGCAGACTTGTAACCTGGAGGTTACAAATGCCATTCCACAGAACAAAAGGATAAGTACCATGTGGAGAGGAAAAACTCGTAATATAAATGCCAAGATTTACTTTAACTGCAAGTAACAAAACAACTTGATCACAGTGATTGCCTTCATTACCTCTTCCAGCTCCAAGGAGACTCCAATTGAGTCATTGATATAGGATAGTGCAACTTCCATGTCGTAGACTGCTAAATCCGGATAGATGTATGACTCTCCCTTGTCATATGAAACTTCAACAGGCTCTATCTCAAACTTTCTTTCACAATATTCAGAAAAAGCTGTCACCTGGAAAACAAAACAAAATGGTAAATGATCATTGAAACATTAATCAGGTAAGTAGAGTAACCGTTGATTTGGTAACGGCAATACCATTGTATTCAAAACAATCTTGGCCTTGGTCAGATCGGTTGCTGTACACTCAATGAGGACGTTCTTTGTCTGCAGACTGATTGCTGAATGTGCACCATTGATAATAGGTGGCAGTGACAGCACCGTTCTGCAAAAGTGTGAACCTTCATTATATTTATTCAGTTGATTCCAATATTTTACTGCGAAGAACAACCAAATACCTTTTACTGTCGTATAAAACAGGGAAGACGGGTGAGCTCTCAATGATGTGTAGATATTTTTTCAACTTCAAATCTGACTGCAAAAAAGGAAAAAGTAAAATAAAACAGCCATTCAAAAAGGGTACGGTTTTAAGAAGAATTTTCTTCAGAAAGGTTGGAGGAGAGTAAAAACATTTACACTCGTATGAACCAGAAAGTAATAACTATTCTTGTTTCAGAAAAAAAAAAAGTACATTTTCATTCATGATATACCTTGTAAAACTCAATTAGTTCGTCAGCCCTGAAGCTCTTAGTCTGCACCAAGAGATAGGTATTAGCCAGGTTAAGAAACATGAAACCATCTTTAATTAGATTTTATCATACAAGTCGAGAAATTGTGACATGAGAAATAAAATCATATATCTGTATCAGCGTGTTGATGCGAATGCCATAAACAACGAGAAATATAATCATATATCCATATTTGCAGCGGAGAAAGGCAACTTACTTGCTTCAAAGGTACAAAATTTATATCCATCGGCGACAAAGCCTGAAAATAAGAAGCAAAGACCACAACATCATAACCCATTTAGAAAGAAACAGATTGTATATGAGTTTGGTTATCATTTCAGCTAAAGGAATGACATCAAACAAGATCAACAGGGAAGAGTAGAAGAACGTATAACACTCACCTCATATGTGAATGGGCCCTGTAATGTATCTAAGTCATGAGTTCCAATAGCGACCAGGGATCTTCGCCTGAAACATGCAGTGAAGAAAAACTGAATATCACACAGTTTGTAGAAAAACAAAATCCAAATATTGGGATAAATGTTAACGCAATCCACAGTGATATTTGCAGCTAATAATGGATTGAATACAAAACTGGCAATGACATTTACCGGCAAATATTCTGGTGTAGCTTATCCTGAAGATCGATAAAGCTGTTGTAACGAGCCTCGTCGAAGGTTACGCCTCTTAAAACAGCACATACAACATATGGGCGAATCTGAGATGTCTGCAAAAAGCGAAACTTCAATCATCAAGGCAAAAAAAAAAAAAACTAGAGAAGGTTGTTGCAAGGGACAAGATATACACACCTCTGATTTAACATTCATTTTAAGCATCTTGTCTTTGCCAATGTCAGCAAGCCTATAGGTTGGTATCTCCTGCTTCTTGTTGAAAACGCGGAGAGCTTGGGCAAGCCCTTCAAGGCAGAGCAAATCGTATCTGCAATGATTAATGATGTAAATACAAAAATCCATTTTATCATCTATAGCAAGTATCATTATATGCAGATAGTTTCACCTGTTGGCAGGAATTTCGATCTTGTAGATGACTTCTTCATCATCATCAGCTTCTTCTTCGATATGCTTCTCTTTCCTGATTATTGCTTTCTCCGTTGTCTAGTCATCGCACGGTAGAGAAACTAGTCAGTGGAAAAAACTAACCAGGAAACCCACAAAACATTCACGAACAAAAAAACGCAAACAAGAGAAAGAGGCGCTGCACTCACCACATCATCAAGCTCAATACCAAAACGGAAACACAGATCTTCAAACTCTTCCTGAGCTACACGATTCAAAGAAGAAGAGACAAAACAAACAAAACAAACACGGTTTAAAGAAGAAGAGACGAATCATACAAACACGAAGGAGAATAAACAGTTGAAGAGTTTCTTACTGTAGGATTCTCCCAGGGCAGCGAACAAACGGTCTCTGCCGAGACTCACGGTAGGCATTGTCGGATTTATACTCTAGAAATACAAAAATGAGGAACTAAGCAAAAATCCCAAAATTGAATGAAAACATAGATTTGCTTTTCTAAGCATGTCATCAAAATTGAAAATCCCAATCTAACTAAGGCTTAGTACCTAAAATCTAGCTGCTATAGACGAGATCGAGAAGACCTAACGAATCGAGGTAGAGAGTAACAGTGTGTCCAAAGTAGCAATTGAAATTGTTTACATTCTAACCTAACAAGTTCTAATAGTTGACCAACGGGATGACTTGGTCAGAAATTGACGGAGGCTTACCCGCTAACGTAGGCCGGAGAGCGTTGAGCAGCGGCGGCGAGAGAGCAATGAAGGATATGGCTACGCGAGTTTTTGGATACGGGAGAAATTGAAAAGCGTCTTTAGGTAAAACAATGTAATTTCAGTTTTTGTTACGATTAATTCTCATTAATTTAATCGACAACAATTTCTTTTGGTCAATTTCCATAAAATAAAAATAGAAACTTGGTAAATTAGATTTTTGTTTTTTTTAATCTACAACATTTACAATGGAAAGGGTTGAAAAAAGGTGGACAAAATAAAAAAAACGTTACCCAACATTCAACAATAGTCAAAAAATCTGTGTGTTACTTTAATTGAAAAAAACAAAATTTATATAAGATAATAAATAGCATTCTCAAACTTGAAATTCCAAGATTCCAAACATGAATTACAAAGAACATACACTGTAAAAACTATGAATTAACCATAACTCCTAAGTACAGTAAAATAACTTCTTACACAACAAGCCTATACAATTACAGAGGACACAAATAACATTCCCAAAAACAAACCTCTATATGATACAACAACAACAAAAGGAAACAAGAAAAAGGAAACATGTTCTTCTTCTTACTTCAGATTTCATCTAGGACCAGAGAGCTCCATTGCTTGCGCAAGTAAAGTAGAGTCATCAGTAAGATCAGAATATCTGTCTGAAGATGACATAAACTCATTGATCCTGTTGCTACATTTTGAAGCACTGTCTGATCTTTGAGAAGCTTCCCATCTCTCTGCAAGTCCATCTCCTTCGAGCATCCGAACAACTTCTGACATTTTCGGTCTATGTCCAGGCAAATACTGTGTGCACAACAAAGCTACTCTCACCATCTCTTCCAACTCAATCTCATCATAGCTCTTCTTCTTCAGCAACTCTTTATCCACAAGCACCTCAAGTTTCTTCTCTTGGTGTATCTTTTTAACCCATTCAAGCATCGCGCCTTTCTGGTTAGCCGCTTTACCAAACTCAAGAGCTCTTTGTCCGGTTACGAGCTCAAGAAGAAGAATCCCAAACCCGAAAACATCGGTTTTCTCTGAGGATTGGCCGGTTGAGAGATACTCGGGAGCGATGTGACCCACCGTGCCTCTAACCGCGGTTGTGACATGAGAATCTTGATGATCCAGGAGTTTAGCCAAACCGAAATCTCCAACCACAGCTTCACAGTAGTCATCAAGAAGTATATTCGCTGCTTTGACATCGCGGTGGATAATCTTCGGATCGCATTGCTCATGGAGATACACAAGCCCTCTCGCAGCTCCTATCGCTATCCTCTTCCTGATGCTCCAATCAAGAACCGGTTTTGCTTTCATTCGAGATGCAACGCTTCCATTAGACATGTAAGGATAGACCAGAAGCTTCTCAGCTTGCGTGATGCAGAAACCGTAGAGTCTTAGTAGGTTTCGATGAACAGCTAAACTGATCATTTCGACTTCCGTCTGAAACTGAATCTCTCCTCCTAGTGCATTTCCATCTTTAAGCCTTTTCACAGCAACCACGGTGCTGTCTCCGAGTATTCCTTTGTATACATTCCCATAGCCTCCTTTCCCGAGTAAGTTCTTACTGCTGAAGTTATTCGTCGCGATCTGAAGCTCCCTGAAACCGAATCTCCTCAGGTTTCCAAGTGAAACCTCCTCATGATGATACCCATCTGATGAAACATTATAAAAGGAACTTTCTTTCAACTGAATCTGTTAAGAAGGTTCTACGCAAAAAAATAAAGAAACTGAGAAAGATCAGACCTTTAACATCAAAGAATGTGTTTTGGCTATGTCTCTGTCTCCACCAGAGGAACAGCCCAACAGCAATGAAGATCAATGATACAACCCCAACGCTGGATCCAACGGCAATTGCCATTTTGTGATTCTTCGATCTACCGGGGTATAAAGGAGCTTAAGAAGAGAAAACAGTTGTTAGTCAAGTGTTATCAAAGATTAGCATTAGCTAAAACTGAAACTGAAGTTTGCTTCAAGTTAGCTAGTTAGTTTAGTGAGTTACCTCCAGTTTCATTCAAGTTCATAGACATTGGTATCAATGTAGTTCCATTGCAGTCTGGTTCATTACCCGTTGGACAGATCAGTGGGTTTCCAACGATACTGTAATCAAAAGGGAAACATTAAAAGTTGAACATAGAGATAGAGAGTGAGTGGAAGAGTGAGACATTGAGAGAGAATCAATCACCTAAAGGTCTTTGCAGCAAATCTTGGGACAGGACCACTAAGATTGTTGTAAGATAAATCACTGAAAAGCAAAACAGATCAAATCTCAACATAAATAAATGTATTTGTTTAGTGATTTAGTGTGTGAACTGAAGACTAATTAGCTTACAGAAAGGCAAGTTGGGTCATATTGGATAGTGACAGAGGAAAAACTCCAGAGAGAGAATTGTTGTTAAGCCTCCTGATGATACACAGACATGACATATCAAGATCACAAATTCCTTAAAAAACAAAACAACTTAAAAGAGATCCCATTAACAACTTTTTTTCTTCTATGCTTACAGGTATTGCAAGCTTCGTAGATAGCCTAGTGAAAAAGGAATTTCACCGCGGAAGAAGTTATCAGAGAGATCAAGAGTCTCAAGCCTTGTAAGCCGACCAATCTCTGCAGGAATTTTTCCTGTTATGTTGTTGTTCTGCAACAGCCTGCAAGAGAAAAAACCATCATCAATAACACATAACACACACACAAACAAAAACAACAAAGAGTATAATCAAACTCTATAATGGTTTAGTATACAGTGAATACTCACACAATCCGAAGATTTGTTAAGTTGGTAATGCTTGGAGATAATGTACCAGATAAATTCTGACTAGGTGTGCCCCTGTAATGAAAGTAAAGCACTTTTTACTTCACGTGAATTTGCTCGCTCATCAATAGTTATGTATGAAATGTATAGATGTATAATGTGAGACTTACAAGCCAATGACAAAGCTTTCTGGAGAGCAAGTGACCATTGTCCAACTACAAGGATCAACAGCATCTCTATCCCAGTTATCAAGAACACCATGAGGATCATGTAATGAAGCTTTTATGTCCATCAGAGCTTGCACTGAGGAAAATATTTAATTCCCACATTAGTGTTTGGATCAAGCACAACAAAAGTGAGAATTTAAGAAAGAACAACAACAAAAAAACTAGAAAGCTGGAATTAGTTTAGTAAGGAGTGAGACTGAAAATTTAAACTTTTTTGATGAAATTTACCTTCAAAGTTAACTCCTTTAGAAGAAAGCAAAGCGTTTACAGAGCTGAGAAGGCATAAAAGTCCCAAGAAGTAAACTAAAAAACTTCTCGTCATCATCATATCTATTGTACTCTCCATTAATGAAACAGAGAGAAAGGAATGAGCAGAAAACAAGATGTACTCAGTTTCCAGATAATTTGGTATTTGATGGAGAGAGAGAGAGAGAGAGTGGAAGAATCAAAAACCAAATCTTTATTCTTTTTCTTTTAGATTTGGGTTAAAGTATAAACATTTCAACATCAAGAAAAATTGCTTTCCATGGCAGAAGAACCCACTTCACCAAAAGCATAAATCTTTATATAAAAAATTATATCTTTGTGTGTCAGAAGACGAGGGGAAAAAAAATGGAAAAGAAATACCAGACTCATTGGTAGTCTAAAGTGAAGTTCATAGCATGCTTGTCGATAAAGCTTGTGTGTGGGGAGACCGTTAAAAAGGTAATAAAATTATATTAAAATGTAAAAAAAAAATTGTTATTTGCCCATATTCTTGTGATGGACAAGGATAGTAAGTAGAGCAAATCTAACTTGTAATTCAAAAATAAAAAGGGGTAAAACAGGAAATTAGAATACTGTTCTTTTGCTAGCCTGCCACTCTGTCATGTTTTTTGTCTATGGTTTTTAAATTTTATCACAACTTTCTTTCTTAATTTATTTCACATATATTTACACTCTACAGTATAAATACAGTGTAGAATTTTGATGGAAATAAGTTATTTAGTTAATGCGATGATTAAAAATCTGGATTGTTTTCGGTTTTGAATATATATAAAAAACGATGACTGATTTGCATGGTAGAAACTAGAAAGGGAATCCAACATTCCATCTTTACCCTAGCCTAGTAAATAGTAGTATGTTTTGAAGCTAATATGTTTTGAGAATGTGAGAAGTTCGATGAGATTTAAAAGTTAACTAGGGTAAAGAAATTTTTATACTCCTTCATTTTGTTGCCCACTCAACTCTCAGCATCTTTGTCTTCTCGATGTGTGGAAATACGAAGTAGTATTTAAAATTGGTTTTTGTAGTAGTATTTAAATTGGTTTTTTCAACAAATTTTGTAGCTTAATTATTTATATTATTATTTTTTGGTGCGCCAAATGTTAGTTTTCATCCATTTGTAACACAATCAACTTAAGACGTTAGGAATTTTGGCGCAAAAAGAATGTAGTTATTTCATTGATTTAGCATCAGTATTGATTGAATTTTCAGTCCTTTGCTGAATTTTCTTTTATTTAAGCGGAACTTTAGCCTTTTGCATGGGAAAAAATAGATTCGATAAATCCCACTAAGAGCTAACGATCATATGTAACTTTCATTGAAAAAAAAAAGAAGATCGTCAACTAAAATACAACACTTCTTCTTAACATCCAAAACCCAAAACTTCTAGCCATTAATTAACCCACTTTTTGATTTTAAAGCTACAAAATCTAAACCCACTATAATATCTTCAGTATCTTGTAGTGTATGTTACAAGGATTTGCTAAAAAAATAAATGATAAGATAACCCAGCATCCAAGTACAAGACATTAAAATTTTAACCTTACAATTTGTCCAAACTGCTTGTCGTTTTCACTAGGTTTTGTTCATGTGTGAGTTGGCAGTTATATATACTATATTATGACAAGCATTTATATATGATGTTAAAACTTAGAAAAAAACTATGATTTATTTTAGTCTTTTTAAAGTTAATTAATTTGAGTATGTTATTCATCGAATATTTCCTGTTTTTCTAAGATTATCTGAAAATTAAAGAAGACTGTTTTTTATATATTATAATACGATTTCAATAGACAACCAAACTATTTATATAATTTTTACGGAAAATTTTATAAATCTATTCAACATCTGAAGAATCGATTATGTGAATAAAGTGCAGTTTTAGTTAAATCATCTCAAACTGTAGAGATGCTAATTTACAGTTGAATACTATAATCTATCTTTTTTTGTCAAACGTAATCTATATGTACTTTTAGTTTGCCTGTTAACCAAAACTTGAAAGCGTACTTTAAAATTCTTGTGTCAAGAATTCTGATTTCGATCAACAAAACAAGCAACGTTCTATTTCTCTTATTAATATATTCACATTTGTACATCATTTGGTTATCTTCATCGATACGTACCGACCTGTAAACCAAAAAGAAAGAAACAAAAATATATATTCTAAATTTGGGTGAACGATATACTAATAACTTTTCCTGTTCAAGAATTACTTTCCCAAGCGTTATTCCTAGTCAAGTTTTTATAGTTTGTGGTCCACGTGACACGGTTTCTTAAAACTCGATTTATGAGAAACAATCATTAATAATTAATGCTTTTTCTCGTTGATCTGACGTTTGATGGAAAATGGGTTCTATGAATTACAGAGGAAACAAAATAAAAATCAGAAATACTAGTACTAGTACAAGATTACAAAACATGTCATGAAAGATTTTGCAGAATGCTGATAGAGAGAGATGGTTCCCAACTTGAGTCTTATACCTGAAGTGGTGGAGCTAAACTGTCTCTACTTCAATAATGTTAGGGAGACTATTTGATGACATTATATTACTGCCCATCGTTTTGTTTGGGACTCTCCAATTGTTTTTTTTTTTTTTTTTACTATACGTTTCATTTTCTCGTGCTTACTACAGTTTATAGATTTCGTAAATTAGTTTTAAATTGTGTTGGTCCCTAAAAAAAACAAGAGATACATAGATAAGATATACACAACTGCTCACCGTTCTCTTGATTTAATTTACACTCTAAAGCAGTATAAGTAGAGATTAAATTGTTACTAAACGTTGTCTTCGTGATTACCGAAAATACCACATGACGGTGTCATATATGAGCCAAGAATTCATAACAAGAAAAAGAAAACAATGTATACACTACACACCCAAGTGTCTGAGACTAAGTTTGTTTCTCACTTAATATTTTGTATTCGTCTCTTTAGCTCACCAAATGGTCATCAAGTTCATAGTAAAAATGAAAGTGATACTTTGTTATATTGTTTAAACTTGACTAAGGTAGCTAAGAGTACTAGTCTAGTTACATTACACGCTATACTAACGTGGGTTAATACAAAAAAAAAAGTTTTAAAAACAATGAAAAAGTATAAGTAAATAATCATGAAGATCAACATTTGTAATTGAAAGTAGTGTTGCAAAATGAATGGTTACACATAACTGCATAAAGATGATGCAATATGTAATATCAAATCTTACAACGTATTGTTAAAATGTATTTGAAAGCATATGCAGTATGTTTAGCTTTTCTTTTTCGGAATACTATACCATTATAAAATCTGAAATTAAGTTCACTGCGAGTCATCGAGTAGACAACAACAAACAAATTATAATCATATTGTTTCTTAGAATCCGTTGATATCATGAAATATTGAAATTAGTTTTCGGTTCCATATGGATAGAACTCATCAATAATTGTATTTTGCATTGTTTATTGGAGTAGAATGATTATAACCATGTCTTGTCGGTCCATGAAAGTGAGTCGTCGAACCAACTTGCCATCATTTCCCTTATCTATGTGATTATTCCATCAAATCGTGGACTAGTTAGCTTTATTTATTTTTATTGCAAAAGGCAATACAATTGTTCAAAATCGTCATGGCATTCAAATGATATTAGTTCCTAAGTATGTAACTGATGTAGATCAAGATCATTCAAAACTATAAATCATCACAAAGTTAAGATATCGGCATAACTAAAATATTAGATGTTGAATTAGAATCCAAGAAAAAAATGTTGTATAATTGCATTTTAAGATTTCTAAATAACTCTTCACAATTTTTTTTAAAGAGAATCTAACTTAGTTATAACTACTCCTTTTATTTCATTATAAATGATTAAGGAGTATCTAAAGATCTTGTCTACATATTAAGGAATCATTTATTTTTCTTATGTTTTCTAAATCAAAACATTTAGTTATACCTATATAAACACAATTCAATCAATGATAAAACAAACTACCAATTACAAATATATATAAAGCATATATAATACATTTCCCCCTTTTTTTCGTTAACAAACTCATGTTCGTTGTTTTTGACTTTTTGGATATTTGGGACAAATGTGTTCTAACATATGATTAGTGCGTTCGAGATCCACCTAACCTACCAAATGCTATGCCTAGTCAAATCAATTGTATTTGGTATTTAACAAAACCTTAACATTTCGTTTTTCATCACTCATTGCCATTAGCCACGTACGACGTTTATAATTTTTCAACAGATACTATTTAAAAATTGCGACCGTTATATATGAATCTAGTAGGAATAAAATGCTGACTTACTCAATAACACAAATTAATATAAATTATAATTTATATTACAGGTCTCACTATTGGTTTTTTTTTTTTTGACCTAAGGTTTAGTCTCACTATTGATTTGATAGCGATATTTTAGTTCACTCCATTGTATTTTTGAATGATTACTTTTTTTTCAAGCTAACAAAAGTATACACGAATCTTTGGATCATCGCTAGTATATATATAGCTCATACAAATAAAATGTGTCAAGCATTAAAGCAAATAATTAACTTGATACATGCGTAAATATTTGATTTCCCCTAACATTTTCGGTCCCAATCAAGCAGGTAACTAAGCGTGCTTAGTGCTTACAGAAAAGATTTCTTTCATCTTTCTTCTTTTTTCAACTCTATTTCCCTTTTTTAGCTTTTCCCGGGAAAGTGATAGGAACTTTTTCTACACCGTTAAAATGTGAAACCTGCTTTAACCTTTATTTCTTTCTTTCTTGTAATTAAAAAAAAAAAAAAAACATCTCAGGCTTTGCTTCAAAAACCAGGAACCCGCCGAATGAGTCCAAGGGTTTGAAACGGTCCCCTGTTCTCTTTTTTTTTTTTTTTTGGTTCAAATTCGGTCCCCTGTTCTAAATAGCAACTAATCATAAAGAAATGATGACACATCTCTCTCTTTCTTTCTTTCTTCCACTCTTTTGTCTCATTTCTTGTAAGAACATCAATCAAAGCTTGTCTCTTTATGTTGCTACGTCTCTCTCTCACCGATCTGTTCCTCCTCGCTCAGTCCTTTTATTTCTCCACTCTCTCTGCAGAAAAATTCAAAAAGAGTTGCAGAAATGATGCTATTGACAATGAGAATGAAAACGGTGCAAGCTTTCAAACATTTACAAATTCAGATCAATATTGTGATCGGTCTACACCAACAAAGGAATTCGATACAGAGCGCGACAAAGACCAGCACTACAAAATTTTGATTGTGGTTGTGGTCCTGCTTCTCTATCAATAATCAGAAAAGAACAAAGACTATGGAAACTATCCTTGAATCTCTTTTGTTCTCTTCTGCTGGCTTAGTTTTGGTGTCTGAGTCCCAGGCCCAATGAGTGATTACAAAAGGCTTGGTTATTCTCTACAACAAGACCGAAGTTTCTTTTGGGTTTTGCCACATCATTTACCTTTCAGGTTCCAACTCAACTAAACAGAGAGACTTTTCAATGAACAAGTATTGATTGTACAAGAAAAAACTTAACAATGTCAAACACAAGTATTGATTGTACAAGAAAAAAGTTAAAATTTGAAAATGAAGTTACTGATAGATATCGTTAATAATAATACTCAAATAAAATTATGGGCTTCCATGGAAGAGACAAGAAGCAGAATATGATGAGCAAGTGTAAAATAAAAGAACAGAGTAGCTTGAAATTATTTTGCCAGTACACTGGTGAATGGTGGTTGATCCATGTAAACAAAAGGAAACAGTAGGAATTTTCTCAGGCCAAACTTTTCGAATCAAATGCTCAGAAACTAACAAAAAAAAAAGACTTGAAGGAATGTAAACTAAAACTGGAGCTAAGAAGCAGCAGCCAAAGGTTTCTCTACAGCAGATTCATTAGGTTTCATGGAATCGAAGAGTTCTAGAGCATCTGGATGGTTACGGATATAGGTTGGGCACAAGGAGAGTAAATCATGTGCCTCACTGTGCCTTGCAGACTTCATCATAGTTTCGAATACACGCAGAACCACTGAGGTAGATGCAAAATAGTTTGAGGTCATAGCCTTCAGAAAACGGAGAGCTTCGGTGCTTGTTCCAGTTTTTGAGAAGTAATTCATGAACGGGTCAAGGAACGGAGGGAATCCGTGATCTTTCATCATCGGTAGAAGACTCAAAGCTTCTTCAAACCCACCGTCTCTTGCAATCTTTTTCGTCAGCAGATTCCTCACCAAGATTTTGTACGTGCTATGACGAGGTTTCAGCTGATTCTGCTTTACTTGCGCACTCAAAAGCTTGTATGCATCCCTTGCCTGATTCTTGTTGCAGTAAGCATGAACCAACTTCTCAAATGCATAATCAGCATACGAGACTCCAGCTTTTCCAACCATTTTCTCGAAACACACTAAAGCTTCCTCGAACTCCCCGGAATCACAGTACCCTTCAACAAGAGAAGCCATTGCCTTGTCGTCTATGTTATTTCCGGATGCTTCCATAAAGTCTACAAGTTCATCGGCGTCGTCTTTCTTTCCCTTACGACTAAGCCCTGATGCGATCATGCTCTGCATATCACCACTTGGAAGGTAGCCTCCTTTCTTCATTGCTTTCAACACCTCATTGCTCTGGGCAACCCTATCCACGCTGTTTAAAGACTTCAACACAGATTTCAGCATACCATCCGTCAAGGCATTACCATTTATGGTATAAACTTCCACAGCTCTTGAAAACAAATCCATATCTAAAATCTTGGCAGTGATAATTTTCTTGAGCAACAAACAGAAGCAGTGTGTGGTGGGTTTGTTACTACCCGCCATTGCAATCTCGAACAAGTCAACAGCTTCCTTGATCAATTTCGTCTGGCAGAACCTCGTCGAAACTCTAACATAAGTCTCTATATCCACTTCGAAACCAGCACTCCTCATTTCCTCGATGATGTTCTGAAACCTATCGAGAGAATTCTCTTTCCCCATAACCCTAGCCATAGCATTATAGGTTATCTCATCATGCTTAAAGAGACCAGACTCATCAACCCACCGGAAGAACAACAAAGCTTTTCTAGGGTCTACATCAAGCCTTTCCACAATCATCTTCACTAAATCACTTTGAAACTCAACATTCAATTCCCTTACCCGTTTCTCCACATCATCCCCCCATTCTTCCTTCTTCACAATCTTACACACCTTATCGCAAACCTTCTCAGCCGAATCATCTAAACAATCTGAAGAGAAGAGCTTTCTCAGCTTCACCAGATCACTCTCCAGTCCATCTTTCTGAAATTTCTCACCCACTTTATCTCTAACATTAGCCGATAAACCATGTCCTTTAGTCTTCATAGCATCAACCAACCCCCAAAACTCATCAACAAGCCCGTTACCACCCAGAATACGCAGCATCATGTTGTAGTTTTTCGAGGTAAGATCCACAGGAGAAGCCTCCGTAATCCACTGGAAAAACCTTTTCGCAACATCAGGGTTTGATTCGAGCTTTCTCAGAACCTTCAAAGCTAAATCTTGGCTAATCGCGATATTACTCGACTCCAGCTCTTTCCTGATCTCATCCTCATCACTCAATCTGCTAAAGATATCAATCACGGTAGCCTCAGAAGTGGGTTTCTCTTCAATCACAGCCTCGGAGGAGAAGCTTCGACCCACTGATTTCACCATCTCTGAAGAGCTCCTCACTCGGGGTCTTAAGGAATGAAGCTCTTCGCTTTGTTGCAAAGCTCCGATTCCAGAAGGAAGGTGAAGAAATGAAGAGAAAGATCGGGTTGAAATGGACGTTACCTGAGACTGAGAACAAGGAGAAGGATAAGCAAAATGAGACCGACGGGAGCTTCGAAGAAGCATCAATCGCCATTGTTGATATCTCATCTCCGATTTGATCTGGGTTACCGAAATAATACAGAAGGATTTGAGTATAGTGGAGTTGATCTGAATCAAAAGCTTGATCCTTTTGATAGAAACGAGACGGAGGAACAGCTATTGCGGAGCTCTGGGAAATGTTAGGGTTTTAGTGAGGATTTTGATTTTTTTTTGAGGTAAGGAAACACAGCTAGTTGAGGAAGAAGGTCCCATTGCGATGGCGAAGAAGGAAACAAACAAACAAACAAAAACTTGGTACAATCCCGATTTTAGCCCCTAGTTTCCTTGTAGTTGACAGATTTTGTCGTATATTTAAAATTGGATCAATCTTGCCCACAAGGATTTGGAACTTGTAAAGAAAAAAAATCATTGCCTTATTTTTATTAATATATTTTGTATTTATAGTTATTGGTTTATAATATCCTTAGGAATTTGTTATTTCTTTCGTGTTCTCATTTTAGGAATTTATTTATAAAGTGATGAATTCTCAAGTGCGTTTGGCCAAAATAAGAGAAGCTCAATAAATCGTCGGTCGAAGAAAGAAGAGAAACTCAAGTATATTATAAAGAATCAAGTGCATGAGTAATAAGGGATAAGATAAAAGTTGTTGGAACTTAAATTAGATGTTCATTAACGGGAAGCTAAATACATAAACATCCCATACACACCTAATTAAAGGGAGAATCATGATAACATTAAAACACTAGAACAACAACAACAACAAACAAGAACTAGGACGAATATGAGAGAATCAATTAGAACTCCCAAATTTATTTAAAAACCACAACAATTAATTAAACACATGGAAATTATAACTTCCAGTTTAATTATCGAATCGCTACTTGTTCATGCCGGTCTTCTCCTTCACGAAGTTAACGGCTCCTCCTGCAGCTTCCGATATCTTCTGTCCCGTCTATACGTAAAATGCATATAAAAAATATGAGATATATTCGTACATATGTAAATTAATAAAAGATGTATATATATGTGTGTATGGATCGCTTACTGTTTGTGCGCCCGCTCCAGCTCCGGCAGCAGCATCCTTGACCTTTTCCACTATCACATTACTCTTCTCCTGATCACACATCATTGTCCACTCGAAATCAATTTTATATTCATTTACTTAGCTACGACAACAGTAACTCAAATAAATTGCTAACCAAGAGAATAATTAAATAAAAATTCCAATTTTTTTTTTTTTTTGGATAGGTTTTGCTAATTAAGTGCGGTTCCCACGACTGGTATCTCCAACCGGAGCAACCGTAGTTGATCAAAATGACAAAGAGAGAAAGAGACCTCAGCACGACCAGCGGCTTGACCGGCTTGGAAGCTCTGCTTGTTGTCTGCCATTTTTCTTGAAAGATATTTTTGTTTTTATGAATTTTGAAATGTTTTTGTTTTTAAGCTGATGAGAAGGGATGTGTGTTTAGTTATTGTATTTATAGGCCAAATGGAGATGTTTGTGTGGTGCCACGTGTCATCTCAAACCACGTGGGCGACGCGGAATGGTACGATCAGCTTTGCCTTATGTCGGTAGCTTTTTAGCGGCTATCAAGATTCCACGTGTTGTTTTTGGGATGGATATTAGGATAATATAAGTTCGAAGTCTCCGTATGTGGTTTTCTCGCCTCCCTGGTTTCTTTTCAATTAACTAATGAAGATAATAACTCTTTTTTCAAAAAGAAAATATCTCGATATTATATAAAGTATTTTTTGTCATTTAGCAATACCTATTTTTAATCCAGTAAAGAAGATATTTGTATAAGTTTTTAACAATATAGGGCCAACAAGTCTATGGCTCTAAATAGAAATATGTAATGCGCGTTTGTTGCATATGCGTTTGGCAAACATTTCGTGTTATATTTATTCACGAAGAAATTATAAGTCTGTTGAATGTTACAACTTTTATTAAAAAAAACAATAAAACGAATAGGGATAGCATTTGCCGTTTGGTGTGTTGGTTGAATCCAGAAGCACACTAAACACATGATTTTAACTATTTCAAAAAGAATTGCGTAACAAAAAAACTATTTTCAAACAGAAATGAGATTTTCAGAACACAGTAGTCACATGCATCAAAAATCTTTAAGAAACAAACTTTCATCCAAAATCAACTTTACTATTACGTTCACGGCATAATAGACGTGAAACAGTTGGACGCACGCAGCTGCATGTTATGTTAGGCAAGTCATTTGTTTCATTTGCCGAACCACTCATATATTCCAAATTTTTGTTTTCTTAAAGAAATTGAAAAAGAAATACATCTTAATTTTTATGAATTATCGACTTCTAACCCAAATCCAGTTCGAAAATGGATACAACGGTACTTATATAGATTATCTTACGTACACATCTCATTAGCGATGTGGAATTCTAGCAAATCAGACTTGACTTCTAACGCAGACCTAATTGCTTAAACGCTATACAAAATTAGCTAATTCTTTTTAGTTAACACATACATGTTGATTATGAATTTTATATCACCAACGTTAAACTAGAACAATGTTGTGTTATGTGAAAGTCTAGCTGAAGAATCGGAACGGAGTAAGCACGAATTGGTCTGAGATTTCGGTTACGTTAGGTGATCATTTTCTTTGTGTGTATGCATAACAGACTCTGCAAAGATTCTGAAGATTGGGTTTGGAGGATATATAGCTATACAGTTTCATAATTACAGAGGCTGTTTAATAATTCAATTGCCCAAGATGTGGAGGATTCGATCCCTAGCTCACATAAAGAACTAAAAGACCAACCAATTAATAAATCACAATCGAAAACATGTTCATGGTTGAATCTTTTAAGCTAAGAATAAACGTATACACAAACCTTAGAGTTGATCAAGCAAAAGTTATTCTTTTTATTAGGCATCATAAATGTATAAAATCATGAAAATTATCATTCTTAGTATGATATTCCATAAAATTCGATCAATTGAGTTCACATAAGGCCAGCCACAATTACTGGTTTTAGGAGGAAAAAAAGAAAATAACACATTTAACACATTATTCGGAAAAACAAAAAAAAAAGCTTAGATTCCCTCTTCCTTCTCGTCCTCGCTAGTGCAGCTGCTGTTGCTGCTCCACTCACATTTCAAGGTAGATCTCGGAGAACCACAATACTTTCCCAACTTCTCAAACCTCTGATACATCACTGTTCCTTTTCCTTCTCCCAGAGACTCCATTGTTGACTCTCTGCATCCGTAATCGTCCAGGTCAACACAGATTCTCGAGTCGTAGCTCTTCTGTCCAACGCTCGAGTGGATCGCTACGGAGAACTGCTTTGGCTCGAAGCAAGTTAGTACCTTCGAAACAAGATGGCTCACGTCCATGGTCGCGAAATCGTATCCCACAGCTTCAAAGCTAGCGTAGCTGAATCCATCTTCAGGGGTCACATGGATAGTGGAGATTGCGTCACCTTCGATGCTGTTCATAGAGTAGCCGCAGGGCTCAAACTCAAAGTCGCAGATTTGGGACTGAGGAAGTATCTTTCTGATGCCAGAGTTATCAGTCATGGAGCCGGCCGAGCTAGAATCGCTCTTGTAGAACACAGATGCCTTGTCCTTGTCCAGACCAGTCATGCACATCTCGAGCGTGTACACATTGTTGCTACAGCTGTTGTTGATCTTCTTGGCAGGAGAAGAAGCAGAGTAAACATGCCATTTCTTGGTTTCATCGTCATCGCCCATCAAGTATGCAACACTGCTCAAACCAAGCTTAGCGAAGTGACCATCAAGAACAGAGACTTCTTCAGAGAAGTTGCGGTGTGGAAATGGCTGGCCTCCAGGACAGAGGAAGCTCCCACGAGTGTACCTCACGGACTTGACGGCTAGAGAGAGCTCACCGGCCAACCTCAGGAGTGGCTCGATAGAGAGGAGGAGCTTTGTAGTCCCGCAAGTCTTGATGATGATCTTGTAAGGGAAGATAAAGAGGCTCGACTCAGAGAGTACATAAGAGTCGAGCTGATCGTTCGAGAGAGATGAGACGATCGTGCACTCAGCTGGTGCAAGGATCTGGTCGATCTGAGATTTGGCTAAGGCACGGAGCCCTTTCCCGTGAGTGTCGAGAAAGAGGCTTGGCTCAAAGAAGGAAACTTCGAGCCGCTTCTCGTAGCCTTCGAACCCGATTGCAGAGACTGACATGGCCATCTCGATTTGCTGTTGTTGATGTTGTAGTGAGAGGAAAATATCTTCTTGGAAGAGAGAACGAGGGGACTTGGGAACCAAAGCTTTGACAAAAAGGAGACTGTAATTGGAAAGCAAGTTAAACTACGAGGACTGTCCGAATCGACTAGTACTCAGGATGGCCTCTTCGCGCACTGCAACACAAGAAAAAGGGAATGTCAACAAGATTACACAAGGTAAATGTAAGAAAGTAGAAAGCTTTGAAGAAACTTTCGACAAGAAAAACTTACGTTTGAGTAGACAGAAGACTTGAATTTCTTGATTCCACCGTTGGGACGAACGTCTTCAATGCTGTAACCGAGGGGTGCTTCGTAAAATAAGGAACTATTCGACTTCTTATTACCAGCTTTCGATTCCATCATAATCTCATTCACGCTCTTCTGTATCAGTAATAAACAAAAACAAAGGTTAGATGATCATAATCAAGGGGACGCAAAAAGGTAATCAGGACATCATAAACATATAAACATTCATTGTTTCTGCACAGCAAACGAACGATGATCGGTGACATTTACGCAACAGCTCAGAAATTGAAGAGTGTTCTTATGATTCAACTAAACAACAGATAGATCTGTGCTACGTTTTCCAACAAATCCAGATATCTCCTTCATCAAGCATTATCAGATTATTTCAATAGATCGATGTTACAACGAATAATTGCTAATGCTAAGTTGCAATGGATCAAAACGAAAGGTATCACGATCTGATAAAAAATAAAAAACATGAAAAAGTTGTTCATCGGTAGAGACTTACATGTATATGAAATATTGATCACGATCCAGAGTTTTTAATCTCTTTTGCCAGAAATCCTTTTGTCCAAGATGCTAATCGAACGAAACCTGAAACCAAAAACAAACGCCGAATTTAATCAATCGATCAAAAACAAGATAAATCTCAAGACTAAACGAGAAGATCGATAATCGGAGAGGAAACAAAAGAAACAAGGTCTGTAAAGCTAAGAGACCAACCTGATTAAGGCGATTCAGAACACTCGAAAGCCTAAATTTGAGAGCTCGATTATGATTTGGTGATGATGAAAAGAAACGAGTTTGTGATATTGTGGAATAGAGAAGGTGGAGAGAGTTGTTTATATAGTCTACAGGCCAGATGCGTTGTGCGGCTATTAGGGCTCCGTAGAATGACGAATTTACCCACATATTTGCTTTTTGACTTAAAGACCCCTATATTTTCTTTATGTTGAAAGATTATGGGTGCGAGATTCACGACGATTCTGGGCCACACAAACTATAAAGAGCAACAAATCTTTTTGTAATTAGCTATTTTTTGTCAACATAATTAATTAATTGATTTTAATTGACTAAGATTTACTAATTAAAACAAATCTACGATACGAGCTATGGCTAAAAGCCAAGACACAAAGTGACAAAATAAATAAACGAAGCTTAGGGTGACACGTGTATATTCGAGGTAGCCACGTTCGGGCATTGGTACTCACGACTATTCCTGACCACGAAAAGATATCTGAGATATAAACTCACGACGATTTCTGACCACGCAAAAAATAACAGCGATAAAATCGTAAGTAAATTGATTATTTATAGTCAACAAGAAATCGAATGGGTTTTAATTCTAATGCTACCATTTAAATCTACGAGATTGGCTAAACCACAGAAACGCGGCCAAAGAAAGGAGTATCAGTCAGTCTTTATGGTGACACGTGTATTGTTTGAGACCACAGGTTTAGAATTCGATACTCACAAGAAATAGACAGGTGAGGAGTTCGTGAGCTGTTTATGTTCTAGTGGGGCCCAGAGAATCTAATTCTGTTTCACAAAGCTCTCCTTTCTATCTTCTACAATGACCAAAATGACCCTGTCACCATCCTTCGTGACTCATCCGTTCGTCAAAAGTGCAAGTTTAAAAGTGGCAAAAGTAACCAATCAATATACACTTTTCAATCACAACTCACGAGAGATTAAACTAAAGAGAAATAAGATTAACATTTCAGCTAATCTAACAAAACTAAAGTTATGTCGCTACAACACTTTTTAGAAAGTAAAAGTAAGCGAGCATATATGTTTAGGGTGTTCAGAGGATTAATAACATTTTCTCTGGAAGAAAACAACAATATTTTAAGCGTGTATTTAGATTCAAACAAAACATAATTAACTAAGATATAATCTACACAAGTTCATATTCTTTTACCAGTCGACATTTGTCTCATATAGTTTCTCATATCCATTAGTCATTAGGATTGACTGAATATATATATAACCACGAGTAGTACAATTATTTAACACGAAACAAAGATAACCTAAGCCATTATTAGATAAGAATCTTCAAGTGAGCCTTCGATTAGTTATTGTGATGAAGAAAGCTGCAACTCATTGAACAAATCACAAGAAGTTTCCCAGAGTTGTTGAGCAAGCTTAGGGTCTTTAGAAACCTGTGATGATTCAACGGTCCTTCCCTTCCCTCCAAAATAGTAAGCGCCTGATATTTCCTGCAAATGTTGTATAAAAGAGAAGATCAGGGATCAAGAGGACAAATAGTTAAAAACAAATCCAGAAGCTTTTAGAGAAAAAAACTGCTCTTAACAGGTGGAGCTAAAGCTGCGTCGACGAAAGCTTCAGCTCCTTCATCAGGTGATTGGAGGAGTCCAAGAATTTTGAAAACAAGAAACGTTATGGAAGTTACGTATGAAGGAAACTCGTGCATTATATTCGTTTTCGCAAATCCGGGATCTGCAGCGCTGCGTTCATCAAACAAAACTCACAAGTCAAAACATAATCTTCAAACAGTGAGAGAGAGAGCAATGAGTGAGAGGAAGCATACATAACAGAGACATGGTGTGAATCGTCTGTGAAGCGAAGCTGTCTGTGAAGTTCATACGAGAAAAGAAGAAGACATACTATTCAACAACGTAAAATCATCAATCAGCAAATCAATATTGTAAGGAAGAGTAAAAAGTTTTGTAAGTAACTGTGAGATGTTTTCACTTACATTTGGAATACTCGTAGGCCTCACCACAAGGATATTCGTTTAATGTCGAATACTGTACTCCAGTTACAGAACCCTTGTCAAACTTCCGAAGAGAAGCTACAGAGAAAAAAAATAGACAAAGGAAATAAGATATCAGTTTCACTTAGCTTTACTCTCATTGTAGGTTTTGTGAGTTAATTTTTTCACCATAACGATGTGTGAAAGATGTAACGTTCACGACACGTGAAGGCACAGAGCTGTTTTTCAGGAGTGGCAAAAGAAGTTTGGTCAAACAGAATGGGCCAATATAGTTTGTAGCAATCATCCTGTCAAAGAAGAAGACATAAAACACAGTTTTTCAAATATCAAATCCATAGTCGACCAATACATTGAGCTAACTTAATGACAAATATAACATATAAGTAACATGTTTTTCAATGTCAAAGTGATGGAGCTACACTTACCTGTCATAACCTTCAATGGTTGGCCGACGTGAAGTTGCCATAATCCCAGCATTGTTCACCAAAAGCTGAATCGAAGGATGTAACTCTGCGTCCGAGAGCCATTGCTCTAGAGAGTTTTTAAACTTGAAGATTGATTCAAAACAAGACATGTCGACTTCAAAAGTTTTGAGTTGGGAATCTTTGTGCTTGCTCTTGATTTCCTTCAAGGTCTGTCATTATAAGCTAAGAAAAGTGTGAAAGAGATTTCGAACAAAGCAAAAACATAAAAAAACGAGATCGTAAATATAACCTCTGAAAGAAGTTGAGAGGACCGTCCAACTGAAAAAATCAAGAAAGATTAATCTCATGAGGCCACCTTAGAATACTTGTAATATATTTGTCACTTTAGGAAGCAATGCATCATAGTTTTAATTTTTTACCAAGAACGAGGTGGAAACCTTTCTCCGCAAGAGCAAATGCAGTGGCCTTACCAAGCCCCGAAGTAGCCTGAAATTCAAAATCCAACACCATAGACACAAAATGCAAAAGATAAGAACTCTCTACATTTGAAAAATAGAGGCATTACTTTGCTTTACAACGTTACATGATCAAGGCAATACGAACTCTACATTTAAAAATGGAGGCATTACTTTACAAGCTACAACATTACATAGTCACGGCAATGATTCACACAACATTATAAGTTAGCACAGATGGGTCTCAGTAAGCTATTGCTGTGAATTTATGTTGAAACAAGAGTAGTGACTAGATTCTTGAGCCAACGATAGCATATTGCATGTAAAAGAGCACAACATATACTTTTACTTACACCAGTGATAACACAAATGGGTCTCGAAGATCCATTCTTTAGATCAGTGGAGCCAAAAGTGGGAGTTGACTTTGAGTCAAAGATCCTTGCTCTAAGCAATTGCAAGTAGGAAGAAACGAGAGCGATACTCCAAATACACATCGTCCACATATTACATGACCATACAAATCGAAAAGCCTCCTTCACCTCCTTCATCATCTCCTGAGAGAGAAAATATATATATATATATATATATATATAAAAAACTGTTTATTTATCAAAGTTCAGTTGATCGAATGTTATAAATGGATGCTTCAGAAGAAACTCACCCGCAAAGACTTGTAACAAAATAAAAACTCCAAACGTTGAAGGAACAAGAGATTAGAAGTGGCTGCTGCATTTTCATTTAGAGTTAATAGAGACGATAATTAAATAAAGGTATCTTCGCCTCGAGCAAAACAACCACAAGTGAGGTAGTAGAGTAAGATTTGGATTTGGGTTCAACATCCACATGATCCACAATGTGGGTTTTACGGGTCTTACACGATAATCCCCATGATCCACAATGTGGGTTTTGCGGGTCTTACACGATTTGTTTAGAATTTTCTAAACGGGTCTGATCTTTTTGAGATCAAATTTTTTATTTCATTTCATCAAAACCAAACTGAAATCAAATAGAGTTTCTTTTAGTATATGTTTTATCATTAGATTTGAATTAGAAAATATGGATCACATTTGACTTGCACAACTTTACAGAAGCATGTAAACAGAATTATGCCGAGAAAAAAAAATGGAGAAACTAAAAGTTGATTTTCTTACAACTATTATTCTTTCTTCACACACACGAGCTGCGAAAAAGAATGAGAGAGAGAGAGAGAGAGAGAGAGAGAACTCCATAAGAGGAGAGACTTGACCAAGAATGATGAAAAGGAAAAAAATCCCCAACCTTTGACTCGGTTTTCGGTTTGGTTTGCTTCATGAATATCAAACTCTATAGTTGAACCGAATTGGCCGTTTGAGCCGGTTTAGCTATAGCCGCCTTCTCACAATCCTGTTTCATTTCTTCCAAACGCTTTGATACCTGGCGTTTCATAACAAAGATATACAGTTTGATCAATAGATTCAGTTTGAAGGATCTCTTTTGGTGTTTTCACAATCCATTACTTCACGATTTGTTCATTCATAAAAATAGATAGCATTTTCGTCTTTGAGCAAGAAAGAGAGAACCTTGATGGAGTAGGCCAACGGAAGCAAAGTATCAGGGTCCATGGCATCTTCAGGGAAATTCCGCAAAGCAAGCATGAGTTCCTCAAATGGCAACTTCACCAAATCATCATGGCAATACTTCAACAATGCTAAACCCACTTTGAACACGATATTAACACCCTATACCCACGAAAAATCAAAACAAAGAAATGATACAAAACTGGAGAAAAGAAGGAGAGTTTTGAGTTTATAAGAGATGTTGATTTCGATTTACCTCGGCTAGAAACACATCCCAGATTCGTAGAGCCAAAGGGAAAGGAAATGAGTATGCAAAGACTGTTATGAACCATTGGCTTGCATACATGCTCGGATTGATCATTTCTTGAGTGAAATGTTCTCCTAGTTTTGGCATTAGCTCTCTTACCAACTGATCTATCTGTAACAGATATTGCTGTACAAGAGGAAGCCCTGCCTACATTTACACGAATCAAGCACATCTTAAATCAGTACAATCATTTTTAAATCATAATGTTCCAAAGAGCGAGAAGCATTTCACAGAGAATCAATCGCTAATCTTGAAGACTCTAATCAGAATAAAAGAATAAAAAGTATCTGCAAGATGGTTGACAGAAATTTGGAAAAGTAGTCATAAACTAATTCATTGAAGGAAAGGATTTCCTTTTTTTATTTGACTTTAAGTCATTTTCTTACTATCCTTCAATCAATTAAAGTGGCTCTATCGTTGTCAAACTGGCTTAATCAAAGAGGCAAGAAGCTACGATATTGGTATCTTCCTAGAGTAAAGAGAGCCTCACCTGATACAATCCTTCCATAGGGGAGTGAACAGCTCCTTTGAGTAATGCAACTAATAACCAGAAAGCATCTTCTTCGCTCATATAAAGAAGCAACAAACCGGCTATGAAACCCATCCCCTGCAATATATACAAAACCATGACTTTTTTCGTACCATATTATGGAAACAAGAACCAAAGAAAAAAAATCTCTAAAATAGACCTGAACATATCCGACATCTCTGTCATAGACAGAGTATGCTTTCAGAACATTGTACAATGATCTCTGGCCTGGTCCATGTCTCTTCTGGAAGAAAACATGTGATGGGAAAGTACGGGATATGTCCCGAATGATATCGAGTTCTGATGCTGACGTCTCATAAATCACCAGTTGCTACAACGAAATCGAGAGAATTAATCAGTTCCTTCCCGCAATGAAGCCAAATAAAATGAAAAACAAAAACATACAAGAGGGTTATTATAATCACCTCATAAACACCTGGATTCATAAGCAAAAGGTCTCTACTTCCGGAGATCAATTGCCAGACAAGACCCCTTAAGCAATCAGGGATCCCTTTTCGAATTCGCCTTTTGACCACATGAGGTTTTCTCCTAACGTAATGCTTCCAGTCACTACCCCCAGCTCCAATCATCTTCCTCCATTTTGTCACTCTTCTCTCCTCCCTACAGAATTTTAACATCCATGGTCAAATAACAAAGCACACTATACTGATCCTCAACAACAACCAAAAAGAACAAAACTTGTTAACTTTTACTTCTCATAGTTAGTAGATGATACATTCTTGGTGAAACGCTGAGGAGAATTGCCATGTTCCTGCTTCAGAAACCCAAATCTATCAACCGGTACAAGGAGAGGGACAGGTCCTGATTCACTGTCATCTGTTCTTTTCCTTTCCATTTAATCAAGCTGAAAAAGGAAAAAACATTGGTTTAGTCACAAAACTCAAAAATCTCCGCATTTACAACATTGTGTGATCAAGCAGCCAATGCTGCAATCATAAACACAGATCAATTAGACCTAAAAGCTATGCTCAAATTTCAAATCATAGTAATTTAAGCTCTTGGAGCTTTGATCTCAATACGACTTAAAAGGGTATTTACAGAAAAAAGGCAACCAGCAATTATAATTTTAGGGCTTCGTTGGTACAATTCGATCTATGGTGATGATTTATATATAGTAATAGTACAATGCTGAAGAAGAATTAACATATATATACTCATGGTGATCAGTTCTTCCTACTAGAAGAAGACAGCGACGATCCAGGAAAAAAGGAAAGAAAAGAGAAACAAAAACGAAACCCACCAACATTCCGGTGTCAGATCAAAAGAGTCGTATCCAAAACCTCGATTCTCGGGACGAAATAAGGCGATCAAAGGAGTTTGCGATCTCTAATTTCTGGGTTTTACCCAACGAAATTGATAATTTTGAAGAACAATGGAGCTATGGATTGAAGATGACTTGAAAGGAAGGGACACAGAAAAGAGAGAAAGGAGACGTTGGAGGAGATCACATCGATAACTCATACGCGTATTAAGACGTTCGAGATGTTACCAAATGCTTCAGAAATTTATCCAATGAAAAGTTTCACCGAGAAAATGAGAACCAAAAAATGACTAGCACATTTAAACCGGTTTGGCTCAATATAGTTAAACCGGTTCGTTAAAATTGCATAAATATTTTAAATACAAGTTCTTCTTCCAAAAACCCAAAATTAAAAAAACTGAGTGATGATGATGATGTTTTGGTGAAGTCAAGAACATTGACTTTGCTTCGGTTCATCTTCATGATATTTCCCCAACTATCACCCCAAACCCCAAACTTGTGAAGGCTGCTCGATCCAAGGACCATTCATGATGTTCAGAATGCCTCTGAGACAATAGCCTCTCATTGTCCTCCTTGTGATTCTTCTTCCGGTTTATGTTGTGACGCAGCTCTGTAACCTGAGACTTCAACTCTTCAAGTTTTGGCTAAAGGTTGTTCATATACACCACCAGAGAATTTTTGTTTTTATTAAAAAAGGAAGTGGGTTTGTGTATAATTTACATGATAATCATAAATCAGACTCATTTGCTGAAACTGAGCTTGGAAAGAACAGCAGCCGCTTGGTCACCACCCAACAAAAAATAAGGGTGCCTGAGAGCAGCAGCCGCTGAAAGGCGTCCGCGTCTCAGAGAGCCTCTCTCCGATACGAGTTTGGTGACGAGGTCCCACCCTCTGCCCGAGTCCAGGTCAAGTATGCTCAAGTCAGGCCTGGTCCGAGTCCTGTCCCGCCATCGATTCAGGTCATATCCCACTGACTTGATCTCGGAGTTGAAGTTCTTGAGACCCGCGGAAGATCTCAAGCTCGGAACCGCCATCTGCAGGAGCACTATCCCAGCAGAATACATATCGAACAGATCGGGACTGTTGAGCTGCCACAGGATCGGGGAGAGCAATGCGGCTATAGGCTCTGGAGGAGGGCTTGGGGTTTCCTCAGGGAGCACATAGAGCTCAGGAGGACAGTAGTCAGGGTCTAGCAATGTGCGTTCAGGTACGTAGTTCTTGCCGATGCGAAGATCAGCCGCTGCACCAAAGTCTATCAGCTTTATCTGCCCTTTCTTTGTAACCACCAAGTTCGCCGGCTTCACGTCCCGGTGAACAATCCCCGTACCGTGGATTTTCTTCAGAGACGTGATGATCTGGCGCATGATCTGCTTGATGATCAGCGCACGGCGTTTCCCGGATTCCAAGCCTTGAAGAACACGCCCGAACATGATGGACTCTAGGTTGGAAGGAAAGCTCCGATCTTTCATGTAGTCACCAAGGTCACGGTCTCCCTGAGGAAAGCAAACAGCTCTATACATTCATCATCACCCGCAACGAAATTCAATCAATCCTCTCATATGTCATATGTAAATGTCTTTTCAAGGTAAAGAAGAGCACCTCGAACCTCCACACGAGCCATTTGCCACCTTTCGTGAACATAGTATTGGTCTTGTCGGCGACGAAGCTTCCGAGAAACTCAGCGCAGGTCTCAGGAGCCGCCCTCGAGAGTCTGTAGTTGAACCACTCTTCGTACTCGCCGAATTCCTCCGCACCTCGTACTCCCACTTTTACCTTCTTGAGGATGACTCTCTGCTTGAATTCGCCGGTAAAGTCCTTAGCTTTGAGCGTGGCTTTGCTAACTCTGAGCTCATCAACACTAGAATTCTTGGGAAGAAGGACCCCCGAGTAGACGACGCCGAAAGACCCTTCGCCGAGTTTCTCAGTGACCAAGAAGTCGGACCTCTTCAGCCTCCTTGTCCCAATCAGAGTGTCGAGGCCAAGCTGGAGTGGAGCGAGGAGGTAGGCGTCAATGGCGCCGATGAGAACGCCAGGCCTCGCCGTCAGGTAAAACCACACAAGTCCGGCGGATGCGAGGAACCCCCAATTCTGGGAATCAGAAAATCTGCCATCGAAAGCAGGGAGATGAGAGAGAGATTGCCCCACGAAATCCACTGGGATGTCCTCCGGAGAAAAGCTGCATCTCATGCAACTATTGCTCCGGTGGCTGGTTTGGAATGGGAGAAGAGTGGAGTGGGATAAACCGCCGGTGAAACATTTGAGACGGGAGTGAAACGCACCGGCGGTGGCGGGGGAGAGAAGAGAAGCCATCTTATCTTTTATTAATTGGTTGCTTCATCTTCCCCCACATCTTATTTCTTTATTTGTTCATCTCCACTTGGTGAAACTAACAAAGTACAAACGTCATCTTTCTTTGAACTTCAACTGGCCCAACAAAAGCCCATCATCGAGTGAAATGGTGGCAAAACAAGAAGCACATACAGTTGTGTCAATACATCCCAGTTTCGTAGAGCCGAAGGGAAAGGAAATCATAACCTTTATCCCCCGAGAAATTGAAAAGCCAAAACGAGTACCACGTTTAAACCGGTTATAGTTCAATCTTGTTAAACCGTTTGGTTAAATATTTTGAATACAAACTTCTTCCGAAAACCCAAAAGAGAAAGCTGAGTGATGATGATGATGTTTTGGTGAAGTCAAGAACACTGGCTTGCTTCGGTTCGTCTCATGAGATTTCCCCAACTATCACCGAAGCTCCAAACTTGTGAAGGCTGCTGGATCCAAGGACCGTTCATGATGTTCAGTATGCTACAGGCTTCGCTGTATTCAAGCTCAGGCAAGAGCTTTGGGGTCAGTAAGAAGCACCTACAAGAGGAAGAAGACAAGCACACTGTTTCACAACTTTTGCCAGAAAAGAGACATCGAGCACACAACAAACACAAGGATATACATATAGCAGTTTCCAGAATTTCGGTATTTGAAAAGGAAAACTTACTGCGGTGTGTTTGGTTGACTAGCAGCTCTAACTAATTGTTGAAACATCTTCCTTTCGTTTACAGGATCCATACCTGCAGATGCAATTGCATATTTAAGAAACTTTGATGACGATTCGTGACAGTTTTTTTTTATAAGCCTTGGACATTTTACCTTGATTAATCTCATCAACAACCCTGAAAGGACAGTTCGTGAGATCTTGAAGAGAGACGAGGTAAAGAATAGTTGACACAGAACGCTCTCCTCCAGATTGGTGGTGAGAACTTAGAACCTGAAGTTGCCCTGATTCCCTGAATTTCACTTTGATATGTATTCCGTATTGATCAAAGTCAGTGTCGCGCTCATCCAATGACACTTCTCCTGCAACAGCCATTTCTTGGAAGTTGTGGCTGAACGTTTCATTTATCTGAGTAACAAGCCTTCTCAATGTTGGAAGCCATTTCTCCTTCAGCGAATCGATTTCTTTCAAGCATCTGCTCAGATCACTTTTATCAGCTTCAAGCTTCGTGCTGATAGTTTCTATCTGACTTTGGCGGTGCTCATACTCCTGAAGTATGTTCTGGTTTACGAAAAGGATCGAATTGGCTTGAGAGATATTGTCTTGTATAGCCGCTTCCAATTCTTCAATCGTGGTAGGCATCTCGATAAATTCCTTTTTAAGCTCTGGCGTCATCTCTGCGATAGATTCTGCTTCCCTCTTGGCGGCTGCTAGCTGCAGTTGCTTTCCTTCAAACTCCTTCTTACAGTACTCAACGTTGAGGGATGACTGCTGCGCCGCCTTCTCATATTGTTTGATATTGATTTCTGACTCTCTGATCTTTCTTTCCAGTTCAATAGAAGCCATATGCTTCTCGGCGTAACTCCACTTGTAAGCAGAAGCTTCCACAAGCAATTTCTTGAGATTGATCGCGTATGCATAGCGGTCAGCGTTAGCTCTGGAAGCCTGCTCAGTCAGCTTAGCAACTGAAGCATCCATGTCCTCTTCTTGCTCCAAGGATTCTAGCTTTGTCTTCCTTTGTTGGTAACGGGATTCCAACTCACGGCGTTTCTTTTTCTCCAGATGTGAAACGTTAATAATTTCCTCCCTCTCTTTATGAAGTTTAGCTGCTTCTTCTTCCAAAAGTCTTTGCTCTGTTTGAAGACTCTTGTAAGTTTCCTCAATGGATGAAACAGAGTCTTCTAATTCCTCCTTTCTTGATCTCTGTTTCTCGATTTCTCCAGCGTCAACCCCACACAATAGAAGACGTGATGGATATACAGAATCTACACTTGCAGAGGTGTGACCACCATACCTTGACGAAGACCACCGGTAGTGATTGTCTGGTGTCCAAAAATCAGTAACACCCAATTTGGAGACTTCTTCAGCCCTCTGGTCTGTCAACTTGGATCCAATGAACGAGTATTCCAGACCAAACTGGGAAGTTAAGACCGCCTTGATGGCGTCAGGAGCATCAAATATTTGATCAAGCCGAGAATGGATCCCAAGAGAACGCATCTCATCAGATATATGAAAAGGAGCCTTGCTATTGCTGCCATCGTCCGCATAGTTTATAATAGGAACATTAAATCGTTTTAGATTTCTAACCAGCAAATCTCGGTCCTCCGGATCTTGAGTGACAAAAGACCTCCAGGCATAGTTAGGAATATGCCCCTCCAGATAGCAAGCATACTCTCGACTTGGAACGTTAACCTCTAACAAAATGGGACCATATACTTCCTTTTTAAACTCATGACGATTCTGTTGCACCCATTGATATGCTTCATAGATCTTATCAGCTCCAGATCTCTGTAGCGCATTCAAGAGTTTGTTATTCGCATTCTCCATCTCCTTCAACTTATCTATGCATTGCCTCAGGGTGTATCTTTTCTGAGACAATAGCCTCTCGTTGTCCTCCTTGTGATTCTTCTTCCGGTTTATGTTGTGACGCAGCTCTGTAACCTGAGACTTCAACTCTTCAAGTTTAGCTAGAGGTGGTTCATATACAGGCAGGTTCTGGAGTTCTCGTTCCGCAGCAATCAGATCTTCACTAGCTTTCTGAATCCTTTCTTGGCGATGCTCTTCTCGTTTCTTCAATTCCTCCAGTTCTTTGTATGTTGCCACTACACGTGCTTCCGCCTCATTTTCTTTCTCGAGCAGGTCAGAACGTTTATTTCCATTCGCATCCAAGAGATTCTTAACCTTTTTGCATTTTGAATCCATCTCTGCTCTCTCCTTCTTTTGCTTCTGAATAGGTTCTTTCATGCTGTTCAAATGCACCGCAGCTTCGTCCATTTTTTTCTTGGCTTCGTCCATCTTCTTCTTAGCATCCTTGTACTCGGCCTTCTTCTTATCATACTTAAGCCATGGCAACTTCTTCTTCATGGAATCAACCTTTGCCAAAAACAACTCTCTCTGCCTGACTCTTTCCACATCCTTCTCTTGCTCATCGACAAGAGCTTTAAGCTGAGTCAGCGTCTCTCCATTTTTCGCCACAGCTCTCTCAAGCTGCTTCAGTTCACGGCTTTTCTCGACGAGCTCCCGATGATGGACCGGAAGTTGAGGATCACCAACAGCTTTTTCAGTCTCCTCCAGGAGCTGCACAGGCGTCAACTTGGCAAACTCACAAACCCTATCTTGCGGCAGGAACTGCGTGAGATTGTTAACTTGGATATTGAACTTGTGGATGATCTCAACAACCTCTCTCTTACTAGATGCATGTCCGTTGAACATCCACTCCGACTTGTTACGCGTATCGATCTTACGGAAAATCGTAAAATTCTCATCCCTGGTGTTGCCTCGCAGAGAGATCTTGACGTAGCCAGAATCTTCTCCACGCTTGACATATGCACCGACACTGGTTGCTCTCCCAAGAAGCTGAGGCTCACCACCAAGACAGAGTGCAATGGCACAGACAAGAGAGCTCTTTCCTGATCCGTTCGGTCCAATCACAAGGTTCAGGCGTGATCCAGGTTTGCACACCAAGTGATTGAAAGTCATGAAGTTGTGAAGCTCGATCTCGATGATATTCCCAGGCAAAAAGTCATCTTCCCCTCTGGAGATCTTGGGGCGCTTAGCACGACGTTCCGACATGGTTCTTCAGCAGCCAGAGATATTCTAGGTTAACCTGAAAAACTTCAAACTGTTGTATATGAGAACCACAGATACAGTACAAGAACTAGATTTTTTCAATTAAGAGAAAAGGAAAGCAAAATTGGTTGAGGAAAAAGCGTAGAATCGAAAATTAGAAAGTTAAAACAACAAAGGTGAATACTTAGGGACAATGCAAAAGCTAACCCTAGAACCCCAAATTGAAGAATCGAAAACTAGAACCTGAACAATTAGAAATCTCTAGCTTCAATCTCAAATCACAAGCAATAATCAGTCTCACACTATCTCGTCTCTCCAACATAACCCCATGACTGAAAAATGAACAGCACAGCCAAAATTAAGCAAAATCAACTTACGAAGAAGAAGACAGATGAAAAATCAAAGGCAGCGCCGAGAAACAAACCCAAGAGAAGGACGATAAACCCAAGCTAATAATTAAAAAAAAAAAAAACCATACAGAACATAAAACAAACTCAATTTTCCTTCCACATTCCAAGCGAGAGGAAATACTGACCTGAATAAGTGAAACCAAGGCGAAATCGAAGATTCTCGACTCCAAAATTGTACCATACGAAAAAACCCTAGACTCTCTCTCCCTCTCTATCTGAATCGCACACTACAGTTTTGTTTCGAGAGCTGAAAGTGAAACGACGAGAAGCGAAAACCCGGGAAAAGATAGACCACGACGATTAATAAAAAAAAGGATTAGGTTACACTTCAAATACCTTAAAAATCCGGTTCGACTACAGTGATTTTGATTACACGGTTATGGTTTTATCCGGTTATTAAATTAAACCGCGTTAATCAACTCAAACGCTGATCTTGCTTATTGGCAATAACTTAAGCTTTTTCCAATTACGCAATTACCACCAATGAAAGATTATCAAAACGAAACTTTCTCACTCTCCAAATGATGACAAAAACGTAGTTGGTGCTTCAAGCTGCTTCAGTTTCAAGAATTTCATTATTTTACTCCTTTTGTAAAATGCCAAAGTCGTAGTTTTATTGGTGGCTACATTTTGATTCAACGAGTTGTGAAACCCAATCCGTTATTTTAAAAAGGACATAGCTTTGATAAGACGTCGTCGCTATTCAGTGACCGTGTTGAAGAATCCGGTATACATCGACGACTCCAGAAGCGAAATCGGGATCAACTGCAGCTTTTACCGCAGTTCCTGCAACGGATTTCACATTTACCGGAGGTATCAAAAGCGGCCCGATCACTGGAACTTTCGTCACTTCTTTTGGGAACAGCTTCAGAACCTGTGGTGAGCAGATGGTTTAAGAAAACAAATGATTCAGACTTCTTCATCTGAGACTGTTTCAAGAACAGTCAGAGAACTTGATGCACATCTTCTTTACCATTTCGAGAGGAGCTCCAATGAGACTAAGTGGCAGCTTTATGCTACCCACCTGACGAGTCCCGTGTATGAATCCTGGCCTTAGTACCGTTCCTATGAAAGCAGAGGAAAAACAAACAAACAAAAAGCTTAATCAGTGAAGCATATAATGAACACACAATCGAAGCGAGTTTTAGATCAATGTGAAAGAGACTTTACACACCTCTGTTTCCGAATTTATCCAAGATCTCAGCTTCGGTTGCTCTCTGCAAATAGATTGATATAGTAGATCAAAGCGATATGGATATAACGAAGAACCAATCCAAAAGAAAACGAAGAAGAAGAAGAAGAAGAAGAAGTACCTTCCCTTCGAAATACCCTCGAATCAACTTATTTATGAGACCAAAATCCGCAGCTGATATATACACAAACCTCTTCACACCTGAACATAATATGTTAAGGTTCTTTTTTCAGATAACCAATTCGAGTTTTTGCTCACTCCCATACAAACAAAGAAGACCTCAAAAATGCATTATATCCTATGGAAATTGACCTTGCTCTGCTGCAGCTTTAACGGCATTAATGTTTGCAGTTCCGTTAATTTTGAACATATGTGAGTTGGAACCGAAACCACCAACGCATGAAATCTGCAAACTTTTCAGTATGAATGAAAGTAACCATATATGATCAAGTGCCTTATTACAAGATTTCTTAATTACCACAGATGTTATTCCTTCTAGTGCAGGCCTCAGAGAATCCGGAGAAAGCAAATCACCTATTGTTTTAGTACAAATCAGAAACCCGAATCATTCGTTCGTTGAAGTCCCTTTTGTTTCCCTAAATAATGAACAAAGCGCGAAATGTGTGTGTTTCAGGTCTTGAGAATACCTTGATGCCAGGTTACATCACTGACCCATGAATCATGCAAAGAAGATCTCCCAGACCTAATAACAGTGCAAAGACTAAATGTTATGCTATGTAAAGACGGTCTATGAGCAACAATCAGATTTTTTAAAAGCAAATTAAAAAAAATGGCCGGTAATGATACAAAACCTGCTAAGACTAGAAACAGAGAAACCTTGTCTCAGTGCCTCCTTGCATATATGTGAACCTACATAACCATTTCCTCCCAAAACCAGAATCTGCATTCAATCCAATACAATCTTAAAACCAATGAGATACAGGTTCAAAGAGTAGAGAGAGACAGATTATGAACAATTTTCTTTGTTGTTTCACTTGTGATAAGTTTCGAACAATTTACCAAACGATATCTGTAATTGAGAAACAAACACAAACAGAGAGTGAATCAAAGACCACTCTCGACTCTCCCAAGAACTACACGCATGATCTAGCTTTTGTTTCAACTGATTCTATGCTTAACAAATTTGATGATGTGGTGGCAATCGGATTTGATGAACTCTTATCACAACGTCTGATCAAACTTATGAGTGATGAAAAGTACGGTCTATTACCTTATTATCTCTTGGATGTGAACCAGCAGTTTCAGACAAAAGCCTTTCACTTCCTCTCTGAGTAATTGAACTGTTAGAGAAAGAGGAGATCATCATAAATCAAACAATTAAGCAGCAAGAACCCAAAAAAAAAAAAATTGGAAGTGATTCGTCTCTGTAAGCGTTGTATCGACAGAATCAAAACAACCACAAAGATCAATGCTTCATTTGAACGACATTCTACTGAATTAGAAAAACCAATAGAAGAACTCACGACATTGTGACGACTGAAGATGATGCCTGGGATCGTGTCCGAACCAGAGACCTAAACATCGTCGTATGCTTCTCAACCCTACAGCCGAGTAACCGAATATCGATTTTTTTTTTAATTCCGTAAAAAACAATGTTTCGAGATTTTTTAAAACAACAGAAATTATATTATTAGCTGTAAAAAAAATAAAAAATAAATAATTATTACCGCATAAGTTAAAAACTTTAACACCAAAGTAGGTATTGTACGAACAAACTAAACTTTAGTTAAAGAGGAGAAAAACTCTCTGTATCTCTCTCTACACGAGACACGATGAGAGTTCCGGCGGCTGTCATTCGGAGACCTTTCTCATCTGCAGCCGTTGTGGAATTCGCGTACGATCCCTTCAAATACAATCTCCAGCAGATATTGTCGATGGATCGTAAAGTCAGAAAGCAGGGAGTGGATCACTTCCGATTCTTCCTCTCGTATGTAACCCCTTCTGATGCTTCCACCTCCTTCCTCAACCCGCTGGATCCGAATTTCAAACACGGTCTCGCTTGCTACTCATCCGTCCTCAGTGTTTTAGCCGAACGTGGCGTTCCGATCCACTTGCGTAAGGCCGTGACATCGATGACACGAAAGTGTACATCTGTGCAAGAATCTCTGTTCGTTGTTGATTTCTGGAGGCAGCACAGTAAAAGGTATAGCTACCAGCTCAAATACAGGCTTACTTCCAAAACCTATAACGATCTGTTCAAGCTATTGGCCAGGTTCGGGCAGATCGGCGAGATGAAGCGGCTCTATACAGATATGCTGGATCTCATGGTTTCACCGGGAGTTTACTCGTATAATCTCATCATCAACGGGTACTGTAAGCTTGGGTATGTGGTGGAAGCGAGGCAGTATGTGTGTAAGATGATCCAAGCTGGGTTGGATCTTGATTATCACACCTTTACATCCTTCGTCCTGGGTCACTGTAGAAGAATGGATTTGGCCTCTGCTTTTCAGGCTTTCGAGGAGATGCCTTGTACAAGAAACGCGGTTTCCTACAACCACCTGATTCACTGTCTTTGTGATGCTGGCAAGGTAGATGAAGCCCTGAGCTTGTTTGCGAGGATGAAAGACGATTCCCTCGATCCCACAAAGTATACATACAATGCACTGATCAAAGGGCTCTGTACGAAGAATGTGCACAAGGCAATGCGGCTCTTCCACGAGATGCGGGAGCGCGGTCTGGTTCCGCGTCTACCCACCTACAACTTGCTGATCGCTGGACAGTGCAGGTCTGGTAATTTCGATACCGCGTATAGGCTGCTTGGTTTGGTTGAGCAAAAGTTGGTTCCGAACCATCAGACTTACGGGTGTTTGATAGATTTCCTGTGTAGAAGTAAGCGGGTGGAAGAAGCACGTGCCCTGTTCGATTCCTTTGGGAAGAAGTGGCGCAAGGCGAATGTAAACATGTACAATTTCTTGATTGATGGATACTGCAAAGCCGGGAAACTGGACGATGCTCGCGCTCTGTTCCAGGAAATGGAGACTGCGGGTTGCTGCTTGCCTGACTCGTACACTTTCACCGCCTTGATTCATGGGCTGTGCAGTGATGGGAATCTGAAAGAAGCCTTGTCAATGGTGGAGAAGATGGCCGGGATGGGCCTACAGCCTGCGGTCTGTACACGCACGGTCCTGATCAGGAAAATGCTAAAGGAAGGGGATTTTGGTGGAGCCCGTGCATGTTTCCACGACATGTCCTCCTCCGGACACAAGCCCGACGCGCAGAGTTACAACTGTTTCGTCGAGGCGTATTGCAGCGCAGGGAGGGTGCGAGAAGCCGAGGACATGGTGGAGAAGATGAAGGGAGATGGTGTGTCCCCGGATGTCTTCACATATACCTTGCTGATCAAAGCCTATGGACGTCTAGGGATGACATCCTCTGCATTCGATGCCCTGAAGCGAATGTCTGATGATGCCTGTGAGCCTTCGCATCACACGTTTTTGGCATTGATCAAACATCTCTTCGCAAAGAAGTACCCTACAGTTGCTATCACGTGGAAGACGGTGGAGTTTGATCTCGCTGTGGAGCTTTTCGAGAAAATGGTAGATCATGGGTGTACCCCTGATGCAAAATGCTACGAGGAGCTCATATTTGGCATGTGTAAAGTCCGAAACTTGGGGATAGCACAGAGACTGCTGGATCTGTTGCCTCTGCCTCCAAGTGAGATGGTTTCCAATGCGATTCTTAGATGTTGCTGCAAGCTGCAAAAGCTCGAGGAAGCTGCAGAGGTGGTGGAGAATATGATTCGCGGTGGCCAGTCACCGGAGCTAGAGTACTGCAAGACGGTGGTTCTCGGGTTGTACCAAGGAGGAGAGAAACAGAGAGGAATGTCCGTTTTCGAGAAGCTGCTCCGGTGTGGCGGATACTATGATGATGAAATAGCTTGGAAAATTCTCATCGATGGTGTGCTTAAGCAGGGACATGTAGATGCGTTTTCCGAGCTGTTCCAAGCAATGCAAGATAACGGCTGCCAATTTAGCCCTCAAACACATCTATCACTTACTCAGGGGAAGACTGATCCTACTGTGGCAATCGAATTGTAGACTTCATGTTGTCCTGACAACAATCCTTGATTCGCTCTATAATTCTATGATAGACTCATGCGCTCTAACATGTGTTAAACCTTGAAGCAGCCACAATCGCTGAAGCAAATCAATGTGCAGCCTTGGTGATGTCTTACTTCTGCTCAAAGCGAGGTATGGTTACTATGCTGTTTAAAATAAGAGTGAATGAGCTAATTGGAAGATGACCAAATGAGATTAGCCAATCGTTCTTTCGAGGTTCCATCTTTCTTGTGAAACCATTAGCCTGCATTTCAACAATGTGCTAAAGGCAATCAATTCCTTGTCAGGCAAGTTATTTTCAGCCACCACATTATCGAAAAATATATCAATATATCATGTGGGGTGATTGCAATGTTCTTCAGATTGCTTTGTTTGAATACCCTTACCCCCTCAGGCTTGTATCGGAGATTGCTTTTGATTCGCAGTTTATATTTGTATGCCCTGGATGCAAAGGCTTTGTTGAAGATTCACACATCTTAAGAGCAGTCCTTGATGATCCAATCCAAACCAGATTTTCCCGCAGGTTTTAACTTTCTTGTACAATGCAGAATGACATTTTAGTTGAATAATGAAATCTCCATTCTTCTTTTTTTCCAGGAAAATACTATCTTGTGGATTCCGTGGGGCGAGCAAAATGCTGCATGTTCTGTGTGGGATGTATCAATAATGTCAATATTTTAACACGAAACACAATGTTTGATCGTTAATTAATTACCATTCTTCCCACTGTTCATAAAGTCATCCCACATAGTACATGCAGCAGTTTGATAATTATATGTATGTTCTCATGACCTTTTGTTGATGCGGTCATTAAGTGGGATCATAATGTTTTTTTTTGTAAGAAACATATTGCGGTTACGTTGGATGTAGATTGAGTCCCCTTTGAAAAGAGTTGTGTAGTTGGAATCTTCATCTCAAGTTTGAATTTTTGCTTAATAATTCAATTACTGTTCAAAAATCATCTCAAGAGTTGTGTAGTTGGAATTTTTGCAAAAATTATGGGAATCCCAATTACTGTTCCATATTCCCATAATTTTAATATTTTATTTGAAAAACATATCTCCTTGTATTTAAATCTGAAACAAAATTTCAGTTTTGTATAATGGCTATTGAAAATATACAAGTTAAATAGTAGAACAAATAGAACCTCGAAATATTTAGCAGAACAAATAGAGTCTCGAATTATTTAGTTGTAGAAGGACATAAAAGAAAGTTATACCTACTATTGAAAATAAAAAAGAGGCTTTCGGAAGACTTTCACGATTTTGTCAAATCATGATTTCTTTATACAGACAATGGCCGAAGACTAGAGAACGAAAGGATTCAATGTTGTAACAGTGTTAGAGATTCAAGATATGTATCGAAAAAATACAAATATCAGTTTTGTTTAAATTAATTCAATTTGGTTAGTAGAAAATTAAACATACCTCTTGAGCTCATGCAAATAATGCAAATAGCTCAAAACACAAAATTTCCAATAAATCATTCTGGAAACATACAAGTTAGAAACACGAACAAGTAGAAGAAATTACAGCTCGTCTCCACTAACTACCGAGAGAGTTTATTGCAGGAAGTACGGCTGCATCAAATGAAAATCAAACTAAAGAGACTCATGTACACTTATTGTGTAAATAAATTCAAAAAAATTGAGATACAACATGTTTTATACATTTAAAGAATTGAGATACAACATGATATTCTTCCTCTCAGTTTTTATAGATTGTATTATTACGAACAAGTCGTTTTCGTTCTAACTTGACTTTTTTATTCAACTTTTTATTGATTAATACAGTTTATTGATTGTTTATTTTTAGTATTTACTTATCGAACCAATGGTTTTATAAACTTTATATGCTTTTGCGTGTTTCTTAGATCCAATTCATATTCATTTACTTATGTTACTATTTGTTAGACAGTTGTGTAAGTGTTTCTAAAATTACAACTAACTCGAAACATAAACTTTTTTAACAAATTTAAATTCATATTCACATTGATATATAGATTTTTTTTTATTTGAAACAATGTTATTTTTCTTATATGTTCGTGAAAACAATAGGACTAATCAAAAGGAATCTACATGAGTAGAGAACAACTACTATCCATTTGTCCTACACATACTTAACTTGTTCGTAATAGTTTTAGAATATACCTAAACAGTTCTAAAATATATAATAAATTTATATAAACAACAACAATAATTAGGCTAATTATCCTGTGGCACTTAACAATCAATCAGCAAATAGAAAAATCGCCGACAAAAAACGTTAAAATGAGTGAATTCTATCAGATTGTGAATTAATCTTTTGATTGATCACTACTTTAAATTTTTCTGCGAGCTATTTTTGCAATAATCATAACTCATAGTTCAGATGTGACACCTACTTTTTTCGTGGAACAAAAATATTCACAAATATTCCATGATTAAATAATTCACACAACATTATAATCAAATTAGTCTAACTCTCAGAGATAAATTTTTTTTTTTTTTTGTTCTCAAAATCTCACCTTTCTCTCTCTTTCAATCTTCCTTCAATGGAGCTTCTTCATTCTGCAACGTTTTCAAGCAAACAAAGGCTACTCATTGTAGTGACCATTGCCATATCTCTCTTCACCA